TTTTTTCTGAGGTCTTGGCTGATTTCTTTTGATTTTCCCATGATGTCAGCAAAGAGGCACATAGTTTGAAGGTAGGCCTTGAAATACATCCACAGGTACACCTCCAATTGACTCAAATTATGTCAATTAGCCTATCAGAAGCTTCTAACGCCATGACATCATTTTCTGTAATTTTCCAGGCTGTTTAAAAGCACAGTCAACTTAGTGTTTGGAAACTTCTGACCCACTGGAATTGTGATACAGTGAATTATAAGTGAAATAATCTGTCTGTAAACAATTGTTGGAAAAATTACTTGTGTCATGCACAAAGTAGATGTCCTAACCGACTTGCCAAAACTATAGTTTGTTAACAAGACATTTGTAGAGTGGTTGAAAAACAAGTTTTAATGACTCCAACCTAAGTGTATGTAAACTTCCGACTTCAGCTGTAGACATCTGGCTCAGTATCATCAGTTGTCCTCATTGTGGACAACATGCAGGCTGTTTTTTTTCACATTGAGATGCAAACATGAGTCACTGAGCCACTCTGTAACCTGGACCATTACAGTAGTGAGTTCTGGTACAGCTTGTTGTTTGCTCTTTGCAAGCACATATATCACTGTATCATCTGCATACATTTGAACTTCAGACCCAGTACAGACAGAAGGCAGATCATTAATGTACAGGCTGAACAGCAGGGGCCCCAGTATTGACCCTTGGGGCCCCAGTATTGACCCTTGGGGCACGCCCACATCATAGATGAGGATGGGCGACAGCTCATTGCTCACTCTGCTGGAGACTCTTATCTCCCTCACTAACTTTAAGCATCAGTTGTCAGAGCACCTTACCGATCACTGCACCTGTACACAGCCCATCTGAAATTAGCCCGCCCAACTACCTCATCCCTATATTGTTATTTATTTTGCTCATTTGTACCCCAGTATCTCTATTTGCACATCATCTCTTGCACATCTATCATTCCAGTGTTAATACTAATTGTAATTATTTTGCACTATAGCCTATTTTATTGCCTTACCTCCATAACTTGCTAAATTTGCACACACTGTATATATATGTATTTCTGTTGTATTTTTTTGACTTTGTTTTGTTTTACCCCATATGTAACTCTGTGTTGTTGTTTTTATCGCACTGCTTTGCTTTATCTTGGCCAGGTCGCAGTTGTAAATGAGAACTTGTTCTCAACTGGTTTACCTGGTTAAATAAAGGTTAAATAAATAAATAAATAAAACTCTGACACACTGGGTTCTGCCTTCAAGGTATGATTTCATCCATCTCAAGGCATCGGGGGGAAAAGTTGAACTTGGACAGTTTTGTGATGAGAACCTCATGGTTAACAGTATCAAAAGCTTTCCTTAGGTCTAGAAATACATCCCCAACAACGCCCCCTTTGTCCATCTTGGACTTCACATTTTCCAGAAGCAAGCAGTTGGCCGTTACTGTGGAGTGTTTTGCTCTGAAGCCAAACTGCATGGAGTGTAATGTGAAGGGGCTGTTGTTGAGTTGGGCAATCAGTTGCTCTGCTACACACTTTTCAGCAACCTTCGACACCACAGGTAGTATACTAACGGGCCTGTAGTTACTCACGTCAGCAGGGTCACCTGATTTAAAGATGGCCGTTATTATGGCCGACTTCCAGACCCTTGGAAACACCCCCTGACCAATAGATGTGTTGGTGACCTTAGTAATGGGGCCAATGAGTGACTCTTTGTAGTTTTTAAGAAAGGTAGAGTCCAGCCCAAACACATCTTTTGGCTTTAGAGTTCTTTAGTGAGCTAATCACCTTGTTCACCTCTGACTCAGAAACCTCCCTTATGATGAAGACGGGTTGAGGGTCATTCATTGGCGCTGAGCCCAAGAAACCAGTGGAGGGGGGTACTGTGTCAGTAAATTGACAGAGTCAACAAAGTAGGAATTGAAGGCTGTTGCTATTTTGACTGCATCCTGTGTTAGACTGTCATTCACATTGAGTTCTAGTCTTTTTGCAGTGTTACTATGGTCATTCCCTTTTCACTTTTTTTTAGATTCTCCCAGATCAATTTAGAATTTCCCTTTGCTTCACCAATTATGTTGATTAAAAAAAAAAGTTTGCCTTGGCCTCTCTGATTTTCTTTAATCACCTTATTTCTCAACATGGTAAACCTACGTCTAATTCGGACTTTAAGGCTGTTTTTAGAGCATGATCTCATTCTTTCATCAGTTTCCAGATTTCTCCATTTATCCAAGGAGGAGTGCTCTTTTAGCCAGGTTTGGATTTGATTTTCTTTTAGGAAGCCATTTTATTGTAGTCTGGATTGAATGATTTAGTCACTCTGGTTTATTACTGAACACCAGATCAATCTGTGTTTTAGAACAACAAGTCACCCTGGTTGGGCCTTTAACTAGCTGTCTAAGGTCAAAGGTATTAGTGATCCGTTTGAGGGTTTTCCTACAAGACTTGTCTTCATAATTAATGTTAAAGTCTCCCATTTAAGATTACCCCTTTCCCAAAATCACATTCCCTAAGCATGTTATTAAACTGATTTTTTTTTTAAACACAATTTGTTTACATCGGATATGTTCTTTAATGTAAATAATCAGACCCCCCTCTTTCTTCAATCCTGTCTCGCCTGAAAACATTGTAGCCAGGCACAAGGTTGGAGTCTGTGAGAAGTCAAGGTTGGAGTCTGTGAGAAGATGTTGAATTTGATCACTTCTTAGAATGACACTGAGAATATTCAAGTGTTACCCCCTAGTAGGGGGCATTCTTTTTAAAATGTTACCCCCTTTTTGTCTCCAATTTCGTGATATCCAATTGCAATCCAATTACGATCTTGTCTCATCGCTGCAGCTCCCCAACGGGATCGGGAGAGGTGAAGGTCGAGTTATGCGTCCTCCAAAACATGACCCGCCAAGCCGCGCTTCTTAACACCCGCTCGCTTAACCCGGAAGCCAGCAGCACCAATGTGTCGGAGGAAACACTGTTCAACTGACGACCGAAGTCAGCTTGCAGGCATCCGGTCTGACACAAGGAGTCGCTAGAGCGTGATGAGCCAAGTAAAGCGCCCCCCAGCCAAACCCTCCCCTAACCCGGACGACGCTGGGCCAATTGTGCACCGCCCTATGGGACTCCCGGTCACGACCGGTTGTGACACAGCCTGGGATCCAACCCCAGGCTGTAGTGACGCCGCAACATTGCGATGCAGTGCCTTAGACCACTGCGCCACTCGGGAGGCCTGCCCGACTTTCTTTACTGATTTTATCTGAACTATTGTCGATTGTCCTTGAGAACTATGATAAAATCATTGTGTTAAGAGATTTTAATATTCATGTTGACAAAGAGACTGACTCCAAGGCCATTGGATTTATTAATCTTTTGAGCTCTATGGACTTTATCCAACATGTTATCTTACCTCTGAAGTCGCTACCGATTTTATTGAGTGTATGAACAAAACTCCACCACCTATTCTGCTTTCCTCTTGTGATGATTTAGTTGATAACTTTTTTAATAGCAAATGAAGGGCAACCATTGATGCCATAGCTCCAGTAAAGTTGGAAAAGGCCACATCCAAACGGAGAGCCCCTTGGATGAGTGAGGAAACTAATCAATTAAAGAGACATTGCAGAAAGTGGAGGAAGACAAAGTTGCAGGTCCATTATGATATTCTGAGAGAGAAACTTGGCATATATAACGAGGCAATTACCCTGGCATGACGTTTTGATAACCATGTAAATCTCTCTCGGACATTGTGACTTTTATCAATATATTCGTCTCTATTTACGCTCAGATTCAAAAATGCCAATTAGCATCAAAGTAGAAATCATGCAAAACTACAAATTCTAGCAAGCTCTTGCACGTCATTTCAAGCTGACACCTTTGCTAACAGGTATTTTGTCAATTTGAAACTTGCACAAGATAGTTCACAGAATTGTCAATTTAAAGACATTTTGCCAATTTATTCATTACTACATTTAGCAAACATTTATATAGTTAATCCAGAGATTCTTACCTTTGCCTCGATTCGGCAGTCTCGTCCAAATGATCTACACGAAACACAGCCCTTATTTTAAGTGTTTCTATGGGAAAAAAAGATTGGAACCATTTCCCTGTTTGACCGCAAGGTTTTATGGGTATTATGACTCATACTGTGGTACTCTATACCCAACATCCGGGATTAGCATTTAGCCACTCTAGCATCAACGATTTTTATAACTAACCCAAGATAGACCACAGCCTGTAGTGTCCAATGGGAGCAGATGAGTCCTAGTGGGCAGAACAAGCAAGGAGGTGGGCAGAGCCAAGCACGAGCTAGCGAGATCCATTTGGCACATTCTAGCATTTATTTGCATATTTCCATCAGGGAACGCCTACTCTGTGAAGTGCGCGTGTGCAATAACTCAATTCGCGCTTGCACTCCTTCTAAACAATGCCATTTTTTAAAAACACTTTGGCCATAGGTTTAAAGTCTACAAAACGTAGTCCGCTCTTTTTGTTACAGAATCTAGTTTTGTAAAACACAAAACTGTATTGAGAATTAGCAGAACGTCGGCCCATATCAATCTCGCTCCATCTTCTCCCACTGCCGGCCACTGGGCTTCCTCTCATCACCATATTTGGTAGTGAGTGGAAACGGCAACCGGATGCTTCACATTTTTTATAGATCCGTTGAAATATCTGGCTCACTGTTCCATCTGTGGTAGCATGGTGGTGGAAAATGGTGTTTCATTGCCACTAACGTTAGCGCAATTACATGCTACCTGTTCCCATAGACTTCCAGTCAATGAGCCAACGACTATCCATTTTAAAAGCGTGTCTCGGCAGGAACATATATTTGACAAAAGTAAATTTTTTGCAGCGGTGGCAACAATGGGTCTCCGTTGCTAAATGAATATAGTGGAAACACTGTCATAGGGCTATGATTTGCTTTTGTGACCCTAACCTTTTGTGTTGACTTCCCAACCTGCTTCACATTTTATTGACAAACCTCTGTACTTTGACTATGACAGGAAGTGACTAGCTGACCATGGAGTACACCACCGCCACCACCTCGACTGGGGAGCAGATAGTCGTTCAGACATCCAATGGACAGATCCAACAGGTGGGTAACTATGAACTGCTGCTGTGTTGAATTCATTCATGTTCAAAACCTCTCAATCAGTTGGGCCTAAAAATCATATCTAGATATATATTTTTTTCAAACTTATGGGTGATTCACAATATATCTATTATATATTAAAGGTCAAATACACTGCATTTCAAACAGTCAGCAATAATCTAATGAATTTGGGGCTTGTGAAATTATACCTAGGCTAAATATAAGCCTTCCACAGCCATAAGACCCACTAATAATGTAATTAGTTTATCAAAATAGTTTAACCTGCTTTTTGGCAATAATAACTGATCTGGTTTTCAAGTCTGTCTATGAAAATGCCCTTTTTTGTTACACATTAAGCCAGAACCATAATGCACATTCACTAATAATGACTAACTTCTTGTAGCAGGCATTATAGAAAATGAACACGGGTCTCGTGAACAATCCCTCAATCACAAGCCCACGTGCTAGTGAGTAGCCAGCTAACCTTTATATTCCAACTTGGCTCAATTTGCTAGCTAACAAGGTAGATCAGTTGAATTTCATCTCCAACTGTTTGAACAGCATGCTAGCAATTTGAAGAGTTAAGACTCACAGGTCCTCAACTGGCAGCTTCATTAAGTAGTACCCTCAAAACTCCAGTCTCAACGTCAACAGTGAAGAGGCGACTCCGGGATGCTGACCTTCTAAGCAGAGTTGCAAAAAAAAAGTCCAGTGTCTGTGTTCTTTTGCCCATCTTAATCTTTAATTTTTTATTGGCCAGTCTGATATATGGCTTTTTCTTTGCAACTCTGCCTAGGTCAGCATCCCAGAGTCGCCTCTTGAGTTGAGGACTAGACACTCTAATGTATTTGTCCTCTTGCTCAGTTGTGCACCGGGGCCTCACACTCCTCTTTCTATTCTGGTTAGAGCCAGTTTGCGCTGTTCTGTGAAGGGAGTAGTACACAGCGTTGTACGAGATCTTCAGTTTCTTGGCAATTTCTCACATGGAATATCCTTAATTTCTCAGAACAAGAATAGACTGATGAGTTTCAGAAGAAAGTTATTTGTTTCTGGCCATTTTGATCCTGTAATCGAACCCACCATTGCTGATGCTCCAGATACTCAACTAGTCTCAAGAAGGCCAGTTTTATTGCTTCTTTAATCAGCACAACAGTTTTCAACTGTGCTAACATAATTGCAATTGGATTAGCAAACACAACGTGCCATTGGAACACAGGACTGATGGTTGCTGATAATGGGCCTCTGTACGCCTATGTAGATATTCCATTGAAAATCAGCCGTTTCCAGCTACAATAGCCATTGGCAACATTAACAATGTCTACACTGTATTTCTGATCAATTTGATGTTATTTTAATGGACAAAAAAAATTGCTTTTCTTTAGAAAACAAGGACATTTCTAGGTGACCCCAAACTTTTGAACGGTAGTGTTTGTGGTAGTGGAGTAGGGGCCTGAGGGCACACACTTTTTGTGTTATGAATGTAATGTAATGTTTTAAAAATTGTATAACTGTGACACAACAAGCAATGTGTAGTGTAGAGAATCATTGTTATATCTAAACCATTGTAAAAAGGTATTTTCCATAACCAAAAATATTGTCTTTTCAGCTGTTTGAAGCTGGTGTATAAAACCGAAAGTAAAAGATGCAAAAATGAAACTTAAGAACAGGAAGCATAGAAATAGCGCACATAGAACAGATCTACCGCTTCTTAGACTTGCTTTCAATGAGAATGACAGATCTATAACTTACATTTCTATGTGAATTCGGTTGGGTCGTCCAAAAAGTTACATATTAAGACTTTTTATGCTAGATGTTTTCTAAGACCCTTTTCATCTGTTTGACCAGAAATCAAAGCCTTTGCTTATTCCTCATTTTTAGGAAGGGAAATGGTTGAAAAATGAATATATGCCTTAATAAAAAAATAAAAGTAATCTTAGCTTTCATTTGACACCAAATTTGGTGTGCTCCTATGAACTTCACATGTTCGTGCTCATGGGACTTTTTACATGGAAATGCAGTTATACTGCTTCTATTATCAAACAACTGTTACACCTCTGGGACGAGGCGTCTGTTGTTACACCTCTCTGGGACCTCTGGGACGAGGCGTCTGTTGTTACACCTCTCTGGGACCTCTGGGACGAGGCGTCTGTTGTTACACCTCTCTGGGACCTCTGGGACGAGGCGTCTGTTGTTACACCTCTCTGGGACCTCTGGGACGAGGCGTCTGTTGTTACACCTCTCTAGGACCGCTGGGACGAGGCGTCTGTTGTTACACCTCTCTGGGACGAGGCGTCTGTTACACCTCTCTGGGACCTCTGGGACGAGGCGTCTGTTGTTACACCTCTCTGGTGTTACACCTCTCTGGGACCTCTGGTACGAGGCGTCTGTTGTAACACCTCTGGGACGAGGCGTCTGTTACACCTCTCTGGGACGAGGCGTCTGTTGTTACACCTCTCTGGGACCTCTGGGACGAGGCGTCTGTTGTAACACCTCTAGGACCTCTGGGACGAGGCGTCTGTTGTAACACTTCTGGGACGAGGCATCTGTTATACCTCTCTGGGACGAGGCGTCTATTGTAAAGCAGAATCACTGATATCAACATCGCCTCGCTTCCCAAATAACTACTCGTGATGTCATCAAGATGAGCGATTCTGCTCCTCGCCTTGCTCCAACATGCTGCCTTGTCTGCAGACTCAGGGCACCGTGACGGCAGTGCAGCTGTAGACCGAGGCAGCCGTAGTGACGCCCTCTGGCCAGCAGGTGCAGACACTCCAGGTAGTGGTGTGACCGCCGGCCTGACTTGTCACATTATTATCACAATGTCACTCGGTGTCACAGTGTACTGCATGACCCTCGTCCACCACGATGACCCATCTCAGTGCATGCTATTAGGCTATTGCTGATCTGAACTGCATTGTCACTTTAATAATGTTTACGTCACTTTAATAATGTTTACATATCTTGCACTACTCATCTCATATGTATATACTGCATTCTATTCTATAATATTCTACTGTATCTTAGTCCATGCCGCTCTGTCATTGCTTGTCCATATATGTATATATTCTTAAATTCCATTCCTTACTAGATTTGTGTGTATTGGGTATATGTTGTGAAATTGTTAGATATTACTTGTTAGATATTACTGCACTGTCGGAGCTAGAAGCACAAGCATTTCGCTACACCCGGAATAACATCTGCTAAACACGTGTATGTGACAAATAAAACTCATTTTTATGGAGGTAACATTTTGAAACAATGATTCATCTTACATAGTGTTGTTCATCATCATCATTTGACTCTGTTTTCCTGCGTGTCGACTCAAACGCCGGCTCATTCCAAGTGTGTATTCATCATCATTTGATGTCCTAAAAGCAGGAATGCTTTGGCAGGAATGTCACTTCATACGCCTGAATAGCATGCATGGAACTCTGGCTGTGCCACGAAATGGTTACTTTATATGAAGCTATACAGTGGCTGATTTGTATTGACAAATTAACAACCAAATGATGCAATGAACTTACACCCCCCCCCCCCCCCCCCCCCGTTACAGGTCCAGGGCCAGCCCCTGATGGTGCAGGTGAGCGGAGGACAGCTGATCACGTCGTCAGGGCAACCCATCATGGTGCAGGCTATGGGGGGGGGGCAGGGACAGACCATCATGCAGGTGCCAGTGTCTGGAGGACAGGGACTGCAACAGGTGAGGAATGGGATGGGAGGAAACCATAGAAATATAATTACTAGAACCCATTCAATTCAATGAGGATGCAGTCAAATTGCAATGGTCTTATGGGGCTTTTCCCCATTCTAGTAATCATTATTTCTTTGAGCCAGAGTCGGGAGTTGGAATGATATTATGAACACGCCATCATCTGATCATGTTTCACTGTCAGATCCAGCTACAGGGTGGACAGCAGATCCAGCTGCAGAACGGTCAGACGATCCATCTAGGGGGACAGCAGATCCAGCTGCAGAACGGCCAGACGTTACAGCTAGGGGGACAGCAGGGTCAGCCCCAACAGATCATTATCCAACAGCCACAACAAGCCATCACAGCCGGACAGAACCAGGTACACACACACACACACACAGGCATATGCACACACAATCAGTTCAATTTCCACATGATGAACTACAATGTGTGCAAATCTCTAGACTGTGTGTTCCTGTATGTAGGGTCAGCAGTGGCGCCGTACTGTACGGCTGCAGTTTTGCGAGCTCCGACCCAACTTTGCTATTTTGTGATTCTTTTGGAGTTTATTTTTACTTTATTTTCCCGAAATGTATCCACTATTATTTCTTATAACCGACAATAACTTTTGAAGAACAGATCGGCAGTTACTTACCTCAATTCCGGCTTCAACTTCGACTCATCTGCCCTGGGCTCTTTCTGTAATTCCAACCCAATTTTGGGGGTATTTATAGGGATACTTCCCCAGAGTCAGATAAACTCGTGGGTACCATTTTTATGTCTCTGTGTCCAGTATGAAGGAAGTTCGAAAAATAGTTTAATGAGCCAATGCTGACTAGCATTAGCGCAATGACTGGAAGTCTATGGGTATCTGCTAGCGTAGACTTCCAGTAGACTTCCAGTCATTATGCTAATGCTAGTTAGCAACTGCGCTAGTTAGCAACTCCCTTCAAACTGCACGCAGATATAAAAATGGTATCCACGAGTTCATCTGACTCTGGGGCAGTAGATAACGGGCCTCATTGCCAACATCCCGAAGTATCCCTTTAAGAGGAAACGCCGGCATTACAGAGTCCTGGCGAGATTAAGGCGAAGGGAAAACCGTCTACCTCTTCCCTCCAGTCACTTGATAATAAGATGGATGACCTCCGATCGCGGATTTGCTACCAACGGGACTCTCGTAACTGCAACATTCTCTGCTTTTCTGAAACATGGCTTTCGGACAAGATATTCCCCATGGCTATCCAACTCGATGGATTCTCAATTCACCGACAGGACAGTGGAGTCAGGGAAATTGGGGGGGGGGGGGGGAAGTTTGCCTCTTCATCAACAACAAATGGTGTGCTGACTCGAGCGTAGGGTGTGTGCTCAGCCTCCTCCTGTACTCCCTGTTCACCTACGAATTGTATGGCCACGCATGATTCCAACTCCATCATGTTTGCTGACGACACGACGGTGGTAGGCCTACAGGGAGGTGGTCAGTGACCTGGCAGTGTGGTGCCAGAGGTACCGGTCCATCAAGTCTGACACCAACATGCTTCTGAACAGCTTCTATCCCCAAGCCATAAGACTGCTAAATAGCTAACAAAATGGCTACACGGACTATCTGAGTTGACACTTGTATTTTATTTTTTTATTTTTGCACTGTCTCTATACACACTCACAGGACTCTATACACTCACGCACACTGACAGTCCAACACACACAGACACACACAGTCACATAACATGCACACACACTCACATACAATCATCATATACACTGCTGCTATTCTGTTTATCATATATCCTGATGCCCAGTCACCGTACCCCTATACAGTGCCTTCAGAAAGTATACACACCCCTTGACTTTTTCCACATTTTGTTGTGTTACAAAGTGGGATTAAAATGGATTTAATTGTACTTTTTTTGTCAATGTTCTACACAAAATAATCTGTAATGTCAAAGTGGGAGAAAAATTTGAACATTGTAAAAGATTTATGAAAAATAAAACAAATATATCTTGATTAGATAAGTATTCAACCCCCTGAGTCAATACATGTTAGAATCACCTTTTGGGAGTGATTACAGCTGTGAGTCTTTCTGGGTAAGTCTAAAAGCTTTGCACACCTGTATTGTACAATATTTGCACCTTATTCTTTTTTAAACTCTTCAAGCTCTGTCAAGTTGGTTGTTGATCATCGCTGGACAGCCATTTTCAAGTCTTGCCATAGATTTTCAAGCCAATTTAAGTAAAAACTGTAACTAGGCCACTCGGGAACATTCAATGTCGTCTTGGTAAGCAACTCCAGTGTAGATTTGGCCTTGTGTTTTAGGTTATTGTCCTGCTGAAAGGTGAATTGTTCTACCAGTGTCTGTTGGAAAGCAGACTGAACCAGGTTTTCCTCTAGGATTTTGCCTGTGCTTAGCTGTATTCCGTTTCTTTTTATCATAAACTCCCTAGTTCTTGCCAATGATAAGCATACCCATAAAATGATGCAGCCACCACCATGCTTGAAAATATGAAGAGTGGTACTCAGTGATGTGTTGTGTTGGATTTGACCCAAACATAGCGCTTTGTATTCAGGACATCTTTTGCAGTTTACTTTAGTTCCTTATTCCAGACAGGATGCATGTGTTGGAATATTTTTTATTCTGTATAGACTTCCTTCTTTTCACTCTGTCATTTAGGTTAGTATTCTGTAGTAACTACAATGTTGTTGATTCAGCCTCAGTTTTCTCTTATCACAGCCATTCAACTCTGTACTCATGTTGAAATCCCTGAGTGGTTTCTTTCCTCTCCGGCAACTGAGTTAGAAAGGACACCTGTATCTTTGTAGTGACTGGGTGTATTGATACACCATCCAAAGTGTAATTAATAACTTCACCGTGCTCAAAGGGATATTCAATGTCTGCTTTTTTTTATTTTTTACCCATCTACCAATAGGTTCCCTTCTTTTACGAGGCATTGGAAAACCTCCACGGTCTTAAGTGGTTGAATCTGTGTTTGAAATTCACTGCTCGACTGAGGGACCTTACAGATAATTGTATGTGTGGGGTACAGACAGAGTTGAGGTAGTCATTCAATAATCATTTTACACACTATTAGTGCACACAGAGTTAGTCCATGCAAGTTATTATGTGACTCATTAAGCAAATTTAGGCTTGCCATAACAAAGGGGTTGAATACTTATTGACTCAAGACATTTCTGCTTTTCATTTTTTCTAAAGTTGTAAAAATGTATAAAAACTTGGACATTATGGGGTATTTTAATATATATTATTATTATTATATGTATTATTTAAATTCAGGCTGTAACACAACAAAATTTGGAAAAAGTCAAGGAGTGTGAATACTTTCTGAAGGCACTGTATGGTGAGCAATATGTTTGGAACAGTCTCGAATCGCAATAGCTTTCTAGAATAATGAGAATCGCAATACATATCTTATCGGCACCTAAGTATGGTGACAGTATCGTATCTTGAGGTCCCTGGCAATTCCCAGCCGGTGTTGGTGATCGTGTTCCCACAAGACCCGCTTCTTCTTGTTTTTAGCTGATAGGAGTGGAAACCGGTGTTGTCTGCCGCAGTAGCCCATCCATGACAAGAATCGACGAGTTGTGCGTGCCGAGATGCCGTTCTGCACACAACACACTGCGCCGTTATTTGCCTGTTTGTGGCCCGCCTGTTAGCTTGCACGATTCTTGCCATTCTCCTTCGACCTTTCTCATCAACGAGCCGTTTTCACCCACAGGACTGCCGCTGACAATGTTTTTTTATTTATTTGTCGCAACATTCTCGGTAAACCCTAGACACTGTCGTGCGTGAAAAGCCCAGGAGGCCGGCTGTTTCTGAGGTACTGGATCCGGGGCGCCTGGCACCGATGATCATACCACGCTCAGTCACTTAGGTCACTCGTTTTGCCCATTCTAACGTTCAATCGAACAGTAACTGAATGCCTTGATGCCTGTCTGCCTGCTTTGATATAGCAAGCCACGGCCAACGTGACTCACTGTCTGTAGGAGTGAACCATTTTCGTGAACGGGGTGGTGTACCTAACAAACTGTCCACGGTTTATACCTTTCCAATGGCAAAATCCCGTTGTTGGTTCAGTCTAATAGGAATTACATGTCAGTTTATACCATTAAGGAGATAGATTGGGGGGTAAGGCCCTATTCTTGTACATCAAGTTGTCTCCCGCTACAGAAACAGGAGACTGGCTCCTCCTACTCCTGTGAGACGTTCCCTAGCCAAGGCTCATGCAACGTACTTTACTTGTAGCCATATATGACCCGGTCCTGTGTGTTCCTACAGGGTCAGCAGATCCAGCTACAGCAGGGCCAGCAGGTGGGGCAGACAGCCGACGGACAGACCATCGTCTACCAGCCAATCAACGCAGACGGCACTATCCTGCAACAGGGTATGTTTACAGGACCCGCACACTGATATGCATGCCTACACACACACACACACACACACACACAGACTTTATTTACACACACACACACACACACACACACACACACACACACACACACAGACACATTACAGAAGCATTTCGCTGCCCCTTGTGATAACATCTGCAAATCTGTGTACGCGACCAATAAACTTTGATTTTTATTTGACACAGATACGAACGCGTGCAACACACATACACACCTCCAGTAATATACATCCTGTACATTCTCAAAAGCTGTTAGTTATATGCCATCACATACTGTACCTTCTGGTGCCGTGAGTGGCACGTCAATCTGTTTTACTATAGTAATGGTGAAGGTGGTGGTGATAAGGAGGCTTTTTCTCCCCAGGAATGATCACCATCCCAGCAGGCAGCCTGGCGGGAGCCCAGATGGTACAGGCAGGGGGGGCCAACACCACCACCACCAACAGTGGACAGCAGGGCACTGTGACCGTCACCCTGCCGGTCTCAGGCAACATGATGAACACCGGTGGCATGGTCATGGTAAGGCCCCCAGCAGAAATACCCAGACATCCTGTTACCTGGTTATTACAGAGCCTGTAGTGTGTTATTACCTGGTTATTACAGAGCCTGTAGTGTGTTATTTCCTGGTCATTACAGAGCCTGTAGTGTTATTACCTGGTTATTACAGAGCCTGTAGTGTGTTATTACCTGGTTATTACAGAGCCTGTAGTGTGTTATTACCTGGTTATTACAGAGCCTGTAGTGTGTTATTACCTGGTCATTACAGAGCCTGTAGTGTGTTATTACCTGGTTATTACAGAGCCTGTAGTGTGTTATTACCTGGCCATTACAGAGCATGTAGTGTTATTACCTGGTTATTACAGAGCATGTAGTGTTATTACCTGGTTATTACAGAGCCTGTAGTGTTATTACCTGGTTATTACAGAGCCTGTAGTGTTATTACCTGGTTATTACAGAGCCTGTAGTGTGTTATTTCCTGGTCATTACAGAGCCTGTAGTGTGTTATTACCTGGTCATTACAGAGCCTGTAGTGTGTTATTACCTGGTTATTACAGAGCCTGTAGTGTGTTATTACCTGGTTATTACAGAGCCTGTAGTGTGTTATTACCTGGTCATTACAGAGCATGTAGTGTTATTACCTGGTTATTACAGAGCATGTAGTGTTATTACTGGTTATTACAGAGCCTGTAGTGTTATTACCTGGTTATTACAGAGCCTGTAGTGTTTTACCTGGTTTATTACAGAGCCTGTAGTGTGTTATTTCCTGGTCATTACAGAGCCTGTAGTGTGTTATTACCTGGTCATTACAGAGCCTGTAGTGTGTTATTACCTGGTTATTACAGAGCCTGTAGTGTGTTATTACCTGGTTATTACAGAGCCTGTAGTGTTATTACCTGGTTATTACAGAGCCTGTAGTGTTATTACCTGGTTATTACAGAGCCTGTAGTGTTATTACCTGGTTATTACAGAGCCTGTAGTGTGTTATTACCTGGTTATTACAGAGCCTGTAGTGTGTTATTACCTGGTCATTACAGAGCATGTAGTGTTATTACCTGGTTATTACAGAGCATGTAGTGTTATTACCTGGTTATTACAGAGCATGTGGTGTTATTACCTGGTTATTACAGAGCCTGTAGTGTTATTACCTGGTTATTACAGAGCCTGTAGTGTGTTATTTCCTGGTCATTACAGAGCCTGTAGTGTGTTATTACCTGGTCATTACAGAGCATGTAGTGTTATTACCTGGTTATTACAGAGCATGTAGTGTTATTACCTGTTTATTACAGAGCCTGTAGTGTTATTACCTGGTTATTACAGAGCCTGTAGTGTGTTATTTCCTGGTCATTACAGAGCCTGTAGTGTGTTATTACCTGGTCATTACAGAGCCTGTAGTGTGTATTACCTGGTTATTACAGAGCCTGTAGTGTGTTATTACCTGGTTATTACAGAGCCTGTGGTGTGTTATTACCTGGTTATTACAGAGCATGTAGTGTTATTACCCGGTTATTACAGAGCCTGTAGTGTTATTACCTGGTTATTACAGAGCCTGTAGTGTTATTACCCGGTTATTACAGAGCCTGTAGTGTTATTACCTGGTTATTACAGAGCCTGTAGTGTGTTATTACCTGGTTATTACAGAGCCTGTAGTGTGTTATTACAGAGCCTGTAGTGTGTTATTACCTGGTTATTACAGAGCCTGTAGTGTGTTATTACCTGGTTATTACAGAGCCTGTAGTGTGTTATTACCTGGTTATTACAGAGCCTGTAGTGTGTTATTACCTGGTTATTACAAGAGCCTGTAGTGTGTTATTACCTGGTTATTACAGAGCCTGTAGTGTGTTATTACCTGGTCATTACAGAGCCTGTAGTGTGTTATTACCTGGTTATTACAGAGCCTGTAGTGTGTTAGTACCTGGTTATTACAGAGCCTGTAGTGTGTTATTTCCTGGTCATTACAGAGCCTGTAGTGTGTTATTACCTGGTCATTACAGAGCCTGTAGTGTGTTATTACCTGGTTATTACAGAGCCTGTAGTGTGTTATTACCTGGTTATTACAGAGCCTGTAGTGTGTTATTACCTGGTTATTACAGAGCATGTAGTGTTATTACCCGGTTATTACAGAGCCTGTAGTGTTATTACCTGGTTATTACAGAGCCTGTAGTGTTATTACCCGGTTATTACAGAGCCTGTAGTGTTATTACCTGGTTATTACAGAGCCTGTAGTGTGTTATTACCTGGTTATTACAGAGCCTGTAGTGTGTTATTACAGAGCCTGTAGTGTGTTATTACCTGGTTATTACAGAGCCTGTAGGTGTTATTACCCTGGTTATTACAGAGCCTGTAGTGTGTTATTACCTGGTTATTACAGAGCCTGTAGTGTGTTATTACCTGGTTATTACAGAGCCTGTAGTGTGTTATTACCTGGTTATTACAGAGCCTGTAGTGTGTTATTACCTGGTCATTACAGAGCCTGTAGTGTGTTATTACCTGGTTATTACAGAGCCTGTAGTGTGTTAGTACCTGGTTATTACAGAGCCTGTAGTGTGTTATTTCCTGGTCATTACAGAGCCTGTAGTGTGTTATTACCTGGTCATTACAGAGCCTGTAGTGTGTTATTACCTGGTTATTACAGAGCCTGTAGTGTGTTAGTACCTGGTTATTACAGAGCCTGTAGTGTGTTATTTCCTGGTCATTACAGAGCCTGTAGTGTGTTATTACCTGGTCATTACAGAGCCTGTAGTGTGTTATTACCTGGTTATTACAGAGCCTGTAGTGTGTTATTACCTGGTTATTACAGAGCCTGTAGTGTGTTATTACCTGGTTATTACAGAGCATGTAGTGTTATTACCCGGTTATTACAGAGCCTGTAGTGTTATTACCTGGTTATTACAGAGCCTGTAGTGTTATTACCCGGTTATTACAGAGCCTGTAGTGTTATTACCTGGTTATTACAGAGCCTGTAGTGTGTTATTACCTGGTTATTACAGAGCCTGTAGTGTGTTATTACAGAGCCTGTAGTGTGTTATTACCTGGTTATTACAGAGCCTGTAGTGTGTTATTACCTGGTTATTACAGAGCCTGTAGTGTGTCATTACCTGGTTATTACAGAGCCTGTAGTGTGTTATTACCTGGTTATTACAGAGTCTGTAGTGTGTTATTACCTGGTTATTACAGAGCCTGTAGTGTGTTATTACCTGGTCATTACAGAGCCTGTAGTGTGTTATTACCTGGTTATTACAGAGCCTGTAGTGTGTTAGTACCTGGTTATTACAGAGCCTGTAGTGTGTTATTTCCTGGTCATTACAGAGCCTGTAGTGTGTTATTACCTGGTCATTACAGAGCCTGTAGTGTGTTATTACCTGGTTATTACAGAGCCTGTAGTGTGTTAGTACCTGGTTATTACAGAGCCTGTAGTGTGTTATTTCCTGGTTATTACAGAGCCTGTAGTGTGTTATTACCTGGTCATTACAGAGCCTGTAGTATGTTTATTAATAGATCCAAACTGAATCCGCCCACACACAATTCTTACCTAGACTCAGTAAGGTGTTGGGCATAGAATGAGATATTACACTATACTTTATCTCTATGGTATGGGGTGTTTTATTGGAGATAATTGTCTCTGTCAGGCACATGCGATGTGTGTGTTTGTTAGTCAGATATTCTATGCGGTGTCTCCCCCCCCCCCCCCATCTCTCTCCTCTCTGCACGAGGCTCTAACTAGTATGTATCTCCCTCTCTCTCCCTGCTAGATGATGCCTAGTGGGGGTGCGGTGCCTGCTATGCAGCGTATCCCTCTACCCGGGGCTGAGATGTTAGAGGAGGAACCGCTGTACGTCAACGCTAAACAGTACCATCGCATCCTGAAGAGAAGACAGGCCCGCGCCAAGCTGGAGGCAGAGGGAAAGATTCCCAAGGAGAGGAGGGTGAGTAGCCTGGTTTAGGTTAGGACTTCAAATCAAATGTTATTTGTCAGATGCTTCGTAAACAACCGGTGTAGACTAACAGTGAAATGCTTACAGGCTCTTCCCAACGATGACGAGCGAGAAATTAAATAGAAAATAGTAACACAAGGAATAAATACACAATGAGTAACGATAACTTGGCTACATACACAGGGTACTAGTACCGAGTTGAGGTAGATATGTACATACAGTGCTTCTGAAAGTATTCAGACCCCTTGACTTTTTCCACTATTTGTTACATTACAGCCTTATTCTGAAATTGATTTAAATAGTTTTTTCCCCCTCATCAATCTACACACAATAATGACAAAACAAAAACAGGTGTTTTTTTTGCAAATGTATTACAAATAAAACACGGAAATATAACATTTATATAAGTATTCAGACCCTTTACGCAGTACTTTTGTTGAAGCACCTTTGGCAGCGATTACAGCATATAGTCTTCTTGGGTATGACGCTACAAGCTTGGCACACCTGTATTTGGGGAGTTTCTCCTGTTCTTCTCTGCAGATCCTCTCAAACTCTGTCAGGTTAGATGGGGAGCGTTGCTGCACAGCTGTTTTCAGGTCTCTCCAGAGATGTTCGATTGGGTTCATGTCTGGGCTCTGGCTGGGCCACTCAAGGACATTCAGAAACTTGTCCAGAAGCCACTCCTGCTTTGTCTTGGCTGTGTGCTTAGGGTCGTTGTCCTGTTGGAAGGTGAACCTTCGCCCCAGTCTGAAGTACTGAGCGCTCTGGATCAGGTTTTCATCAAGGATCTCTCTGTACTTTGCTCCGTTAATCTTTCCCTCGATCCTGACTAGTCTCCCAGTCCCTGCCGCTGAAAAACATCCCCACAGCATGATGCTGCCACCACCATGCTTCACCGTAGGGATGGTGCCAGGTTTCCTTCAGACGTGACACTTGGCATTCAGGCCAAAGAGTTCAATCTTGGTTTCATCAGACCAGAGAATCTTGTTTCTCGTGGTCTGAGAGTCTTTAGGTGCCTTTTGGCAAACTCCAAGCGGGCTGTCATGTGCCTTTTACTGAGGCGTGGCTTCCGTCTGGCCACTCTACCATAAAGGCCTGATTGGTGGAGTGCTGCATAGATGGTTGTCCTTCTGGAAGGTTCTCCCATCTCCACAGAGGAACTCTGGAGCTCTGTCAGGGTGACCATCAGGTTCTTGATCACTTCCCTGACCAAGGTCCTTCTCCCGAGATTGCTCAGTTTGGCCGGGCGACCTGTTCTAGGAAGAGTCTTGGTGGTTCCAAACCTTCGTCCATTTAAGAATGATGGAGGCCACTGTGTTCTCGGGGACTTTCAATGAGGCCGAAATGTTTTTGTACCCTTCCCCAGATCTGTGCTTCGACACAATCCTGTCTCTGAGCTCTTCTGACAATTCCTTTGACCTCATGGCTTGGTTTTTGCTCTGACATGCACTGTCAACTGTGGGATCTTATATAGACAGGTGTGTGCCTTTCCAAATCATGTCCAATCAATTGAATTTACCACAGGTGGACTCCAATCAAGTTGTAGAAACATCTCAAGGATGATCAATGGAAACAGGATGCACCTGAGCTCAATTTCGAGTCTCATAGCAAAGGGTCTGAATACTTATGTAAATAAGGTATTTCTGTTTATTTTTAACACATTTGCTAAAACGTCTAAACTGTTTTTGAGGTACTCTGTGTAGATTGAGGGAAAAAATATATTTAATCCATTTTAGAATAAGGCTGTAACGTAACAAAATGTGGAAAAAGTCAAGGGGTCTGAATACTTTCCGAAGGCACTGTATAGGTAGGGATAAAGTGACTAGGCAACAGAATAGATAATAAACAGTAGCAGCAGCCTATGTGACGAGTCAAGAGTTATTGCAAAAATGATCAATGCAGATAGTCCGGGTAGCTATTGGTTAACTATTTAACTAACTATTTAGCAGTCTTATGGCTTGCCGTGCGTGCAGTCTTTTACAATTTTTTAGGGCCTTCCTCTGACACCGTCTGGTATAGAAGTCCTGGATGGCAGGGACCTTGGCCCCAGTGATGTACTGGGCCGTACGCACTAACCCTCTGTAGCGCCTTGCGGTCAGATGCCAAGCAGTTGCCATACCAAGCAGTGATGCAGCCAGTCAAGATGCTTTCAATAGTGCAGCTATATAACTTTTTTGAGGATCTAAGCGCCCATGACAAATCTTTTCAGCCTCCTGAGAGAGAAGAGGCGTTGTCGTGCCTTTTTCACGACTGTGTTGGTGTGTGTGTGTGGACCATGATCATTCATTACTTCTGGATCGTGAATCGGAAGCTACACACTTATCTCTCAGCCTCCCAGATCTTGAATACTACATTCGCTCATTTGTTCCCCGCACAGCGGGCTTACCTGTTGCTCCTGGCCAAGATGACCTAAGGCAACGCCGACGACGAGGAAGTATTCTGATGGCTAATGTCCAATCGTTGGAACTCAGAGCAAGGCTTCAAACGCAAAGGGACATCAGGGAATGTCTTTGTTTTTACTGAGACTTGGCTTACGGACAACACACTCGACTCTGCTATTCAACCAGACGTCTTCTCCATATTCCAAATGGCTCGAACGGTGGCTTCTGGTAAAGAGTCGGTCGGAAGGGGAATGTTTCCTCAAACAATTCCTAGTGTACCGAAGTAGAAAACATTGCGAGCTCCTGTTCACCCGTCCTGGAGTTTCTGATGCTAAAATGCCGACCCCCACTATATGCCGAGGGAATTCACGTGTGTTATTATCACAGCTGGGTACATACCGCCACAAGCAAACACCAAGGCGGTACTCAGCAAACTGTACAAGAACATTAGCCATTACGAATCCTCTCACCCAGAAGCAGTCTTTGTCACGGGTGACTTTAACCAAGCCCGTAAAAACTTTTGACAAAATATCACCAACATGTATCCTTCCCCACAAGAGGATCCGCCGTGCTTGACCATGTATACACAAACATCCGCGACGCGTACAAATCCATCCCCCTCCCTCACTTCGGCCAATCAGATCACGTCTCTCTGTTCCAACTCGAGGGAGCCACCAACACAGAGAATAGTGAGGCGCTGGACAGAGGAGGCAGACTCAATGCTGCAGGATTGTTTTGAGAATACTGATTGAACATACAGTGGGGAAAAAAAGTATTTAGTCAGCCACCAATTGTGCAGCGCCAAATCCTGCAGCGCCAGACGTGTCCCCCTGCTTAAGCCAGTACATGTCCAGGCCCATCTGAAGTTTGCTAGAGTGCATTTGGATGATCCAGAAGAGGATTGGGAGAATGTCATATGGTCAGATGAAACCAAAATAGAACTTTTTGGTAAAAACTCAACTCGTCGTGTTTGGAGGACAAAGAATGCTGAGTTGCATCCAAAGAACACCATACCTACTGTGAAGCATGGGGGTGGAAACATCATGCTTTGGGGCTGTTTTTCTGCAAAGGGACCAGGACGACTGATCCGTGTAAAGGAAAGAATGAATGGGGCCATGTATCGTGAGATTTTGAGTGAAAACCTCCTTCCATCAGCAAGGGCATTGAAGATGAAACGTGGCTGGGTCTTTCAGCATGACAATGATCCCAAACACACCGCCCGGGCAACGAAGGAGTGGCTTCGTAAGAAGCATTTCAAGGTCCTGGAGTGGCCTAGCCAGTCTCCAGATCTCAACCCCATAGAAAATCTTTGGAGGGAGTTGAAAGTCTGTGTTGCCCAGCGACAGCCCCAAAACATCACTGCTCTAGAGGAGATCTGCATGGAGGAATGGGCCAAAATACCAGCAACAGTGTGTGAAAACCTTGTGAAGACTTACAGAAAACGTTTGACCTGTGTCATTGCCAACAAAGGGTACAGTGGGGGAAAAAAGTATTTAGTCAGCCACCAATTGTGCAAGTTCTCCCACTTAAAAAGATGAGAGAGGCCTGTAATGTTCATCATAGGTACACGTCAACTATGACAGACAAATTGAGGAAAAAAAATCCAGAAAATCACATTGTAGGATTTTTAATGAATTGATTTGCAAATTATGGTGGAAAATAAGTATTTGGTCACCTACAAACAAGCAAGATTTCTGGCTCTCACAGACCTGTAACTTCTTCTTTAAGAGGCTCCTCTGTCCTCCACTCGTTACCTGTATTAATGGCACCTGTTTGAACTTGTTATCAGTATAAAAGACACCTGTCCACAACCTCAAACAGTCACACTCCAAACATCACTATGGCCAAGACCAAAGGGCTGTCAAAGGACACCAGAAACAAAATTGTACACCTGCACCAGGCTGGGAAGACTGAATCTGCAATAGGTAAGCAGCTTGGTTTGAAGAAATCAACTGTGGGAGCAATTATTAGGAAATGGAAGACATACAAGACCACTGATAATCTCCCTCGATCTGTGGCTCCACGCAAGATCTCACCCCGTGGGGTCAAAATGATCACAAGAACGGTGAGCAAAAATCCCAGAACCACACGGGGGGACCTAGTGAATGACCTGCAGAGAGCTGGGACCAAAGTAACAAAGCCTACCATCAGTAACACACTACGCCGCCAGGGACTCAAATCCTGCAGTGCCAGACGTGTCCCCCTGCTTAAGCCAGTACATGTCCAGGCCCGTCTGAAGTTTGCTAGAGTGCATTTGGATGATCCAGAAGAGGATTGGGAGAATGTCATATGGTCAGATGAAACCAAAATAGAACTTTTTGGTAAAAACTCAACTCGTCGTGTTTGGAGGACAAAGAATGCTGAGTTGCATCCAAAGAACACCATACCTACTGTGAAGCATGGGGGTGGAAACATCATGCTTTGGGGCTGTTTTTCTGCAAAGGGACCAGGACGACTGATCCGTGTAAAGGAAAGAATGAATGGGGCCATGTATCGTGAGATTTTGAGTGAAAACCTCCTTCCATCAGCAAGGGCATTGAAAATGAAACGTGGCTGGGTCTTTCAGCATGACAATGATCCCAAACACACCGCCCGGGCAACGAAGGAGTGGCTTCGTAAGAAGCATTTCAAGGTCCTGGAGTGGCCTAGCCAGTCTCCAGATCTCAACCCCATAGAAAATCTTTGGAGGCAGTTGAAAGTCCGTGTTGCCCATCGAGAAACATCACTGCTCTAGAGGAGATCTGCATGGAGGAATGGGCCAAAATACCAGCAACAGTGTGTGAAGACTTACAGAAAACGTTTGACCTGTGTCATTGCCAACAAAGGGTATATAATAAAGTATTGAGAAACTTTTGTTATTGACCAAATACTTATTTTCCACCATAATTTGCAAATAAATTCATAAAAAATCCTACAATGTGATTTTCTGGATTTTTTTCCCTTATTTTGTCTGTCATAGTTGACATGTACCTATGATGAAAATTACAGGCCTCTCTCATCTTTTTAAGTGGGAGAACTTGCACAATTGGTGGCTGACTAAATACTTTTCCCCCCCACTGTATATAACAAAGTATTGAGAAACTTTTGTTATTGACCAAATACTTATTTTCCACCATAATTTGCTAATAAATTCATTAAAAATCCTACAATGTGATTTTCTGGATTTTTTTTCCTCATTTTGTCTGTCATAGTTGACGTGTACCTATGATGAAAATTACAGGCCTCTCATCTTTTTAAGTGGGAGAACTTGCACAATTGGTGGCTGACTAAATACTTTTTTTCCCCACTGTATTTCAAAGATTCATCCACCCAGTACTCATCCATCAACATTGAGGAATATACATCGTCAGTCACAGGCTTCATTAGGAAATGTGTTGATGACATTGTACCCACACCAAAAACCCTGGATGAACGGAGATATCCATACAATGCTGAGAGCCCGTACTGCAGCATTCAGTGTCAGCAGAACGAACCCCGACAACTCGTTGGCGCGCAATGCCAAATTACCTGGGCCCTCAGATCCTCAAAAAGTTCTACAGATGTGTACGAGCTCCGTAAATCCATTAGGGACGCAAAAAGACAATACAGACTCAAACTTGAATGGATGTTCGACAACTCAGACTTGCTTCACATGTGGAAAAGGACTACAGACTTTCACAGACTACAAAAGGGAAAATTCAGCTGTACGGTGCCCACCGAAGCCTCTCTACCAGATGAGCTTCGAGGTAGACAATACCGAGCCATCCAGGAAGACTCTCACCGCTCCGACGACCAGGTGCTTTCGCTCTCCGAGGCTGACGTGAGGCAGGGTTTCCGTCAACTGGTAAATGACGGCTTTTGGCCGATTGAAATGAGAAGCCGATAAATAAAATCCATAGCAAAATAATGCTTTTTATTAATTGATGGAAATACCAGTCGATGTGCTCCAACTTCAAAGGCAAATCTACTTCATAGGATAATAAATCCTCAATTATGAGGACCTCAAATTAGTGTCGTGTGTGTTTCTATATTTACTCACGCAAAAGACGCGAGGTCCTCATAAGGGACTTCAGCTAAGTGTACCCCGACTGGGTAAATCATAAGGGACTTCAGCTAAGTGTACCCCGACTGGGCAAAATTGGTAAAGATAGTGTTGATTATTCCAGTGTGCCTGCCGAGGAGATTCTTTCTCCAAAACAGAGTAAAGACGGCCTTAAGATCGCGCTTTCTTGAGGACAAAGTAATGAGGCTGATGTGCATCAAGCTGCTCCAAGGAGTTGGACAGTTTTTGACTTCTCAACAGCAGCGGCTCACTTTGAGCAGGCCAAGGTCTGCCGCAAACGCAAGTAAATTAAAGGCAAATGATTGTGTTCGTCAGACCCGGTCCTAGCAGTTCTGCTGCCGCCCTAGGCAAGATCAACATATGCCGCTCGTGTGTCATGTAGAGCATTGGTTCCTATATATTTGTAATAGTATAATGCACAAGGTGCAATTTCTAAATTGGGTATTGTATCATCAGTGCCTCTTGTCCTGTCAGTCATTGCAGACCTTAGAGAGCTATTTATAACTTATCAGAAATGCCCAGATCAACTAGCCCATGTCAGCAATAAAAAAAAAAAAATATGTTTTCAATTTTTTTATAGATATTGTTGTAATTATTTAGTCACTCAAATATCACATGAATACACATTAGATATGGCAAAATGTATAGAATTGCAAGAACATTTGGTTTAAAACTGCAAAATGTTCTTTGCACCACATGACAAAATGTGTAGAATTGCAAGAAAATTTGGTTTAAAACTTCAAAATGTTCTTTGCACCACATGACAAAATGTGTAGAATTGCAAGAAAATTTGGTTTAAAACTGCAAAATGTTCTTTGCACCACATGACAAAATGTGTAGAATTGCAAGAAAATTTGATTTAAAACTGCAAAATGTTCTTTGCACCACATGACAAAATGTGTAGAATTGCAAGAAAATTTGGTTTAAAATGGCAAAATGTTCTTTGCACCACATGACAAAATGTGTAGAATTGCAAGAAAATTTGGTTTAAAACTGCAAAATGTTCTTTGCACCACATGACAAAATGTGTAGAATTGCAAGAAAAGTTGGTTTAAAACTGCAAAATGTTCTTTGCACCACATAACAAAATGTGTAGAATTGCAGGAAATAAGCTTTAAAACTAAAATATTCCCCAATGCTGGAAGGGTGAAAATGTTTGGGAACCCCTAATGTAGAGTATTGATGTGCAATTGGTGCATTTCAGTTGAGCTTATTCAGTAGCACTTTCCAACTATTCACATCGGAGAGTTCCAATATTGCAATCACTAGGCAGCCAACTGTAGTAGGAAACAGAGTTGTTATCAATAAGCCATGTATATCACACATGATACGAGTCATGACCCCACGATAGGTCAAATTACAATAAACATAACGTTTAGTAACATCATCCAGTAGAACTGTAAAAAGATTGAAATATAATTTGAGTTTTGGAAACAAGTGCTTTAATAAATGCAATAAAACATCAGTTTTATAATTTCTTCATTTTGTGGCTGCCTAGAGTGTCCTCTTTCCACTGTTGTGGTGCTGAATCCCTTCTAGCCATGATCGGCTGGCCATGGTGTTCGTAGACAGCCATGTTGTATTATTTATTAGGCCTAATTAAAATAGGCTAAATTAAATTAGAGGCCTAGATTATATTTGAAAAAAGCTGTTATGTTATTTATTAATAAACTATTTCATACAAATAGCCTATAGGACAGGTTGTGCGCAAATTATATTATACAAATATAATATTTCGAAGTTTTGTATTACTCTGTAGGCGACTTGTTCTTCTAGGCTAAACATTTTTACTTAAAAAAAAAAAGAAGATATTAATTAATGATTCATAGCAGGGATGAAGAGCGTCTGCTAAATGACTTAAATGTAAAATGTAATGAAGACACAACGGACAATGTTTTGCTTTTTAATAAAACCTGTCATGTTGGTATAAGAACATCGTTACACTTTTTATTTTATTACAACTTTACAGGCTAATTTCTATTCTGTTAAAATGAATTACAATCATCTAAATGTGATTTTGAGCACCGAGGGTGGACGCCCTAATGCGTTATGCACCCAATGCATATGGATGTCCAGTACATTTCTAACATTTCCGGTAAATCTAAATCTTGCCTGTTACGTTGTCCGCCGCCTTGACGTGAGGGAAAACTCTCGAGTGAATACTCACAAAGCCGCCGGCCCAGATGGCATCCCTGCCGTGTCCTCAGCCCAGATGGCATCCCTGCCGTGTCCTCAGAGTATGTGCTGACAAGCTGGCGGGCGTCTTCTCTGACTTCTTCAACCCTGCCCCTGTCCCAGGCTGTAGTCCCCATCCGCTTTAAGGAGACCACCATCGTCCCAGTGCCCAAGAAAACCAAGGTGACATGCCCAAATGACTATCGCCCCGCCCGTGCTCACCTCGGTCATCATGAAGTGATTTGAGAGGCTGGTCATGGCTCACATCAAGGCCAGCATGCCAGGCACACTGGACCCACTCCAATTTAGCCTACCGCTTCAACAGATCCACGGAAGATGCCATCGCTATTCACACGGCCGTAACACATCTGGACAAGAGGAACATCTATGTGAGAATGCTGTTAATTTGACTACAGTTCAGCATTCAACACTATTGTTCCCTCCAAGGTCATCACCAAGCTCAGAGCCCCTGGGTCTGGACACCACCCTCTGCAACTGGATCCTGGAATTCCTGACGGGCAGACCACAGGCTGTGAGGATTGGCAACAAAACCTCCTCCACACTGGCTCTTAAAACAGGGCCCCCCCCCCCCAGGGGTGTGTCCTCAGCCCTTTGCTGTACTCACTGTTCACCCACGTCTGCGTGGCTTTGCACGACACCAACTGCATCATCAAGTTTGCTGATGACACCACTGTTGTAGGCCTGATAACCAACAATGACGAGTCAGCCTATAGGGAGGAGGCAACTGAACTGGCAGCCTATAGGGAGGAGGTAAGTGAACTGGCATTATGGGGTCATGACAACAACCTGTCCCTCAACGTCATCAGAACAAAGGAGTTGATTGTTGACTTCAGGAAGCAGTGGAGGAAACAACGCAATCCACCTCAATGGGTCGGTAGTAGAGAGAGTGACGAGTTAAGTTCCTCTGCGTCCACATTACTGAGGGCTTGTCATGGACTAACAACACCACCAACTCTTGACGAGGGTGCAACAGTATCGCTACTTCCTAAGGCGGCTGAATGAAGAAATTCGGCATGTCGCCCCAGGTCCTCTCCAAATACTATCACAGCACCACCGAGAGTGTCCCCAACCACGAGCTGTTCTCTCCCTTGTCATCGGAGCATGAGGTCTGATACGAACAGCCTCAGAGACTGTTTCTATCTTCAAGCCATCAGACTGCTGAACACAACTGGACTGACCACCTGCTCTGATTCTCTGCACCTTAGCAAACCTCACAACTGCTGCTACCAGACCCTTATTATACTGCCCCTTCCCCAATACGCATGTAAATATTGTACTATAAATTGTGCCTTCCTGTATTATACTTATGCAGAGGGAAGTGTTCAGTCCCAAGGTCCTGAGCTTAGTGATGAGCTCGGAGGGCACTATGGTGCTGAACGCGGAGCTATAGTCAATGAATAGCGTTCTCACTTAGGTGTTCCTCTTGTTCAGCTGGGAGAGGGCAGTGTGGAGCGCAATTGAGATTGCGTCTATGGATCTGTTGGGGCGGTATGCGAATTGGATTGGGTCCGGGATGATGGTGTTGATTTTGAGCCCTGACCAGCCTTTCAAAGCATTTCATGGCTACAGATGTGAGTGCTATGGGGCGATAGTCATTTAGACAGGTTACCTTGGTGTTCTTGGGCACAGGGACTATGGTGGTCTGCTTGAAACATGTAGGTATTACAGACTGTGTCAGGGAGAGGTTGAACATGTCAGACCATGCTCCGAGTATGCGCCTTGGTAATTTGTCTGACCCCGCAGCATTGAGAATGTATTTTTTATTTTTGTGAACAAATTTCTATTTAGTTTTGCCTTGTGAATGTTAACCTGTTTTAAAGGTCTAACTCATGTTGGCTATGGAGAGCGAGATCACACAGTCGTCCAGGACAACTAGTGCTCTCATGCACAGTTCAGTGTTGCTTGCCTCAAAGCGAGCGGAGAAGGAATTTAGCTTGTCTGGTAGGCTCGGGTCACTGGGCAGCTCGCGGCTGGGTTTCTCTTTGTAATCTGTGATAGTTTGCAAGCCACATCCGACGAGCGTCAAGTTAGAGTATGATGACAGGCTAGAGGCTGAGAGAAAGAAAGAAGGATGAGTCAGCTTTCTGAAGGCCTCTCATTATGGAGTATGGAAATGTATTATGTTCTTCTGATGCTCGACTGAGAACATATCTTAGTGTTGTTAGTGACTAACATCTGTCTTTCTCTGTTTTGCAGAAATACCTGCACGAGTCCCGTCACCGTCACGCCATGCAGCGCAAGAGGGGAGACGGAGGACGCTTCTTCTCTCCCAAGGAGAGGGAGGAGATGGCTCTGGCCCTGGCCCAGGTAGGAGAGGGGGTGAGGGGGAGAGAGGGAGGGGATGAGTTGAGGTCCTATTGGAAAAATAATAAATGGAAATATCACATTTACATAAATATTCAGACCCTTTACGCAGTACTTTGTTGAAGCACCTTTGGCAGTGATTACAGCCTCGAGTCTTCTTGTGTATGACACTACAAGCTTGGCACACCTGTATTTGGGGAGTTTCTCCCATTCTTCTCTGCAGATCCTCTCAAGCTCTGTCAGGTTGGATGGGGAGCGTTGCTGCAACGCTATTTTCAGGTCTCTCTAGAGATGTTCGGTCGGGTTCAAGTCCGGGCTCTGGCTGGGCCACTCAAGGACATTCAGAGACCTATCCCGAAGTCACTCCTGCGTTGTCTTGGCTGTGTGCTTAGGGTCGTTGTCCTGTTGGAAGGTGAACCTTCGCCCCAGTCTGAGGTCCTGAGCGCTCTGGAGCAGGTTTTCATCAAGGATCTCTCTGTACTTTGCGCCGTTCATCTTTCCCTCGATCCTGACTAGTCTCCCAGTCCCTGCCGCTGAAAAACACCCCCACAGCATGATGCTGCCACCACCATGCTTCACCGTAGGGATGGTGCCAGGTTTCCTCCAGACGTGGCGCTTGGCATTAAGTCCAAAGAATTCAATCTTGGTTTCATCAGACCAGAGAATCTTGTTTCTCATGGTCTGAGAGTCCTTTAGGTGCCTTTTGGCAAACTCCAAGCAGGCTGTCATGTGCCTTTTACTGAGGAGTGGCTTTCTTCTGGCCACTCTACCATAAAGGGTTGATTGGTGTTGTGCTGCAGAGATGGTTGTCCTTCTGGAATGTTCTCCCATCTCCACAGAGGAACTCTGGAGCTCTGTCAGAGTGACCATCGGGTTCCTGGTCACCTCCCTGACCAAGGCCCTTCTCCGCCGATTGGCGGCCAGCTCTAGGAAGAGTCTACGGACAATTCCTTCGACCTCATGGCTTGGTTTTTGCTCTGACATGCACTGTCAACTGTGGGATCTTATATAGACAGATGTGTGCCTTTCCAAATCATGTGCAATACAATTGAATTTACCACAGGTGGACTCCAAGTTGTAGAAAGGATGATGAATGGAAACAGGATGCACCTGAGCTCAATTTCGAGTCTCATAGCAAAGGGTCTGAATACTTATGTAAATAAGGTATTGTTTTTATTTTTAATAAATGTGCAAAACAATCTAAAAACCTGTTTTCGCTTTGTCATTATGGGGTATCGTGTGTAGATTGATGAGGAAATTGTTTTATTTAATCCATTTTAGAATAAGGCTGTAACGTAACAAAATGTGGAAAAAGTCAAGGGGTCTGAACACTTTCCGAATGCACTGTACATGATGTTATAGAATGTACACGATACATGTTTAGGTTGCATGTGTTAACTGGTACCTTCATCCTTCCCCTCTCTCTCTCCTTCTCTCCCTCAGCAACAGGCAGAGCTGGCCACCCAGGCAGGAGAAGACGGCGTAGCCCAGATGGTCCGAGTCTCTTAGTACCTAAACCCACACCCACACAAGGCTCGGTCCATGACACCCCTCCGTCAGCCTTTAGAGAGGCCATCTGAGACCCCCCCTACCCAGCTAGCCAGCACCCAGCTACACCTCTCATCTACTAATAATAATAATAATAATAATTGATTGGATTGATATAGCACTTCTCCAGACACTCAAAGTGCTTTACAATGAAAGGAGGAAACTCATCCAAGACCTCGCCTACCACAGATATGTAGCTCCTATCCGGATGATGCCATGGCAGCCATTTTGCCCCCATAAAGAAAGCATAAACCTGTATTCTCCCACCACCTCTTGCCCCCTATACTCAACTATATGATATCCCTATGACTGGGGTCCTACATGATGGGTCACTATGAATGAACTTTAACCCTTGACCTCCCAACTCCCTGGTCTTCGGACATACAGCAAGTAAGACGTGAAAGTGGAGTTTTACTGGGACTGTAGTGCTCTGTCCTGGAAACCAAGACAACTATGAGCTGTTTTACCTTCATAATACCCTGGTCAATGACTTCATGTTTGCTGAAGAAGTCATTAACTGATGGTCGTTAGTTGCAGAATACATTTTGTTCGGTCATAAAGCAGCCCATTCTTTGGTGTGTTTCACAAATGCAACAATAGTTTACAAATTCAGCTGTAAAAGAGTCAAAAATTATGGTACACTTATTTTTTTCCCCTGTATGTATCTTTTGTTGAAACATGCAACACCATAGAAGGCCAGCCTTGGTCCATAAGGATTGTCAAATATTGTCTCCAATATGAAAATGGATATTAGTTAGAACGTTTTTGTAAGCACTTCTCAGCAGGGTCCAATTTCAATTTTTTCTCATAGAGAAGTATAGAGGAAAATTGGAATTTCAGTTTTCTTCTTGAATTGAAATGGAATTGACCCCCAGTTCTGCTTTTCAGAAGTGTTTTCAATATCCAGTACTCAGTTGTTGTCTGTACAGGGAATGTATTTTATACACAACCTTTTTCAATGTAGCGAAATAGACGACACATTTATGTTGCCGCGACGTCTGAGTGACCCATGTACTTTGTCTGTTCTACTTTAGGGCGTCTTTTTTATGTGAAGAGTACGTTTTATATTCTTCTGAAGCAGTCCTCCAATACAATTTTTTTTTTTTTTTTTGTGGTTGACAACATTGTTTGACTGAGCTCATCTGTTCATTAAATTTTTCTAGTTCTGTATGTTTTCATTCATTTCATATTTCGTCTAGGGCGTGTGTTGATATTCTCCTGTTTAGGTTCTAGAGTGAGGATGAATTTACCAATTTATCTTTGCATAGTATCTTAACACTTTTAGCAGTAGATAAAACAGTCACCGAGAGCTATACTTGTGAACCTTGACCGGTGGCCACCAATGACGCCGACATACCGTTTGTGACCGGTGGCCACCAGTGACGCCAACATACTGTTTGTGACTGGTGGCCACCAATGACGCCAACATACCGTTTGTGACCGGTGGTCTCCTCTGTCTCGCCCGGCTGGTGGCCAATGGTCACACAGTATCTTAGCACTTTTTAACAGTAGATAAAACATAAAACAACCGCAGAGAACTACTGTATCCTTGTACACGTACACTGTCTCATACCTTCCAGGTAGCTCCACCCCTGACACACCTGTTAGCAGGAAGTGGTCATGTTCAGATCAGAACAGCACTGTAACATTCAGCTATTCAGCATTCAGCCTACAGAACAAAACATTTTTACATTTTAGTCATTTAGCAGACGCTCTTATCCAGAGCGACTTACAGTTTTAGTGAGTGCATACATTTTCATACTGCCCCCCCCATGGGAATCGAACCCACAACCCCTGGCGTTGCAAGCGCCACGCTCTAACAGCTGAGCTACAGGGGACTAAAATCCTTCTAAAGATTCATTCTAAACTACAATTGAAGAACATCAAACCCTCTATCCAAGTTCTACTGACTCCACTGCTACGGCTTCTCAAAGTAAGTAATCTTCATCTCAGAATCGGATTACAGAAGAGGGAAGGTGGCGAGAAAAGAGCATCTTCTGAACCTGCTCTCTCTGAAGACTATTTTTCCTGTCCTGTGTGCTGTGCCATCTTCAAGGATCCAGTTGTCCTACCATGTACCCACAGCATTTGTAAAGTCTGCAGAATTTCTGGAAACAGAAGAAATCTCAGGAATTTCCAGTGTATCTGAAAATATTGTCAATGGACCTTCCTGTAACCTGGTGTTAAAGAACCTGTGGTTAGGCCTTTGAAGGATATAAGTCAGAGAGCTTAATCTGGGTCTGAGGTACAGGAGGAATTTCAGAGAGATTCAGCTGGGTTTGAGGTACAGGAGGGGATTCGGAGAGCTTAATCTGGGTCTGAGGTACAGGAGGGGATTCAGAGAGATTCAGCTGGGTCTGAGGTACAGGAGGGGATTCAGAGAGATTCAGCTGGGTCTGAGGTACAGGAGGGGATTCAGAGAGATTCAGCTGGGTCTGAGGTGCTCTGCAGTATGCACAGTGAGAAACTCAAGCTCTGCTGTCTGGAGGATAAACAGCCTATCTGTTTGGTGTGTTAGACTTCAAAGGAACATAAAACGCATGACTGCATCCCACTAGATGAAGCTCCTGTAGAAATATGCTTTGACATGTTTCATTTCTCATCTAAAGTGATTGTGGCATTCGTGTGTAGAACAGTTCTGTCCTGTCATCATAGAAACCCAGTGTGCCAACTCTACAGGCCAACAAACTCCCACAGAAACACACACCTACTACATTGATACACACACACATAAAGTGACGCACACCTACATAACCTACAACGTGTAGGAGGTAGACAAGAACCATCTTTAAAATCTTCTTTGGTCCCCTTTTCTCTTGGCAGTAATGTTTTTGTTTCATTCCAGGAGGAAGTTAAAACGACTGAATCCTCTACAGAAGAAGCTGAAGGCCTTCAATTAAGTTAAACTGACCTGTGATCAAACAACAGAGTACAATAAGGTAAGAGATCGGAGTGATGCTGAGATACTATGGTGCTATACACATTTCACCCTGTGTAATAATGGTTGTTGCAAGGGGTTTGCATCTTTTAGTGTAATGACTGGGGTGTTGGTTTGACAGTTGCTGGACCTGGTTTCGAGTCCTGTTTGGGGCTACCCCCCCCCCCCCCAAATTAGCTACAATATTGACATTATTATCTGAGACATTGTTCTCTGTTCTCTCCAGACACAGGCCAAGCACACAGAGAGGCAGATTAAGGGAGTTTGAGAAGCTTCACCAGTTTCTACGAGAGGAAGAGGAGGCCAGGATAGCTGCACAGAGCGAGGAAGAGGAGAGGAAAAGTCAGATGATAAAGAACAAGATTGAGGAGATGAGCAGACTGATGTCATCACTTTCAGACACTATCAGAGCCCTCGAGGAGGAGTTGAGAGCTGAGGACATCTCATTCCTGCAGGTAAGCATTGCTCTAAACTTAGCAAGCAGACAAGAGAGGACTGCTATGTTGATTGGTACTCCCATTGATAACATGGATTTAATTTTCTAACTTGTGTCTCTGCAGAATTTTAAGTCCACCATGGAAAGGTAAGTGATCTGCCTCCTGTCTCTCTCCTCTCTGTGGTTCTGAACCCAACCCCACAGCAGCACTGACTCCTGAATGTTCTTCCAGAGCCCAGTACGCACTGCCAGATCCAGAGAGGGTCTCTGGAGCTTCTGATAGACGTGGCCAAACACCTGGGCAACCTGCAGTTCAGAGTCTGGGAGAAGACGACGAGAATAGTTAATTATAGTGAGTATTGGTACAAAACACCATTTACATAGACACATTTTTAATAATAGACTTAAATTGTTTAGCACCTTTCGTACAATACATTGGAGCCTATTGTACACACACAGTTGTTTAACATTACATTCTGTATGTGTAAATGGCAGCCCAAAAAAATTTTTTTTCTATCAATATTTATATATATTATTTATATAATATGCCTCTGTTCTCTCTGTTGAGCTCCTGTGACGCTGGACTCCAACGTGTCAGACCACTGTTGAGAGACAGCAGCTTCCTGACAACACGGAGATGTTTTGATTACTTTGAGTGTGGACTGGGGGCTCTAATTCAGGGACGCAGCTGGGAAGTGAAGGTTGGGGAGAATACACACTGCCACAGAGTCTGTCCAGAGGAAGGGAACCAGTGACTTTTGGGGGTGGATCCTGGTGTATTGTTTTTTTTGTTATACAATGATGTACCACTAGGCCCACCGTGAGACAGAAACTCCAGAAGATCAGAGTGCAGCTGGACTAAGGAACACTCATTATTCTCTGACCCTGTCAGTAACACACAACTACTGAGAGAGTCTTTGCAATTGTTGTGAACTTTGTCCTCTTAAGATATTACCTGTGAAGGTGTCTGTATCTGTGGGTTCTGCCTCCGTCTGAATCAGGGACCTTCACGGCCGTGGGAAATAGTTTGGGGTGCTGCCGACTATTCATTCCTTTTCCATTTTAGTAGACGCTCTTTGCCAGAGTAACTTACAGTAGTGAGTGCATACATTTTCATACTTTTTCGTAGTGGTCCCCCATGGGAATACGAACCCACAACCCTAGTGTTGCAAGCGCCATGCTCTACCAACTGAGCCACATCATCACAAACCACTTGATGACTCAATGTACTCAAATACTGTATTGTGCATTGTTTTTCTTCATGGTGATGGAAGGTCTACAGGTTCAAACCTAGATGACCAGCCTATGTACAATACAATAACGTACATTTACATTAAGTGGTTTGTAAGGATGGTAGATTAATACTGCACAAAAAGTGGTTGTTTTCCATGTTATTTGATCAAGAAAAATATTTAATTTGATGTGGATGTTTTGTGTCGTCGCCCATAACTTTGCACCTATTGATGTAAATGTTTGAGGACAGGGTTTTGTTCTTTCTGGATTCCATTAGAATGATGATCACATAGAAAGGGACAGGGCAACAACTCTTACAGAAAGGGACAGGGCAACAACTCTTACAGAAAGGGACAGGGCAACAACTCTTACAGAAAGGGACAGGGCAACAACTCTTACAGAAAGGGACAGGGCAACAACTCTTACAGAAAGGGACAGGGCAACAACTCTTACAGAAAGGGACAGGGCAACAACTCTTACAATTCCAACTATTGAATCCTGCAAGATACTGTTCTTAATTATACAACTACTTTTATTTTTCCAAAGTGGAGATGCTGATTTGTTGTTGTTGTTGCCTGTGCTACATATGTATCATTCTGCTAATACTAGTAGACCTAGTAAAGGCCCAGTGCACTACTTTTGTGATATATATATATATTTTTTTATATAATAGTTATTAATAAAAATATATATATATTCTAATTTTTCAGGGGATGCTGCAGTACCCTCAGCGCCGCTACTTCCGGTGGCTATGGGGACCTTATGCTGTAAATGAGTCCATGTCAGATTGTGATGGAGTGAAAGAGGACCTTTCTCCATCAAGACAATCTCTGCTCTTCATCTCATCAAACAGTAAAAAACTTGTTTTAATTTAGGGGGTATTTTTTCATTTTATGACGCAGTCCTTCAGGGATGATAGATCCTTTTTTTGTGGTTAACTAATCTTGGTTACCCAGAAGTAAAATTCTCCCGAAAGTTCGTCATTTACACAGAATCTGTCCACAAGAGATTAGTGGTTAACAAATAATTTGACTGAACTCTTTCGTGTAACATCTGTTCATTAAATTATATTAACCCTCCCGTTGTCCTAGGGTCAAATGACCCGCCACTGTGTTGAACCACTTATTTAATTTTTATTTGGGGATCATTTGAGAAGGAGCGTGAGACTTTAAAGAAAGTATCACTGCCTCCTTCTCACAAATGATCCAAAAAATATAAATTAAATAAAGTTGGTTCAACACAGTGGCGGGTCATTTTGACCCTAGGACAACGGAAGGGTTAACATGGTTTAGCTATCTAACTTGAACAAAATTGACTATGGTGGGCTAGCAATTGTCATGATGCTATCCAAAAGTGTACCACAAGTGAGATGGGGTCGAGTCCCGCTCTCATTGGACACACGAGCGGTCCCTTCTCACCTTCTCGGCTGGCCATTGGCTGAGAGCCTCCCACATCCCGCCCACTCATTCAGGTGACTGCTCTAACAAACCGCCCACTTCGGATGCTGAGCTTGTGACTGAGTGACAACCGACCGTAACTGGTAAACCGGCCGATGACCGAAAAGAAAAGTAGGCTACACACTCCACGCTGCTCAGTGCTTACACGCTAGCTACTAATATTCAGGATAGTACAAGGTCCATCTCTTGATTTTGCGCTCAGCGGACTGTTTCGGAAAGTCCAAACACGAAGCAACGTAAGAACACCGGACAACGAGAAGAGAGCAGTGCGTGACAGCAGAGAGAGGACTAGCCTACACAGTTGCCTACCAAGTCGGACATCATCACAATTCTCAACCAAGAGGTCTGAATCACTTGAATGCGAAGATGACAGACGCGGTCGTGGACGGCAAATTGGAGGCGGTGAAACAGGCAACGAAATATGTGAAAGAGACCGAGAACGTCGCGGAAAAATATTCTGCGATGACCGTTAGCAAGAACAGCGACATGAACATGAACGTTGGTGAATTGCAGTCGGCCGCATTCACTGCGGTGCCAACTCTCAAATCTGTCAAGAAGGTAAGAATGACAAAGTCGTGTGCACTGAGCATCGTCATCAACATTCACTACATTATAGATGCAGTTTTGCCACAATTATCCTATGCGAGTTTATGGATGGGATGGGTGCAGGACCTGCCTGCTGTATCATAGTGACTCATGTTTCTTAAATAAAAAAAAAACATCCTATTGCATCTCTGACCTTCTAAAATATCCAATTTAAATTCACCTTATGTTAGCCAATGATAAATATTGTATTTATTTACAGGGAAATTCCCTGAATTTATAGCAGGACTGTTATTCTTATAATATAGGCCAGGGGTACTGAACTCTGACCCTACAAGGTCCGGAGCCTGCTGGTTTTCTGTTCTACCTGATAATTAATTGCACACACCTGGTGTCCCAGGTCTAAATCAGTCCCTGATTAGACGGGAACAATGACAATGCAGTTCAACTGGCTTCTAGGTCCAGAGTTGAGTTTGAGGGATATAGTAGATCAGTCTATTCAAGACCCGTGCAAGTGCTTCCAGTCAGGTGTCCCAGCTGAGCAGTGAGCACCTTGATCGATCTATTACTCAGACCCAGATAGAAAAGCTAATCATCTGCAAAGTTGTAGCTAATTAACTGCATTATTAACAGCATTATTCATCAGGAGGCTGCTTCAAAAACAACGACCAAACTCTACAACACTCCTAATCAGGAGCGCAACTTTGGTTTTAGAAGTGGGGGGACGGAGGGACGACAACCTGGCAGGGGGTCCTCCCTCAGAATTGTTTTGGGCATCTAAAGCTAATTTCCTGCATTCATACTAGGGCTGTCCCCTGACTAAAAAATATCTTGGTCCACCAAGAGTAGTCTTTTCTTTCGACCAACCGATTGGTCAAAAATGTTAAAACGTCTATTTTTCCATAGGCCAATATAGACACACCCTATGTGTTTGAAAATGTACTGAAACTTGTCTGATGCTTTAAGCACCCTGTTTGGTTAATAATGAAGACACACAAATGACTCGACGGAGCCAGAGATCAAGATAACCTAACCAGAAGAAAAAAAAGCTGTTCCCGACCCGCCTTCTCTCGCTGCTGCTGGCCTCTGCCATTATGGCGCCGGAAGTCACCGGTAATAGGCTACACCAGTGGTCGGCAAACTTTTCCATATGGAGTGCCAATTTATCTTGCCATTTCTACCAATCTGTGTGGCAGTTATGATTTTCATATGCACATTTTCGTGGAACAGTTTCATTTCATTTATTGTAGTCTTTGTATCTAAAAATGATTGTCTGTGGTTAATCTACATTCTATCTAAATGAAAATTATACAAATCTAAAAGTAACTTTTATTGCCATTGCCAAATATGTAATAATAGCCTACATAAAGCCACACATTTTTTTTTGCAGCCTGCAGGTAGAAAATATCCTGATTTAAAAATAAATATCCTATACATCACATTGGCTACGCTTGGCCTGTCTGCAACGATCTTGAAACATTGTATCAACTATCAACCGGGTTGCCCCAAAACTTGCGCTAGCAAACTTGAAACATTATATAAAATATTTATAGTTTCCCGCGCCAGTGAGCTCGAGACAGACACAGCTGTAGGCTATATGTGCAAAAGATAAGAAGTAATCAGGTATTTTATGATGCTTCCACTGGATCAGAGCATTACATTTTTCCCTTTCATTCAGAGTGGTTAACAAAAGGGAGAGAGTTTGAAATATTGTTCAAGTACTTTGAGGAACTATTGTCATTCTCAATTGATTCTAGAAACAGACTTTAAATTACTTTGAGAAGCTCCACAGCTCACTATTGGTGGTAATTTAAGACAATCAGAAATACTATCAGACATCCCCAAATGGGCACATTCATAGGCCTACATTTGCGCGCTGGCCAGGTAGACTAGTCCTACTTCTATATGCATAATCAGGTGCGCGTCCTTACTCAACATTGACAGGAGCGTTTCAAACAAAAGATGATGAATAGATTGACAACTCGTAAATGGAATGAAATAAACAGAAACTTGTTTCTCAACAGTGTAGCATAGGTTGTGAGTTCTGCTATACACATGTCCACTCCTGACGATGAGAACAGTAAATTAAGCGTGAGGCCCTGCGTCTGAACCCCGCCCTGTGCAACTGGGTCCTGGACTTCCTGACGGGCCGCCCCCCCCAGGTGGTGAAGGTAGGAAACAACATCTCCACTTCGCTGATCCTCAACACTGGGGCCCCACAAGGGTGCATGCTCAGCCCCCTCCTGTACTCCCTATTCACCCATGACTACGTGGCCAAGCACGCCTCCAACTCAATCATCAAGTTTTCAGACGACACAACAGTAGTAGGCTTGATTACCAACAATGACGAGACCGCCTACAGGGAGGAGGTGAGGGCTCTGGGAGTGTGGTGCCAGGAAAATAACCTCTCACTCAACGTCAACAAAACAAAGGAGAAGATCGTGGACTTCAGGAAACAGCAGAGGGTGCACCCCCCTATCCACATCGACGGGACCCAGTGGAGAAGGTGGAAAGCTTCAAGTTCCTTGGCGTACACATCACTGACAAACTGAAATGGTCCACCCACGCAGACAGTGTGGTGAATAAGGCACAACAGAGCCTCTTCAACCTCAGGTGGCTGAATAAATTTGGCTTGGCACCTAAAACCCTCACAAACTTTTACAGATGAGAGCATCCTGTCGGGCTGTATCCCCGCCTGGTACGGCAACTGCACCACCCGCAACCGCAGGGCTCTCCAGAGGGTGGTGCGGTCTGCCGAACGCATTACCAGGGGCAAACTACCCGCCCTCCAAGACACCTACAGCACCCGATGTCACAGGAAGGCCAAAAAGACCATCAAGGACATCAACCACCCGAGCCACTGCCTGTTCACCCCGCTATCATCCAGAAGCGAGGTCAATACAGGTGCATCAAAGCTGGGACTGAGAGAATGAAAAACAGCTTCTATCTCAAGGCCATCAGACTGTTAAATAGCCATCACTAGCACATTAGAGGCTGCTGCTGCCTATTGAAATCACTGGCCACTGTAATAAATGGAACACTAGTCACTTTAATAATGTTTACATATCTTGCACTACTCATCTCATATGTATATACTGTATTCTATTCTATAATATTCTACTGTATCTTAGTCCATGCCGCTCTGTCATTGCTTGTCCATATATGTATATATTCTTAAATTCCATTCCTTACTAGATTTGTGTGTATTGGGTATATGTTGTGAAATTGTTAGATATTACTTGTTAGATATTATTGCACTGTCGGAGCTAGAAGCACAAGTATTTCGCTACACCCGGAATAACATCTGCTAAACACGTGTATGTGACAAATAACATTGGATTTGACTAATAATAATATATTAAATGCATTAACAGAAATTACCATAACCAAACAAACATTGCAGATGATAAATGATGGGAATTAACTGTAAATGTAGGCTAGTACTGGTGAATAATATAGTGAAGACATTAAAACTATGAAATGACACATATGGAATCATGTAGTAACCAGAAAGGTGTTCAACAAATCAAAATATATTTTATATTTGAGATTCTTCATAGTTGCCACCCTTTGCCTTGATGACCACTTTGCACACCCTTGACATTCTCTCAACCAGCTTCACCTGGAATGCTTTTCCAACTGTCTTGAAGGAGTTCCCACACATGCTGAGCACTTGTTGGGTTGAGGTCGGGGGATTGTGGAGGCCAGGTCATCTGATGCAGCACTCCATCACTCTCCTTCTTGGTCAAATAGCCCTTACACAGCCTGGAGGTGTGTTGGGTCATTTTCCTGTTGAAAAACAAATGATAGTCCCACTAAGCGCAAACCAGATGGGATGGCGTATCGCTGCAGAATGCTGTGGTAGCCATGCTGGTTAAGTGTGCCTTGAATTCTAAATAAATCACTGACAGTGTCACCAGCAAAGCACCATCACACCTCCTTCTCCATCCTTCAAGGTGGGAACCACACATGCGGAGATCATCCGTTCACAAACTCTGCGTCTCACAAAGACCAAAGGACAGAATTCCAGCAGTCTAATGTCCATTGCTTGTGTTTCTTGGCCCAAGCAGGTCTCTCCTTCTTATTGCTGTCCTTTAGTAGTGGTTTCTTTGCAGCAATTTGACCATGAAGGCCTGATTCACCCAGTCTCCTCTGAACAGTTGATGTTGAGATGTGTCTGTTACTTGAACTCTGTGAAGCATTTATTTGAGCTGCAATTTCTGAGGCTGGTAACTCTAATGAACGTATCCTCTGCAGCAGAGGTAACTCTGGGTCTTCCATTCCTGTGGCGGTCCTCATGAAAGCCAGTTTCATCATAGCGCTTGATGGTTTCTGCGACTGCACTTGAAGAAACTTTCAAAGTTCTTAATATTTTCTGGATTGACTGACCTTCATGTCTTAAAGTAATGATGGACTGTCATTTCTCTTTGCTTATTTGAGCTGTTCTTGCCATAATATGGACTTGGTCTTTTACCAAATAGGTCTATCTTCTGTATACCAACCCTACCTTGTCACAACACAACTGATTGACTCAAACGCATTAAGAAGGAAAGAAATTCCACAAATTAACTTTTAACAAGGCAGACCTGTTAATTGAAATGCATTCAAGGTGACTACCTCATGAAGCTGGTTGAGATAATGCCAAGAGTGTGCAAAGCTGTCATCAAGGCAAAGGGTGGCTACTTTGAAAAATCTAAAATATATTTTGATTTGTTTAACACTTTTTTTTTGGTTACTACATGATTCCATATGTGTTATTTCATAGTTTTGATGTCTTCATTATTATTCTACAATGTAAAAAATAGTAAAAATACAGAAACCCTTGAATGAGTAGGCGTTCTAAAACTTTTGACTGGTACTGTATGTAATGGGGAATTGATAGACACAGCAAACACTGCACACAATGAAGTTATGAAACAATGAATACCCATGAAATGGCGGGAGAAAGCGCATTCTGGAGAGAGACGTGCCTTGTGCATCTGAGTCACAATCCCCATATTCTTGGACCGTGGGATCCCTGCGGCCTCCTCAATGGACAGGCGCAAATCATACAGGTGTCATACGTGTGCCATGGAAAAAAAGTATCTATTTGCGACTGCTCGACACCAACAAAATTGGATGTTTTCAATACAAACCCCTTTTTAAAGTTGCACAGTATACCCTCAATCTTGTAATAAATGAAATCTAGTGAAACATACAGTTGAAGTCGGAAGTTTACATACACTTAGGTTGGAGTCATTAAAACTCGTTTTTCAACCACTCCACAAATTTCTTGTAGCTCAGTTGGTAGAGCATGGCGCTTGCAACGCCAGGGTTGTGGGTTCGATTCCCACGGGGGGCCAGTATGAAAAATGTATGCACTCAATAACTGTAAGTCGCTCTGGATAAGAGCGTCTGCTAAAATGACTAAAAGAAAATTGTAAATTAGGAAATTTTGTTAGGGTATTAATGACTAAAATGTAAATGTTAACAAACTATAGTTTTGGCAAGTTAGTTAGGACATCTACTTTATGCATGACACAAGTAATTTTTCGAACAATTGTTTACAAAAAATGTGTAGACCTCCACAAGTCTGGTTCATCCTTGGGAGCAATTTCCAAACGCCTGAGATACCACGTTCATCTGTACAAACAATAGTACGCAAGTATAAACACCATGGCACCACGCAGCCGTCATACCGCTCAGGAAGGAGAAGCGTTCTGTCTCCTAGAGATGAACGTACTTTGGTGCGAAAAGTGCAAATCAATCCCAGAACAACAGCAAAGGACCTTGTGAAGATGCTGGAGGAAACAGGTACAAAAGTATCTATATCCACAGTAAAACGAGTCCTATATCGACATAACCTGAAAGGCCGCTCAGCAAGGAAGAAGCCACTGCTCCAAAACCGCCATAAAAAAGCCAGACTACAGTTTGCAACTGCACATGGGGACAAAGATTGTACTTTTTGGAGAAATGTCCTCTGGTCTGATGAAACAAAAATAGAACTGTTTGGCCATAATGACCATCGTTATGTTTGGAGGAAAAAAGGGGGGGTGGCTTGCAAGTCAAAGAACACCATCCCAACCGTGAAGCACGGGGGTGGCAGCATCATGCTGTGGGGGTGCTTTGCTGCAGGAGGGACTGGTGCACTTCACAAAATAGATGGCATCATGAGGAAGGAAAATTGTGGATATATTGAAGTAACATCTCAAGACATCAGTCAGGAAGTTAAAGCTTGGTCGCAAATGGGTCTTCCAAATGGACAATGACCCCAAGCATACTTCCAAAGTTGTGGCAAAATGGCTTAAGGACAACAAAGTCAAGGTATTGGAGTGGCCATCACAAAGCCCTGACCTCAATCCTATAGACAATTTGTGGGCAGAACTGAAAAAGCGTGTGCGAGCAAGGAGGCCTACAAACCTGACTCAGTTACACCAGCTCTGTCAGGAGGAATGGGCCAAAATTCACCCAACTTATTGTGGGAAGCTTGTGGAAGGCTACCTGAAACGTTTGACCCAAGTTAAACAATTTTAAAGGCAATGCTACCAAATACTAATTGAGTGTATGTAAACTTCTGACCCACTGGGAATGTGATGAAAGAAATAAAAGCTGAAAGAAATCATTCTCTCTACTATTATTCTGACATGTCACATTCTTAAAATAAAGTGGTGATCCTAACTGACCTAAATCTATTACCTAACCTATTCCAGAATGGCAATGACCCAAAACACACGGCCAAGGCAACAAAGGCGTGGCTCAAGAAGAAGCACATTAAGGTCCTGGAGTGGCCTAGCCAGTCTCCAGACCTTAATCCCATAGAAAATCTGTGGAGGGAGCTGAAGGTTCGAGTTGCCAAACGTCAGCCTCGAAACCTTAATGACTTGGAGAAGATCTGCAAAGAGGAGTGGGACAAAATCCCTCCTGAGATGTGTGCAAACCTGGTGGCCAACTACAAGAAACATCTGACCTCTGTGATTGCCAACAAGGGTTTTGCCACATAGTACTAAGTCATGTTTTGCAGAGGGGTCAAATACTTATTTCCCTCATTAAAATGCAAATAAATTTATAAAATTTTTGACATGCGTTTTTCTGGATTTTTTTGTTGTTATTCTGTCTCTCACTGTTCAAATAAACCTACCATTAAAATTATAGACTGATCATTTCTTTGTCAGTGGGCAAACTTACAAAATCAGCAGGGGATCAAATACTTTTTTCCCTCACTGTACATCTACTGGTGAAAACTAGCCAAGTTAATTTACTTCTGTTGAAACGGGACAAAAAGGCTACAAAATTGACAGATGGCTAGAGCTGACTGTGGTAGCTACTTACATTTACATTTAAGTCATTTAGCAGACGCTCTTATCCAGAGCGACTTACAGTTAGTGCATACATTATTTTTTATTTTATATTTATTTTTTTATACCCCCCTTGGGAATCGATCCCACAACCCTGGCGTTGCAAACGCCATGCTCTACAAACTGAGCTACATCCCCTGCCGGCCATTCCCTCCCTCCCCTACCCTAGACGACGCTGGGCCAATTGTGCGCCGCCCCATGGGTCTCCCGGTCGCGGCCGGCTCCGACAGAGCCTGGATTCGAACCAGGATCTCTAGTGGCACAGCTAGGACTGCGATGCTGTGCCTTAGACCACTGCGCCACTTGGTAGCTAGTGTTAGGTTCTGACAAATACAGAGTAAAAATTTGCGGACAACTACGAAAAGCTCAAACCAAGTTTATTCACCCAAAGGGTCAACCAGCTGAAAAGACAAAAACACAAGTTAATATACCCCACTTTAGGTGAAGTCTCCTCCTTTCTCTAAACATTACATCTTTATTACTAGGCAGGAAGTTAAATGATGTGGGTAATCAACTGTTCCTTCCCCTTCATGTGACGTGACCTGACCTGACCTGACCTCGGCCCCCATTCCTCACTAATCCACAGCTATCTACTCTTATCTGACCCCACCATATACATTCCTACTACATATAACCATTAACTTCTGGTGTAGCAAGTATTTCAAATTACAACCCAACAACTGAAACCAGACTTTGGCCCTTCTCTTCTCTATAGGATACCTGATGTCTAACAATAACATGTTCTGACAGAATGTAAACCCGTTGCCTTCCCCTCTCTCCCTCAGTAACATGAATAAGGATATTTCACATTTCAAGTTTAGAACTAGCTAGTTCATTTTCTTCAGACAGAACTTCAGTCGAGAGGGGATGAAACATTAGCTAACGTTACATGTCAGTTACACTACTAGCTCAGCACTGGGAATAAATACTTTTTTTTCTGTTAAGTTAAACAACAGTTACCTTGCCAGCTACATCAGTCAAATATAGTGTAGCCAGTTTCTGCTCTGCTTGCTTTTACAACTCTGAGAAAAGTGCAACACACAGACAGCAGCACCGTGCTGGTCAGAAGCTGCACAGAAGCTTTGCCTTCAGACAGCCTGTCCGCATGCTCTGTGGTGTCCACGTGGTCGTAAATCCAGCCGGCTGAAACTACCAAACAGCCTACCTGGGGGGGGGGGGGGGGTTTATGTGGCCTCCGTCCCCAGTGGAAGTTGCGCCCCTGATCCCAATTGTAGCCAGTTTGTTGTGGCCAGTTATTTTTAAATGCAGCTAAATTGGGACATGATTTCAGCTAAACATAGGGTATGGCAAAGTGACAGTGAAAGTTGAAGCTTATTTACAGCATTTCTACAGAATTTAAAAACTCTCTAAAATGCTATTCGGAGAACAGCAAAAACAAACAAAATTGACTCCAGCCATTATCACCTTGGCTGCTGTAACTTCATTCACCTCAGTTGATAAGGGACATAAATAACATTTGTTTTACAACAACTAGCTGCTAAACACTAGCTCTGCACTGGGATTAAAAACTCTAGTTTAGTTTCATGTCGGGTCAAACAGCAGTTACCTAGCCATTTACAGCCATCTTCCACCTCATGCTGTTCACTGCAGCCAGGCAAACAGCCTTCCCGCCCGCTCCGAGGCGTCCACATGGTCCTAAAGCCAGCCCCAATATGCTAAACTGCTATTGTCTTTTAATCGGGATTGGGATGATTTTAATACTCTGCCATACCCGATTGACACCCCTGTGAGACTAATAGCAAAAGGCCAGGGCCAGCGGTATGTTTAGATTTTAGTTCCAGACTTGTGACACAGTGCCTTGCAGTCAGAGACTGAAGAAGGCTTTAGGGATGTACCTACATTAGACCGTCAGAGGATGAGAACACAATGAACTATGTCTGGCCACAATCAGCGTCTGAAACGATCATTAGTGTCATTCTGTATTATATTCTGGTTGATAACAGATTGCTGTTGTAAAAAAACATGTTACAACATATTGAGGAACATTCAGGCAGTTTATATAGTTTGTTTACAACAAATGTTTAACCTGTTTTTATGATCAGGAATGTGTTCTCTGTACGTTCCTAAATATGTCCCATTCCCTGCCTTGACTGGTGAACAACCGCTAGAGACTAAATACTTGATAATCGCCCGAGTGTTTCAGTAAAGACAGACCCGGTATAGTGAAGGGATGGCAGTAGCTGGGCTGCTACAGGAGGAAACGTGCTTCAATAGCATAGAGGGATGTGCATTGAAATGATGGACTGAGGTGCACTGGGCTTATTTAACTCTCTGTTGTGTGTGTGGGTCCCAAATGGCATTCCCCAATCCCAACATAGTGCACTACTTCTGATCAGAGCCCTATGAAGCCATGGCCAAAGGTAGTGCACTTTAAAGGGAATAAGGTGCTATTTGGGATACACGCCGTGACAGACTATTAACATATAAACTGGCCGGCGCACGCAAGATTTAGGCCTAGTTCTGGGTTTGGATTAATTAAGCTCAGAACACATCACTGCTGAGTGTCTGACCCCCCCCCCCTCTCCCCCCCCCCTGATTTAGCCATGACAATATGTGGACTGAGGACTATCTAATTAGCCAATGGCACTGACTGAGGTGTACCGTACTGCACTGTCTGGATTTGAATCATATGCTTAGTAACCCCAGAATGTACACAGGCCAAGTCTTTGGTTTATACTGTAGCATGACATCCAGGGGTTACGTCCCAAATCGCACCCTATTTCCTGTACAGTGCACTACTTTTAACCAGGGCCCATAGGAAATACTAGGCTGTCTTTTGGGACGCGTCACAGAGCTTACACAACTCGGAACATATTGCTGCAGACCCCCCCTCTTAGGCCTGACGATATGTGGACTGAGTTGCCAGAGCCTCAGCCTGCAGGGATTCTGGGCCTGGTGTTTTAAACACACTGGATATGGGAGGAATGTGCTCTGAGTCTTATGAAAATAAATCTCTGTGTTATGAATTCATGTGAGAGGCTGAGAGCCAGGGCTCCCTGCTGTGGTCAAACTGTGCCACCTATAGAGTGTTAAAGTCTTGAGTAAGAAGATGGATTTACAGGGTCAAAATAGTGAAGAAAATGATGTCAACACTGAAGTTGAACATGGATTATGGCAATTATTCAAAAATCTTTACCAGAAATATGCATTATTTTGCTGTAGTGTGTGGAGCAGTATTTGGGGAAGAGAAATAGTGGGGAGCAGAATTTGGGTAAGATAAATAGCGTTACGGTGTTCTAAAACAAAACAAAGACATTTCCAATAGAAGATGTATTTGTTTATCCAACTGTGGTCTCTCTCTCCATACCAACCGTGGTGTCTCTCTCCATACCAACCGTGGTGTCTCTCTCCATACCAACCGTGGTCTCTCTCTCCATACCAAATGACAGTAAATTGGACAGTAGTGTAATTCTAGGCCTATTTAGTGTATTCACTGTCTCCATACTCTCACTAGCCACAACATGGAATTGAGCTTCACCCACCGAGTCCCCAGTGTGTGTGGGTGGGTGTGTCCGTGTCTGTGCGTGTGTGCGTGCCCGTTCGCGCGTGTGTTGCGTGGGCGCAAAAGCACTCCTCTGCCTACCCCCTCCTGTTTAACCTGCCCACTAGTTACACAGTACACTTCCTGGGAGGAATGTGACTGTGGCTGAGAATGGATTCATCATCATAATACGTCTATTCATGCTTTTACCTTTGTCATCACTTCTACCTCTTAGGAAAAACGATGTTCTCTTACATTATATTTCTGTTACGCTATGAGTCAAACATTCAAATACACTTTATTTTGTGATAGAATCGTATGGTATAATGTACTTCATGTTCATGTCGAGGTCAAGCTCAGTACATTTAATATACAGTGTGTGTTTTAAAGAACATCTAGAATAGAATACCACATAACAATAGAACTATAGAACCAACCATAACCATAGAAAGCACTTTTATGTTTACTTACGATCTAGGCTTTATCTCTGTTGGTCTTATAAAATAAAATCACATTTTATTTGTCACATGCGCTGACTTACAAGCCCTTAACCAACAATGCATTTTTAAGAAAAATGTTTATTTTTTTTTACTTCAGTTTATTTAGTAACACAATAAAATAACAATAACGGGGTACCGGTACTGAGTCAATGTGCGCGGGTACAGGTTAGTCGAGGTAATTGAGGTAGTATGTACATGTAGGTAGGGGTAAAGTGACTATGCATAGATAATAAACAGGGAGTAGCAGCAAGGGTCAATGCAAATAGTCCAGGTAGCCATTTGATGAATTGTTCAGCAGTCTTATGGCTTGGGGGTAGAAGCTGTTAAGAAGCCTTTTTGGACCTAGACTTGGCGCTCTGGTACTGCTTGCCATGCAGGCAGCAGAGAGAACAGTGTATGACTAGGGTGGCTGGAGTCTTTGAAAATGTTTTGGGCCTTCCTCTGACATCGCCTAGTATAGAGGTCCTGGATGGCAGGAAGCTTGGCCCCAGTGATGTACTGGGCCGTACGTGCTACCCTCTGTCGGATGCCGAGCAGTTGCCATACCAGGCGGTTGATGCAACCGGTCAGGATGCTCTCGATGGTGCAGCTTTATAACTTTTTGAGGATCTGAGGATCCATGCCAAATCTTTTCAGTCTCCTGAGGGGGAATAGGCGTTGTCGTGCCCTCTTCACGACTGTCTTGGTGTGTTTGGACCATGATAATTTGTTGGTGATGTGGACACCAAGGAACTTGAAGCTCTTATGAAAGCTTGGTCCTGGGGCCTCGTGCATCTAGAATCTAGATTCAACACTGATATCACACAGGAACTCTATTGATAACAATGTTTATTCTGGAACTGATTCCGCTAAGTAACTTCTCTATTTCTGCCATTACAAGCAGTACTGAATGTGTCATGGTAAATTATGGGAACTTTTAATAAATTCCCTGGTTTTCCAGAAATCCTGGTTGGAGTATTCCGGATTTCCTGCTTATTCCCTCCTGATACCGCTAAACCTCCAACTGGGATTTTGGGAAAACCAGGGACTTTATTGACACTTACCGGAATTCTCCAACCCGAGTCATGCTGCAGTGCTATGCTGCCCACACAGTACTGAATGTGTCATGCTGCAGTGCTATGCTGCCCACGCAGTATTGAATGTGTCATGCTGCAGTGCTATGCTGCCCACGCAGTACTGAATGTGTCATGCTGCAGTGCTATGCCGCTCACACGTGTTTGACTATCAGCGTATGAGTAATTTAACACTGAGAGAAAGTAGCAATAAGCTGAGACATTTGACACATCCGTACTGACTGTTCCAGAACATTTTCCTTGCTCGTTTTTGAAATAACGTCCTGGCATTTAGAATGTTTTGTGTTCCAAGTGGCACCCTATTCCGTATATAGCTCTATGGGCCATGGTCAAAAGAAGTGCACTGTGAAGGGAATGAGATGCCATTTGTGATGCAGGCAATGCCTCCAATATAACGTTAGCTACCCGTCTCAGGCCTGTTGAGTTCTCAGGTCCTTGACATTTGGTCTTGTCCTCCTCTATGTTGGATGCTAAAATGAAAGACATTACATCAAAGAAAAAAAAAAAAAAGAAAAAAACATTCACCGTCACCACTGTTCTACTGTTTCTCTCACATGGATTCGTCTGGTTGTCAGAATAGCCTAGTGTCTGTGTGTGGCCTACCCAATAGAAACGCCCTTGACACTCAGTCAGGACACAGCAGCTGTAAAGGTCACAGTGTGGTCTTGAAGGTGGTAAAGTTTGGAGAGAGGAGAGGGGTGGGGGGGGGGGTTTATCAGCCTGTCTGTTTTTCATAACACTAGTTGGGTCTAAGCCGTCATGCCTCTGTGGAACACTGTGGAATGTAGACACGGGTGACGTTTGTGTGCGATGGGTTTTACGAGAGAGAGAGAGAGAGATTTCAGTGTAGTTCTGGTGGCCCTTAGTTGGCTGTGGAGGGATTATGGATTACATTTCCTGTCCTGTTTGGTTCTGTCATATCCTGTTCTGTCATATCCTGTTCTGTCATATCCTGTTCTGTCATATCCTGTTCTGTTCTGCCATGGCCTGTTCGGTTCTGTCATATCCTGTTCTGTCATATCCTGTTCTGTCATATTCTGTCATGTCCTCTTCTGTTCTGTCCTGTTCTGTCATATCCTGTTCTGTCATGTCCTGTTCTGTCCTGTTCTGTCATGTTATGTCATGTTCTACATCTGCATTGCTTGCTGTTTGGGGTTTTATGCTGGGTTTCTGTATAGCACTTTGTGACATCTGCTGATGTAAAAAGGGCTTTATAAATAACATTTGATTGATTGGTTGTCCTGTCGTGTGTGTCGTGTCATGTTCTGTCATAACCTGTTCTGTCATGTTCTGTCATATCCTGTTCTGTCATATTCTGTCTTGTCTTGTTCTGTCATGTCCTCTTCTGTTCTGTCCTGTTGTGTCAATGCCCTGTTCGGTCATCTCCCATCTGTTCTGTCATCTCCCATCTGTTCTGTCATACCTTGTTCTGTCATGTCCTACCTGTTATGTCATGTTCTGTTTTGTCATGTCATGTTCTGCCTTGTCCTTTCATGTTCTGTCATGTCCTATCCTGTCCTGTTCTGTCATGTCCTGTCCTGACCTGTCCTGTCCTGTCCTGTCCTGTCCTGTCCTGTTCTGTCCTGTTCTGGCCTGTTCTGTCATGTCCTGTTCTCTCCTGTTCTGTCATGTCCTGTTCTGTCCTGTTCTGTCACGTCCTGTTCTGTCATGTCCCTGAGACAGAGGGGGTATAGATCTAGGATGGTGATGGCTGCCTATTGAGGCTCAGGCTATAGCCTGGTCCCAGGTTTTGCCATGTCTATTCGGCACACAGATCTGGGACCCAGGTTTTGCCATGTCTATTCGGCACACAGATCTGGGACCAGGTTTTGCCATGTCTATTCGGCACACAGATCGTCAGTTTTGCCATGTCTATTCGGCACCAGATTGGTCCGTTTGCCATGTCTATTCGGCACACAGATCTGGTCCCAGGTTTTGCCATGTCTATTCGGCACACAGATCTGGGACCAGGTTTTGCCATGTCTATTCGGCACACAGATCTGGGACCAGGTTTTGCCATGTCTATTCGGCACACAGATCTGGGACCAGGTTTTGCCATGTCTATTCGGCACACAGATCTGGGACCAGGTTAGGCAGGACCATGTTGGCCACAAAGGACAAACCGATCTGGAACCAGGCTAGGAGGCTCATGGAAACTAAGGTTTGATTCCCCCTCAATTAGGCTTGGGCGGTATACCGTATATACCGTACACCGGGGTATTTCGAAAAAAGCCACAGGATGGTTATTCAATACTGTCAATACCGTAAAAACAATTTATTTGAAGTTTGTCAATACATTTGAATATTTGTAGCAACTTTTTAAGTTAATACCTGCAGTCAACTTGTGCAATACGTTTGGAGATAAAGCAGATTGCGTTCTTCATTTCACCTGTCACATTATTTTACATTATGAAGCGTAGTTCCACAGAACATGTGTTTGTTTGTAAATAGCAGCTATTTGGCTGGCAGCCACACAAGTAAATGAGCTTACAATGACAAAGCAAGGTATTTTTTTCAAAAACAATGCATGGCCATCGTATTTCTACTGCTTATCATAGAAAGAATGTAGCCAGCTACATTTCCTAATGTTTTGCTTAAATTTAATATTGCACTTTACCAGTGGTGTAAAGTACTTAAGTAAAAATACTTTAAAGTACTACTTAAGTCATTTTTGGGGGGTATCTGTACTTTACTTTACTATTTATATTTTTGGCCAACTTTTACTTCACTACATTCCTGAAGAAAATAATGTACTTTTTACTCCATACATTTTTCCTTACACCCAAAAGTACTCGTTACATTTTGAATGCTTAGCAGGACAGGAAAATGGTCCAATTCACGCACTTATCAAGAGAACCACCCTGGTCATCCCTACTGCCTCTGATCTGGCGGACTCACTAAACACACATACTTCATTTGTAAATTATGTCTGAGTGTTGGAGTGTGCCCCTGGCTATCTGTCAATAAAAATAAGAAATACAAATGTGTGCCCTCTGGTTTGCTTAATGTAAGGAATTTGAAATGGTTCATACTTTTACTTTTGATACTTAAGTACATTTTAACAATTCCATTTACTTTATATACTTAAGTATATTTAAAACCAAATAGTTTTAGACTTTTACTCAAGTAGTATTTTACTGGGTGACTTTCACTTTTACTTTAGTAATTTTCTATTAAGGTATCTTTTACTTTTACTCAAGTAGGACAATTTAGTACTTTTTCCACCACTGCACTTTACAAGAGAAAAGTGGGCTAGCTACACCGAGAAAAGTAGCTGGACATCAGTTAGAACGTTGTCTGCCTGTTCGTGAATTCTCATCCGAGTGGAGAAGTGCAACTGAAGAACAAAATTAGTCTGATGCCGAGCAGAAATTACAATAAGAAGCATTTTAGATCCGCGTTGACAAAATGCAGCAAGATATTTCTTATGCGTTTTTATCTTTTTTTGTTGTTGTGAAAAACGCAGAATTCTGGGTTAATGCGACCCCTAAATTTAACTTGCTAGTTATCTAAGTGGCTGAAATACTAATGTGACGGGGCTTCATGTTGTGTTATCTTTCTGCCATGTTTGAGAATAAAAGCCATTTGGATGAGTTACAGTGAGGGAAAAAAGTATTTGAACCCCTGCTGATTTTGTAAGTTTGCCCACTGACAAAGAAATGATCAGTCTATAATTTTAATGGTAGGTTTATTTGAACAGTGAGAGACAGAATAACAACAAAAAAATCCAGAAAAACGCATGTCAAAAATGTGATAAATTGATTTGCATTTTAATGAGGGAAATAAGTATTTGACCCCTCTCAATCAGAAAGATTTCTGGCTCCCAGGTGTCTTTTATACAGGTAACGAGCTGAGATTAGGAGCACACTCTTAAAGGGAGTGCTCCTAATCTCAGATTGTTACCTTTATAAAAGACACCTGTCCACAGAAGCAATCAATCAATCCGATTCCAAACTCTCCACCATGGCCAAGACCAAAGAGCTCTCCAGGGATGTCAGGGACAAGATTGTAGACCTACACAAGGCTGGAATGGGCTATAAGACCATTGCCAAGCAGCTTGGTGAGAAGGTGACAACAGTTGGTGCGATTATTCGCAAATGGAAGAAGCACAAAATAACTGTCAATCTCCCTCGGCCTGGGGCTCCATACAAGTTCTCACCTCGTGGAGTTGCAATGATCATGAGAACGGTGAGGAATCAGCCCAGAACTACACGGGAGGATCTTGTCAATGATCTCAAGGCAGCTGGGACCATAGTCACCAAGAAAACAATTGGTAACACACTACGCCGTGAAGGACTGAAATCCTGCAGCGCCCGCAAGGTCCCCCTGCTCAAGAAAGCACATAAACAGGCCCGTCTGAAGTTTGCCAATGAACATCTGAATGATTCAGAGGAGAACTGGGTGAAAGTGTTGTGGTCAGATGAGACCAAAATCGAGCTCTTTGGCATCAACTCAACTCGCCGTGTTTGGAGGAGGAGGAATGCTGCCTATGACCCCAAGAACACCATCCCCACCGTCAAACATGGAGGTGGAAACATTATGCTTTGGGGGGTTTTCTGCTAAGGGGATAGGACAACTTCACCGCATCAAAGGGACGATGGACGGGGCCATGTACCGTCAAATCTTGGGTGAGAACCTCCTTCCCTCAGCCAGGGCATTGAAAATGGGTCGTGGATGGGTATTCCAGCATCACAATGACCCCAAACACACAGCCAAGGCAACAAAGGAGTGGCTCAAGAAGAAGCACATTAAGGTCCTGGAGTGGCCTAGCCAGTCTCCAGACCTTAATCCCATAGAAAATCTGTGGAGGGAGCTGAACGTTCGAGTTGCCAAACGTCAGCCTCGAAACCTTAATGACTTGGAGAAGATCTGCAAAGAGGAGTGGGACAAAATCCCTCCTGAGATGTGTGCAAACCTGGTGGCCAACTACAAGAAAACGTCTGACCTCTGTGGGGTTTTGCCACCAAGTACTAAGTCATGTTTTGCAGAGGGGTCAAATACTTATTTCCCTCATTAAAATACAAATCAATGTATAACATTTTTGACATGCGTTTTTCTGGATCTTTTTGTTGTTATTCTGTCTGTCACTGTTCAAATAAACCTACCATTAAAATGATAGACTGATCATGTCTTTGTCAGTGGGCAAACGTACAAAATCAGCAGGGGATCAAATACTTTTTTCCCATCACTCTATCTGTACAGCTGGGACTGCTATCTTGATTTTCTTGAAATGTTATATCCTCTCTGTTCTGGCCTGTCTGCTCCTCCCCCATCTTCTCTGAGCAGAGCAGGCTGTTGTTCTAGCGACTCGACACAGATCCAGCGTGTACCCATGCTGCTCCAGTGCCAGTACTGTCCTTCCTTCAAAACTTTGTTCATTTTGTCACAGGCCGGCTCATAGCCTGTGGCAAAAATGAGGGGACATGAACAACAGGTATAGGCCAATCAAAAGGTTATTTTATTGTAAACCAAAAACTATTTAACTTTAAACAAAGAAAAAGGAATGAGGTGTGGAAATGTCATAATGTAGGGTGTAGGTAAGGTGCATGGATGCATGAATCTGTGTGTGTGTGAACATGACTGAGTGGAAACTAAGTAAACCTGCAAAGGAACAAACAAACCAGGACCATACCTGGAGGAGCAGGGAGAGAGAGAGAGAGAGAGAGTGGTTAGTGAAGCAGTTTTAAATACCCTGAGCCCAGGTGGCTCCAATCACACCAACTCCAATCACTAACAAACCTCCTCTGCCTGCAGGAGGAACCGCCCCTGCACTGCAGAGGAGGGGCCGTGACACCCCCCTCCTTAAAATGAGGGTCCCACCCTCAACCCAAATTACGACCCAACATATTTAAAACAATCCAAAATTCCTCCCAAAAATAAAAAATAAAAACGGATACCAGTCCCGGCTTCCAACAGTAGCCCCGTGTCCCCTAGCTGAATGTCCGTCCTCAAACTCAGCAGCCCTGGTACCTGGGGAGCAATTTAAGAGAAAAGAGGCGCAGACAGCCCGCAGGGGTCAGCAGAGAGAAAATGCAAACTAGGCTAAAGGAGCACGGGACAGAGCATCAGCAATGATATTATCCTTACCACTAATATGTCTAATATCGAGGTTGAATGGTTGCAAGAACAAAGCCCAACGCATCAGGCGCTGGTTTGGATTTTGCAGGGACTTCAGAAAAATAAGTGGGTTGTGGTCAGTAAACACAGTTACAGGGGTTAAACCAGAACCAACATAGACCTCGAAGTGCTGTAAAGCCCAAATGAGACCTAAAGCCTCCTTTTCAATTACAGAATGGTTTTGCTGATACTTATTAAATTTCCGGGAAAAGAAACTGACTGGACACTCAACATTGTCATCATTTTCCTGGAGAAGCACAGCCCCAGCACCAATTTGACTGGCATCTACCTGCAATTTGAAAGATTTCCTAAAATTTGGTGCTGCCAACACGGGTGCCAAACACAAAAGAGCCTTAACAGCATCAAATGCCTCTTGACACTGGGTGGACCAGATAAATTCAGCCTTGGCCTTCAACAGATTGGTCAGGGGGGACACTACTACCGAAAAGTTTTTACAGAAAGCACGGTAGTACCCCACCATTCCCAGGATGCGCATCAGTTCTTTCTTTGTGGAGGGCTGTGGGAACTGCTTCACAGTCTGAACCTTGGCTTCCACGGGACAGACAACACCCTGACCCACAACCTTGCCCAGGTATGTGACTGTAGCTTTAGCAAACTCACACTTTGCCAAATTGATAGTCAACCTGGCCCACACCAGTCTTTCGAACAGGGCTTGCACTCCACAGAGTCTGAGTTATAGGACCACGTCATCCAAATACACGGCACACCCTTCCAGACCTGAGACCACCCGATTCATCAGCCTCTGGAAGGTGGCTGGAGCATTCCGCAAGCCGAAAGGCATCACTGTATAAGAGAACAAACCAGATGGAGTTATAAAGGCAGCAATCTCACAAGCTCTTTTGGTAAGGGGTACTTGCCAATATCCCTTTGAGAGATCAAATTTGCTAACATACTTTGCCGACCCAACTTGATCAATACAGTCCTCCATCCTAGGAAGAGGGTAAAGGTCTGCTTTAGTAACATTGTTAACTTTTCTATAATCAGTGCAAGGTCTGAAAGTGGAATCAGACTTCTTGACCAGAAGACAGGGTGAAGCCCAATTTGAACAACATGGCTCCGCCAATACCATTGTCCAACATATACCGCACCTCTGTTTCCAACTGCAGTCTCTTCTCCTGAGATACACGATAAAATCTCTGTTTAATAGGCTTAGCATCTCCGATATCTATGTCACGCTCAATTAAATGGGTTTTCGATAAGAGTGTCAGAAAACAAAACAGGGTAGCTTCTAATAAGATCTACCAATGCATCACGTTTCTCAGAGTCTAAATGATCTACCAAAACCCCAAGGTTTTGCAAAGTCTGGGAATTGTTCAACCGACCTTGTAAGACCTCATCCGAAACCCTAACTACCTCCTCTTCTCCCCCCCCCCTCCACAAAGTTAAAGCCACAAGACTGTAGTGACTGGAACAGCAGTCAACGCTGACCTCACCGCTGGAGTGCCTTCCACTTTGCTTAGATCACGGGAGTGATAACATTTTAACAGGTTCACATGGCATCATTTAGAAGACTTCCTATGACCAGGGGTTTCAATGAGATTAGTTCAAATCTGACACTTTGCGCAACACAGTGAAAGGACCACAGTATTTTTTGCCTGAAAAGGTGAACTTACAAGAGGCAAAAGAGCAAGTACACGATCACCGGGACTAAACCCACGGAGCTCAGACTGTCCGTCATATTTTTCTGTTTCATTTTCTGTTGAGAACATATTCGTTTTTCTTTCGCCGGTTCACCAGCCCTATACAACTTCAGCCTAAAACCATTTACATAGTCAATTTGGGTTAGTTTAGTTCAGATTGGCAAATTTTTTGTTTGAGGGGATGTTTTGGTTGGGCCAATATTGTTGGAGAGAGCGTTGAGAGCCATGTGTTCTTTTGGTTTAGTTAATTTGGTAGTTAAATTTGGGTAGCAATTCACTCTGGGTTTTTCTGGGTTGTTGTTCAAGTGGGAGTCCTCTCCTGTTCAGGCTTATCAGCTAGTGTCAGTAGGAGGCTCGTGGTGTTTTTGTTTTAGGTGGCAGTGAACGTGGGTAGAGCTTCCCTTTCCCTTTTCCCTTACATCGGCTCGGGAGCACCTCCGTGGTTATGGGGGGGGGTTTCTGGTTGTCTTTTCCACTCCACTGGTTTTGTGTGCATAAAGCCCCACCACACGTGACTGCACGAAGACTAGGGCCAGTTAGTTAGTTGTTTTTGGAGGATAGTGGGGTGTGGCTCTTGTCCTTGAACCCAGACTGACAGCAGGTGAATTGTGTATTTTTTTTGTTTTGGAGCATTTGTAATGGTTGTATTGGTTGAGTAAAATGTCTTACATTCTGAGTGGTTTTGTTCAAGCTCCTTCAGAGGTAGCCTTAGAGTTGTGTACTAAGGAGCAGTTAATTGAAATTGCTGAACATTATCAGATTGAGATTGTTGATAAAAAAAATTAAAGAGACTGTTAAAGCTAAATTAAAGCAGGGTCTTAGGGGAATAGGTGTTTTTTTGGGTCAATCTGCTAGTAGTGAGGGCACAAGTTTTCAGTCTAGTTCTTCATTAACTTTTGAGCAGCAGAGGGAGCTGTTTGCATATGCAGTTGGAGATAGAGCGATTGAGAAATGCTAATAGACCAGAGGGACTACCACAGTTTGATGTTTCACGGAATCTTTGTTTGTTGCCGAAATTTGATGAGTCAGATCCAGACACATCATTTGCTTTATTTGAGCGTATTTTTGCGAAAGCTTGGTCAGATTTGGACATGACTATGTTGTTGCAATGTGTACTTACAGGTAAAGCACGTGAGGCTTTTGTAGCACTGAGTGTAGCTGACAGTAAAGTGTATGATAAAGTTAAATCAGCAGTTCTGAAGGTCTACGAGCTTGTGCCAGAGGCATATCGTCAACGTTTTCGTTACAGGAAAAAGTTAGATTCACAAACCTATTCTTAGTTTGTTTGTGATTTGACTTCTGCATTTAATCGTTGGTGTACAGCTTCTGAAGTTAGTACTTTTGAGGGTCTGTCTAATTTGATTGTGTTAGAACAGTTCAAAAATTCTGTGTCTGACCAGGTTGCTACATACATGAACGAACGTAAAGTTAAGTCTCCAGGTGATGCAGTGGTCCTTGCAGGTGAGTACAGGCTAACACATAAAAGCCATTTTGAGTCAAACAGTGACAAGTACCATTAAAATAACTTCCCTTCTAGGAATAGTAGGTCACCTTATTTTGGAGCTTCTTTTCAAAGGCCTCAGCAGAAGTTTGGGTCTGGAGGACTTAAAGCACCGGTTAATGGTAATACCTGTCGCTACTGTTTAGTTGAAGGACATTGGAAGAAAGATCCTGTCTTCTACTTAAATCAAAAAAGTGGGGTCAAGTTAGACCTGCTGTGACGGCAGCTCCTGTTACAGCCTCTGACCACCAGAATGAGTTTTTTTCAGCCACTAGTTGAGTTTGATTCTCAGTCTTCCCACGGTGATTTTTTCAGCCTTTATTTCAGATGGTGTAGTGTCCCTGGTAGATGGCAACCAAAACTGTTTCAATCAAGATCTTAAGAGACACTGGAGCTTTTAGATTATTTTTATTTTGGAATCTGTGTTGCCGTTCTGTAAGGAGTCTGATGCTGGCAGATGTGTAATGGTACGTGGTGTGGGTTTAGTTCCACTCTCCTTTACATGAAGTTACCCTAAAATGTGGTCTGGTAGAGGGTGATGTAGATGTTGGGGTGAGACCCCAGTTGCCAGTAGAGGGAGTACACATGATTTTGGGGAACGACTTGGCGGGTAGTAAGGTGTGGGCAGATGGCAAATTAAACATCTTTATGAAGCAACCTTCAGTGTCCCCAGCAAAGGTATCTCCAGATCTCAACTGTGTGTCTCCTAAGGTATTTCCAGTTTTGTGCTGTTACCCGCGCTGCCTCTCGTAATAATGTTGAGAGTAAGCCAGAAAGTCTCGAGTTGCCCGGTCAAACTCCAGACAGAACAGTTGACTAGTTCTAGAGATTAATTGATAGCTGAGCAAAAGGCCGATACTACCTTGGCTGATCTGTTTGATAAAGTTGTTCCTGATTCAGTGGTGAGGAATAGTGTTCAGTGTTATTTTCTTCTTGATGGGCTGTTGGTCAGGAAATGTGTTCCACACTATGATCAGGGTCTAGGAGAACCAGTCTTTCAAATAGTTGTACCTACTACTTTGCGAAATAAAGCTTCACATGATGATGTGGCAGGTCATATGGGTGTTCGTAAAACTTCTAATGGTATATATTTTTTTTCTGGCCACGTTTAAAGCGGGATGTAGCTAAGTTTATTAAAACTTGTGATACGTGTCAGCGCACAAGCAAGCCAAACCAGGTTTTAAAGCCAGCACCTTTGTATCCAATACCAGCCGTAGGGCAACCTTTTGAGAGCCTCTTATTATCGATTGTGTTGGGCCTTTACCACGGTCCAAGTCAGGTCATAGCTACTTATTAACTGTTACGTGTCAAGCAACTAGATATCCGGCAGCTTTTTCCTTGCGTACCATAACTTCAAAATCAGTAGTTAAAGCGTTAACTCAATTTATTTCATCATTTGGGATTCCAAAAATCATCCAGGCAGATCAGGGGTCTAACTTTACCTCCCGTTTATTTGCTCAGGTTCTCAAACAGCTTAAAGTTAAACACAACAAGTCTACTGCGTTCCATGCCCAGAGCCAGGGAGCTTTGGAACGTTTTCATCAAACTTTAAAATCCTTGCTTCGTGCATATTGTAAAGAACTGTCTGCAGATTGGGAGGATGTCTCTCATTCACATTAGCTTGTAAATGTCCAAACTCACCAAAAATGACATTTGGTAGCTCCTACCTACAGTGCATTTGGAAAGTATTCAGACAACTTGACTTTTTCCACATTTTGTTACGTTACAGCCTTATTCTAAAATTGATTAAATTGTTTTTTCCCCTCATCAATCTACACACAATACCCCATAATGACAAAGCAAAAACAGGTTTTTAGACATTTTTGCTATTATAAATGTAAAACTGATATATCAAATTTACATAGGTATTCAGACCCTTTACTCAGTACTTTGTTGAAGCACCTTTGGCAGCGATTACAGCCTCGAGTCTTCTTGGGTATGACGCTACAAGCTTCTCCCATTCTTCTCTGCAGATCCTCTCAAGCGCTTGCAGGTTGGATGGGGAGTGTCGCTGTACAGCTATTTTCAGGTCTCCAGAGATTTCAATCGGGTTCAAGTCCACTCAAGGACATTCAGAGACTTGTCCCGAAGCCACTCCTGCATTGTCTTGGCTGTGTGCTTAGGGTCGTTGTCCTGTTGGAAGGTGAACCTTCGCCCCAGTCTGAGGTCCTGAGCGCTCTGGAGCAGGTTTTCATCAAGGATCTCTCTGTACTGTGCTCCGTTCATCTTTCCCTCCATCCTGACTAGTCTCTCAGTCCCTGCCGCTGCAAAACATCCCCACAGCATGATGCTGCCACCACCATGCTTAACCGTAGGGATGGTGCCTGGCTTTCTTCAGACATAACGCTTGGCATTCAGGCCAAAGAGTTCAATCTTGGTTTCATCAGACCAGAGAAACGTGTTACTCATGGTCTGAGAGTCCTTTAGGTGCCTTTAAGCGGGCTGTCATGTGCCCTTCTCCCCCGGTTGCTCAGTTTGGCCTGGCAGCCAGCTCTAAGAAGAGTCTTGGTGGTTTCAAACTTCTTCTATTTATGAATGATGGAGGCCACTGTGTTCTTGGGGATCTTCAATGCTGCAGAATTGTTTTGGTACCCTTCTCCAGATCTGTGCCTCGACACAATCCTGTCTCGGAGCTCTACAGACAATTCCTTCGACCTCATGGCTTGGTTTTTGCTCTGACATGCACTGTCAACTGTGGGACCTTATATAGACAGGTGTGTGCCTTTCCAAATCAAGTCCAGTCAATTGAATTTACCACAGGTGGACTCCAATCAAGTTGTAGAAACATCTTAAGGATGATCAATGGAAACAGGATGTACCTGAGCTCAGGGTCTGAATACTTATGTAAGTAAGGTATTTCTGTTTTTATTTTTAATACATTTGCAACAATTTCTAAAACCTGTTTTCGCTTTGTCATTATGGGATATTGTGTGTAGATTGATGAGGAAATTGTTTTATTTAATCAATTTTAGAATAAGGCTGTAACGTAACAAAATGTGGAAAAAGTCAAGGGGTCTGAATACTTTCCGAATGCACTGTATATATGTGTAACTTCATGGGCTGAATTGCCTGTCTTTGCAATTTTGTTTATTTTCGTTTGTGCTCGTTAGCATGTTTAGCTAGCAGCCTCCATTGAAATTCGCTATTACTTGTGCTAATTCTGTTAGCATACTGGTAATAGATGCCCAATGGGCTTTTTTGTGGGGTTTTTTTTTTGGCGCCCCCTAGTGTACTAAGCCGGTAATACCATAAATCCCGGGATGAGAGAAGGACAGTATGATGATATGAAAATCTGGATACCGCCAACCCTACCCACAATTCTCTTTTTTTATTAGCTAGGAGGTCTGTCTGACTAGGAACACACATCAGGAAAGTAAGACTCGGGTAGATGGGGAGGAAAGGGGGATACCTAGTCAGTTGCACAACTGAATGCATTCAACTGAAATGTGTCTTCCGCATTTAACCCAATCAGAGTGTAGCTTGAAATCAGAAGAAAATTTAAGAGCCGTTTATTCTGACCTGGGGTAGTTTAAGCAAGGCAGGACAAATAGTTTGTACTGTGTGTGTGTGTCTGTGTTTTGTTTTTTTGTGTGCTGTGTGCCGGGGTGTCAAACAAATGGCCTGTGGCTCCAGCTAGCATGTAGTTGCCAAGGATGAGACCGAGACAGATGGAGGGAGAGAGGAGGGACTGTTCAGGTTGGATAGTTCGGACACCCCCCACCTCCTACATGTTGGCCATGATGGTAATCTCCACAGAGACACCTCCCCCTATCTGTCTGGTCTGAGGTGTGTGTGTGTGTTCAGTAATAATAACCCAGTAGCAACGTAACGTCCGGGACACACGGGACCATCACTCAAGACAGAGAAGCAGAGGGAAAGAGATCGAGGTAAGAGCTGACCATGGAGAAGGAAAGACAGGGAACCATGACACATAGAAACCCACAACATGGATATGGGCCTGGCCATCGGCACGGGATGGAGCAGGTAAGTGACCTACTCCATGTGAAGTTACTTACCGTAATGACTCTAAATGCAGAGCTATAGACTCACTCTAAACAGTTATTCAATAGTGGAATTGTTTTAGTCCAGAATATGTCTGTACTCTGTAATCAGATACCTACCGTATAAGACCTTTTTTAGATTTGTGTTCTTGTCTGTGCTGTTCAATTCTGCACTGACTGGCTCTGGCTTTCACTCTCATCTGGGTTTAATCGTTGGCCATCTCTTCCAAGTTTGAAACTAAATTAAATTGTAGACGATTAGCCCATGTTATTAGAGGCACAGAGTTGATAGCAGATAGAATGTAAAGGTAAGGATTCTCCAATTCACAGCGATCAAGGTTAAGAGGGCAAACTGTTGGAGTAGTGGTTATCACCATATAAATATGATCTCTGTAATCACTTTCTATGATTATTACTCTGTAACAACCCTATGATTGTCTCTGTAATGATTTGAATCACTTTAACATATCAACCCTCCTAATACACTACCTATACCACCCTTTCTTTTCCAATATATCTGTTCTTTTGAATATTCTTATGTTTAGAGAGGAGAGAGAGAGAGAGAGAGGGAGAAGAGGAGAGAGAGAGAGAGAGAGGATAGAAGAGAGAGAGCGCGAGAGAGACTAGAGAGATAGAGAGAAGCATATATAGATATATATATAGGAGAGAGCGTAGACGCTCAAACTAGTCCTCGAGCTCGCTACGCTCCTCTTTCTCTCTCTCTCTCTTCATCTCCGTTGCTCTCTCTTCTCTCTCTCTCGCTCTCTCTCGCCGCTCTCTCTTCTGGTTCTGATCTCTCTAGTTACCTTTGAATTGCCCTGACTTCATGTTAGGAAAGGCAGAACATTGAAATGTACCCTACCTAGATGTTCTAGATGCAAAGCAAACACCAAATGCTTTTTCACTAAAATGAGAGAGCACACTACAGTCCAGATAAGGCCACACATCCAGTTGCCAAAACGGCGACATGCAGAGTTCTCCACTCCATGCCGTTTTCTGTTTTTAAACAGAGTTTTTAGTTACTCTGGCTCTCACTGATTTCTTAATCCAAGGTTATGAAAGTTCAATGGATAGTTGTAGGCTACTAGCTTCTACTCTTGAAACTACTAACTAGGTATATATATATAACTAACTAACCAACTCTACTTATCACGATCAGGCCATCTTTACTATCGTCATTATAAAGTATGGATGACTCTGCAATGACTACGCTACACACACTGTGTGCTTCATATGTCAGTGTAACCCACAATAGCCAAGTCACTGTTGGTACTCTGCCTTGTTGTCTGGGAGTTATCCCTTATGTGTTGTGTCAACTCACCGTCTCCACACATCTCGTTTTCAGTCCAAACACAGCCTATGGACATCTCAAATATATAGCAACAGACCATCCAGGAAGCTGTCCTATGCATGAATGGTTGGCCAGGGTTCAGGAGGTTGTCACGTTGTGTTGAGTTGCATGCGTTAATAGCTGAGGGACAAATGAAATAAGTGATGTCTGCAACTCTTGCTTATGGACAAACCTACAAACATGATATATACACACACACACACACACACAAACCTAGAGACGCATACTTGTTGAAGGAGAGTTTTGGTGGACACTGGACAGTGTGGTTCGGTAGAAGTGTCATTGAGGAGTGAGGACACTGTCTGTTAATTAAACCTAGTGAGGTGAAATGACCACAGAGAAACAGAGATATAAAAAGAGATGACATTGGTACATCACTGGTACATCACTGGTACATCACTGGTACATCACTGGTACATCACTGGTACGTCACTGGTACGTCACTGGTACGTCACTGGTACATCACTGGTACATCACTGGTACATCACTGGTACATCACTGGTACGTCACTGATACATCAGTGTATTAAGGCTGAGTTGTTAGCTGGCCAGGGACGATGCTCTGTGTCCGACACTATACTGCTCCCAGCCTGTCGTGTGTGTGTGTGTGCGTGTGTGCGTGTGTGTGGGTGTGTGTGGGTGTGGTGTCAGGTTGGGTGTGGTGACAACTAAAATAAAAGTATATCCATGCAAGTGGACAATAAAGATCTATTCTGTTCCTGGGGTCTACTTTGGGCCCAGGACAGGTTTCCCTGTTTATTATCCTGGTGGAACCAGCCTGATCGCTGCCTTCACCATTCTGTTATCCTGGTGGAACCAGCCTGATCGCTGCCTTCACCATTCTGTTATCCTGGTGGAACCAGCCTGATCGCTGCCTTCACCATTCTGTTATCTTGGTGGAACCAGCCTGATCGCTGCCTTCACCATTCTGTTATCCTGGTGGAACCAGCCTGATCGCTGCCTTCACCATTCTGTTATCCTGGTGGAACCAGCCTGATCGCTGCCTTCACCATTCTGTTATCTTGGTGCAACCAGCCTGATCGCTGCCTTCACCATTCTGTTATCCTGGTGGAACCAGCCTGATCGCTGCCTTCACCATTCTGTTATCCTGGTGGAACCAGCCTGATCGCTGCCTTCACTATTCTGTTATCTTGGTGGAACCAGCCTGATCGCTGTCCTTCACCATTCTGTTATCCTGGTGGAACCAGCCTGATCGCTGCCTTCACCATTCTGTTATCCTGGTGGAACCAGCCTGATCGCTGCCTTCACCATTCTGTTATCCTGGTGGAACCAGCCTGATCGTTGCCTTCACCATTCTGTTATCCTGGTGGAACCAGCCTGATCGCTGCCTTCACCATTCTGTTATCCTGGTAGAACCAGCCTGATCGCTGTCTTCACCATATTATTATCCTGGTGGAACCAGCCTGATCGCTGCCTTCACCATTCTGTTATCCTGGTAGAACCAGCTTGATCCCTGACTTCACCATTCTGTTATCCTGGTGGAACCATCCTGATCGCTGACTTCACCATTCTGTTATCCTGGTGGAACCAGCCTGATCGCTGCCTTCACCATTCTGTTATCCTGGTGGAACCAGCCTGATCGCTGCCTTCACCATTCTGTTATCCTGGTAGAACCAGCCTGATCGCTGCATTCACCATTCTGTTATCCTGGTGGAACCAGCCTGATTGCTGCATTCACCATTCTGTTATCCTGGTGGAACCAGCCTGATCGCTGCCTTCACCATTCTGTTATCCTGGTGGAACCAGCCTGATCGCTGCCTTCACCATTCTGTTATCCTGGTGGAAACAGCCTGATCGCTGTCTTCACCATTCTGTTATCCTGGTGGAACCAGCCTGATCGCTGCCTTCACCATTCTGTTATCCTGGTGGAACCAGCCTGATCGCTGCCTTCACCATTCTGTTATCCTGGTGGAACCAGCCTGATCGCTGCCTTCACCATTCTGTTATCCTGGTGGAACCAGCCTGATTGCTGCCTTCACCATTCTGTTAACTTGGTGTAACCAGCCTGATCGCTGCCTTTACCATTCTGTTATCCTGGTGGAACCAGCCATTTTATTCACTCCCTCCCTGTTCCAGTAATTTTCTTCAGTTTGGTGCCTAATGAATACAACCCTGTTTATCAGCTGCAGATCTTTATCCTCATGTCACTAGTCCCTGTAGATAATGACTGTATGGTCCCCTTCAGGTTGTTCCGCAGGCTCCCTATAGATAATGACTGTATGGTCCCCTTCAGGTTGTTCTGCAGGCTCCCCTGTAGATAATGACTGTATGGTCCCCTTCAGGTTGTTCCGCAGGCTCCCTGTAGATAATGACTGTATGGTCCCCTTCAGGTTGTTCCGCAGGCTCCCTGTAGATAATGACTGTATGGTCCCCTTCAGGTTGTTCCGCAGGCTCCCTGTAGATAATGACTTGGTATGGTCACCCTTCAGGTTGTTCTGCAGGCTCCCTGTAGATAATGACTGTATGGTCCCCTTCAGGTTGTTCCGCAGGCTCCCTGTAGATAATGACTGTATGGTCCCCTTCAGGTTGTTTACAGTCATTGTGTGCATATGTTGAAAGACATAACGAACAGGAAACACAAGACAGATGATTAGCCTATCTACAGATCTGCTATCTTAATTTGATCACTCTGTTGTCGCAGATAATTTTCCTGTATTCAAGGTTTAAAAAGGCTTCTAAAGTTTGTAATTTCCACTTTGAAATATCAGACTTGATATTAGCCTAACGAAATATGCCTCAACCCCTACAAAAAAATGTCCATTCATTATAATCCACATAATTCACATTTCCTGTTGCTGCAGAATTATTTTGGCTGTACAAGATAAAATAGAGCCAGTGTCACTATCACTGCCACAGGAGTGCTCCTGGCTGGTACAGAGAACGTCTGGAGTCCAGCGTACTTCTGTAGGCTATCAGTGGTGATGTCACTACAAGGTTAATCACTGGTGATGTCACTACAAGGTTTATCACTGGTGATGTCACTACAAGGTTTCATAAGTATGTCCTCACTCTCTAAGCTTTCACAGGTTGCTCGACAGATCTGTACCTCCCAACAACATCTCACCCTCCCTGGCCGTCTGTTGCCCTCATTGACCCCTAGTTAAAACTATCCTTAATCTCTCTAATGTCCAACACCAACTGTGTATGCCTTTTCAGGCTGCGTGTCTTTCTGTCTGTCCACACTGGTCCGTTTGTGTGCGTGCGTGTGTGTGTGTGGTGTGTGTGTGCGTGTGTGCGTGCGTGTGTGTGTGTGTGCGTGTGTGTGTGTGTGTGTGCGTGTGTGTGTGTGTGTGCGTGTGTGTGTGTGCGTGTGTGTGCGTGTGTGCGTGTGTGTGTGTGTGTGGTGTGTGTATGTGTGTGTGTGTGTGTGTGTGTGTGTGTGTGTGTGTGTGTGTACTTCCAAGAAGAAGCGTGTCAGTCCAGTCTGATCTCGTAACAGCAGAACAGAACGTGTCTACATAGTAGAGGATTAGGCGAAATCTCTTTATTTTCAAATCCACTCAATGGGAATGAATGAATGGTCAATGGGGTTTGTTTTACCATTCACTTTGATAACAAGTTCATATAGAGTAACAAGCTCTGGTTTGGTCAAACACAATCTGATTATCTTTATAGCCTTGCTACATGTGAGTTTTCATGATATGATCAATAAGATTCAGTCACTATCTGATCAAGGTTTGTCGCGTCTACACATTGTATTAAAATGTCTCTTATCCTTCCTCTGTGTCCATATTGTGACCAGATTAGCTGTGCCTCCCTGTGTGCAAATTATTTGACAGACATTCTTTCAAAATAAGATTTATTTTAGGACGAGTCAATGGCGCTACCTGTCAATGATTTTAGAAGCCAATGATGATGGAAATGGTTAGACCATCCCAGATCTGTTTACACAATGCGTGCCTGACTACCTCCGGAGGTGGGCAGGGAGATCAGATCACAATGTGTATTTTAATCGTCTACACCTGTCTAAAAATGTGGGCACAATCAGAATGTGTCTTACTACATAATAATGTGATGTGAGTACCACATGACGGTACCCATGACACATCTACTTGTATGCAGAAGAGTTGGGGTAAATTTTAATTCCAGTTAAATTCAGAATTGAAAGGCATTGAAGAGAATTGGAATTTCAGTGCATTTATTAAATTGACTGCCGTTGAAGTGGAATTGACCCCAACCCTGATATGTAGGCTAGAAATCAAATGACGGAACATGTTCTATGTTGATACACATTGGAAACATTTGGGAAGACCTGCATTTGAACAAAACAGAAATCATGGTAGAGAGAGAGAGAGCTAGCTAGCTAGCGGTGCTTCTGTCCCCAACCAAGGAGGGCCGACAGCAACACATAGATCTTCTGCACAGATTCTGTCAGACCAGGGCCCTGACAGTAAGACAAAAATAATGGTGTTCCAAAAAGGTCCAGTTGCCAGAACCACAAATATAAATTCCATCTAGACACCGTTGCCCTAGAGCACACAAAAAAAACTATACATACCTCGGCTTAAACATCAGTGCCACAGGTAACTTCCACAAGGCAGTGAATGATCTGAGAGACAAGGCAAGAAGAGCCTTCTATGCCATCAAAAGGAACATAAAATGCGACATACCAATTAGGATCTGGCTAAAAATACTTGAATCAGTTATAGAACCCATTGCCCCTTATGGTTGTGAGGTCTGGGGTCCGCTCACCAACCAAGAATTCACAAAATGGGACAAACACCAAATTGAGACTGCATGCAGAATTCTGCAAAATTATCCTCTGTGTACAATGTAAAACACCAAATAATGCATGCAGAGCAGAATTAGGCCGATATCCGCTAATTATCAAAATCCAGAAAAGAGCTGTTAAATTCTAAAATCGCCTAAAAGGAAGTGATTCCCAAACCTTCCATAACAAAGCCATCACCTACAGAGAGATTAACCTGGAGAAGAGTCCCCTAAGCAAGCTGGTCCCGGGGCTCTGTTCACAAACACAAACAGACCCCACAGAGCCCCAGGACAGCTCACACAATTAGACCCAACCAAATCATGAGAAAACAAAATGATAATAACTTGACACATTGGAAAGAATTAACAAAAAAAACGGAGCAAACCAGACTGCTATTTGGACTTACACAGAGAGTACACAGTGGCAGAATACCTGACCACTGGTGACTGACCCAAAATGAAGGAAAGCTTATGACATCCAGCTGTATTTATGACATCCACTAGGGCTGTATTTATGACATCCACTAGGGCTGTATTTAGTAGAGCTGGGAATTGCCAGGGATCTGTGGTCCTCTGTAGCTCAATTGGTAGAGCATGGCTTTTGTAACGACAGGGTAGTGGGTTCGATCCCCGGGACCACCCATACGTAAAAATGTATGCACACATGACTGGAAGTCGCTTTGGATAAAAGCGTCTGCTAAATGACATATTATTATTATTATTATCTCACGATATGAAATTGGCACCATACTTAGGTGCCGATACGATATGTATTGTGATTCTCATGATTCTACATTTACATTTTACATTTACGTCATTTAGCAGACGCTGTTATCCAGAGCGACTCACAAATTGGTGCATTCACCTTATAGCCAGTGGGATAACTACTTTACAATTATAAAAAAATAAAAAATAATTATATGTTTTAAATTTGTATTTTTTTGGGGGGGGGTAGAAGGATTACTTTATCCTATCCCAGGTGTTCCTTAAAGAGGTGGGGTTTCAAATGTCTCCGGAAGGTGGTGAGTGACTCCGCTGTCCTGGCGTCGTGAGGGAGCTTGTTCCACCATTGGGGTGCCAGAGCAGCGAACAGTTTTGACTGGGCTGAGCGGGAACTGTGCTTCAGCAGAGGTAGGGGAGCCAGCAGGCCAGAGGTGGATGAACGCAATGCCCTCGTTTGGGTGTAGGGACTGATCAGAGCCTGAAGGTACGGAGGTGCCGTTCCCCTCACAGCTCCGTAGGCAAGCACCATGGTCTTGTAGCAGATGCGAGCTTCAACTGGAAGCAGTGTAGTGTGCGAGGAGGTACCTTTCCCCCAACCCCCAACATTTTCCCACCCCCCCCTGGCCGTCGTTGCCCTCATTGACCCCTAGTTAAAACTATCCTTAATCTTCTAATGTCCAACACCAACTTTTGTATGCCTTTTCGGGCTGGTGTCTTTCTGTCTGTCCACATGGCCCGTTTTGTGTGCGTGGGGTGGTGGGTTTGTGGGTGTGGGGTGTGTGCGTGGTGTGGGGTGTGTGCGTGTGTGTGTGTGTGTGTGCGTGTGTGTGTGGTTGTGTGCGTGGTGCGTTTTGCGTTTTGGGGTTTGGGTTTGTGGTGTTTTGTGTGTGTGTATGTGCGTGTTGTGTGGGTGTGTGTGGTGTGTGTGTGTGGGGTGTGTACTTCCAAGAAGAAGCGTGTCAGTCCAGTCTGATCTCGTAACAGCAGAACAGAACGTGTCACATAGTAGAGGATTAGGCGAAACCCTTTATTTTCAAATCACTCAATGGGAATGAATGAATGGTAAAATGGGGTTTGTTTACCATTCACTTTGATAACAAGTTTCATATAGAGTAACAAGCTCTGGTTTGGTCAAACACAATCTGATTATCTTTATAGCCTTGCTACATTTTGAGTTTTCATGATATGATCAATAAGATTCAGTCACTATCTGATCAAGGTTTGTCGCGTCTACACATTGTATTAAAATGTCTTTATCCTTCCTCTGTGCCCCATTTTGTGACCAGATTAGCTTTTGCTCCCTGTGTTGCAAATTATTTGACAGACATTCTTTCAAAATAAGATTTATTTTAGGACGAGTCAATGGCGCTACCTGTCAATGATTTAAGCCAATGATGATGGAAATGGTTAGCCATCCCAGATTGTTTACACAAGCGTTCCCTGACAAACCTCGGAGGTGGGCGGGAGATCAGATCACAATGTGTATTTTAATCGTCTACAACCTGTCTAAAATGTGGCACAATCAGAATGTGTCTTACTACATAATAATGTGATGGAGTACCACATGACGGTACCCATGACACCCATCTACTTGTATGCAAAAGGGTTGGGGTAAATTTTAATTCCAGTTAAATTCAGAATTGAAGGCATTGAAGAGAATTGGAATTTCAGTGCTTTTATTAAATTGACTGCCGTTGAAGTGGAATTGACCCCAACCCTGATATGTAGGCTAGAAATCAAATGACGGAACATTTCTATGTTGATACACATTGGAAAATTGGGAAGACCTGCATTTGAAAAAAACCAGAAATCAGGGTAGAGGGGAGAGAGAGCTAGCTAGTAGCGGGTTTCTGTCCCCAACCAAGGAGGGCCGACAGCAACACATAGATCTTCTGCACAGATTCTGTCAGACCAGGGCCCTGACAGTAAGACAAAAATAATGGTGTTCCAAAAGGTCCAGTTGCCAAAAACCCACAAATAAAAATTCCATCTAGACACCGTTGCCCTAGAGCACACAAAAAAAACTATACATCCCTCGGCTTAAACATCAGTGCCACAGGTAACTTCAACAAGGCAGTGAATGTCTGAGAGACAAGGAAAAGAAGAGCCTTCTATGCCATCAAAAGGAACATTAAAATGCGACATACCAATTAGGATCGGCTAAAAATACTTGAATAGTTATAAAAAACCCATGCCCCTTATGGTTGTGAGGTCTGGGGTCCGCTCCCCAACCAAGAATTCACAAAATGGGACAAACACCAAATTGGGGATCTGCAGAAAATTCTGCAAAATTATCCTCTGTGTACAATGTAAAACACCAAATAAGCATGCAGAGCAGAATTAGGCCGATATCCGCTAATTATCAAAATCCAGAAAAGAGCTGTTAAATTCAAAAACGCCTAAAAGGAAGTGTTTCCCCAAAACCCTTCCATAACAACCCATCACCTACAGAGAGTTTAAAACCTGGAGAAGAGTCCCCTAAGCAAGCTGGTCCCGGGGTTCTGTTCAAAAAACACAAACAGACCCCACAGACCCCCAGGACAGCTCCACACAATTAGCCCCAACCAAATCATGAGAAAACAAAATGATAAACTTGACACATTGGAAAGAATTAACAAAAAAAAACGGGGGCAAACCAGACTGCTATTTGGACTTACACAGAGAGTACACAGTGGCAGAATCTGACCAATGGTGACTGACCCAAAATGAAGGAAAGCTTATGACATCCAGCTGTATTTATGACATCCACTAGGGGTGTATTATGACATCCACTAGGGCTGTATTTAGTAGAGCTGGGAATTGCCAGGGATCTGTGGCCTCTGTAGCTCAATTGGTAGAGCATGGCTTTTGTAACGACAGGGTAGTGGGTTCGATCCCGGGACCACCCATACGTAAAAATGTATGCACACATGACTGGAAGTCGCTTTGGATAAAAGCGTCTGCTAAATGACATATTAGTATTATTATTATTATCTCACGATATGAAATTGGCACCATACTTTGGTGCCGATACGATATGTATTGTGATTCTCATGATTCTACATTTACATTTTACATTTACGTCATTTAGCAGACGTGTATCCAGAGCGACTCACAAATTGGGTGCATTCACCTTATAGCCAGTGGGATAACTACTTTACAATTATAAAAAAATAAAAAATTATATGTTTTAAATTTGTATTTTTTGGGGGGGGGTAGAAGGATTAACTTTATCCTATCCCAGGTGTTCCTTAAAAAGGTGGGGTTTCAAAAAGTCTCCGGAAGGTGGTGAGTGACTCCGCTGTCCTGGCGTCGTGAGGGAGCTTGTTCCAAACCCTTGGGGGCCAGAGCAGCGAACAGTTTTGGGCTGGGCTGAGCGGGAACTGTGCTTCAGCAGAGGTAGGGGAGCCAGCAGGCCAGAGGTGGATGAACGCAAATGCCCTCGTTTGGGGTGTAGGGGTGATCAGAGCCTGAAGGGACGGAGGTGCCGTTCCCCACAGCTCCGTAGGCAAGCACCATGGTCTTGTAGCAGATGCGACTTCAACTGGAAGCCAGTGTAGTGTGCGGAGGAGCGGAGGGTGACGTGAGAGAACTTGGGAAGGTTGAACACCAGACGGGCTGCGTCATTTTGGATGAGTTGTAGGGGTTTTTTAAAGGCACAGGCAGGGACCCAGCAACAGCGGTTGCAGTAATCCAGATGGGAGATGACAAGTGCCTGGATTAGGACCTGTGCCCCTTCCTGTGTAAGGCAGGGTTGTACTCTCCGAATGTTGTAGAGCATGAACCTACAGGATCGGGTCACCGCCTTGAGTTAGCGGGAGAACGACAGGGTGTTGTCCAGGGTCACGCCAAGGCTCTTCGCACTCTGGGGAGGAGGACACAACGGAGTTGTCAACCGTGATGGCGAAGATCATGGAACTGGCAGTCCCCTTCCCGGGAGGAAGAGCAGCTCCGTCTTTCCAAGTTCAGCTTGAAAGGGGGTGATCCGTCATCCATAATGATTGTTGCCAGACATGCAAAAGATGCGATTCACCACCTGGTTATCAGAAGGGGGAAAAGGAGAAGAAATTTTTGTGTGTGTCGTTGCCCTAGCAATGATAGGAGAGGCCATGTGAGGATATGACAGAGCCCAAATGACTTGGTGTATAGCGAGGGAAAAGGAGAGGGCCTAGAAAATGACCCTGGGGGACACCAGTGGTGAGAGCACGTGGTGCGGGGAACGCTTTCTCGCCACGCCACTTGGCAGGAGCGACCGGTCATTGTAGGACGCAAATCCAAGATGAGCCGCACCGGAGATGCCCAGCTCGGAGAGGGGGGAGAGGAGGATCTGATGGTTAACAGTATCAAATGCAGCAGACAGGTCTAGAAGGACAAGAGCAGAGGGAGAGAGAGTTTTTGCTTAGCAGTGCGGAGAGCCTCCGTGACACAGAGAAGAGCAGTCCAGTTGAATGGGCCAGTCTTGAAACCTGACTGGTTTGGATCAAGAAGGTAATTCTGAGAGAGATAGCAAGAGAGTTGGCTAAAGACGCACGCTCAATAGTTTTGGAGAGAAAAGAAAGAAGGGAACTGGTCTGTAGTTGTTGACACAGAGGGGGCGAGTGTTGGGTTTTTTGAGAAGGGGTGCAACTCTCGCTCTCTTGAAGACGGAAGGGACATATCCAGCGGTCAAGGATGGTTGATCACGAGGTGAGGTAAGGAGAAAGTCACCGGAGATGGTCTGGAGAAGAGAGGAGGGGATAGGGTCAAGCGGGAGGTTGTTGGGGCGGCCGGCCGTCACAAGTCGCAAGATTTTATCTGGAGAGAGAGGGGGAGAAAGAAGTCAAAGCATAGGATAGGGCAGTGTTTTAGGGCGTGTGTAGGTGTGGTGTAGGAAACAGATGCAGGGAGCAGACGGTAGGGTTCCAAAGCTGTATTCCCCACCCAAAAAACAGGCAACAGGGCAAAAAAGCCCAACACTAAACTACGCCAAAGGCGTGTAGGAAATGCGCACAACAGGTGCGACAAAAATTGTAGTGCACGAAACAAGTGCAAACGAGCTCCAGCGCAGTGGAGAGAAATATGCTCAACCGAGCAAACACAACACTGCGAAAAAAACACCAACACAAGAAACACAACGAGAAACTATAGATACTAATCACGTAAACAGAAACGGGTGAACAAACAGACAAAAAGGGGGGAAAAATTTTTTTTTTTTTTTCCCCCCCCTCCGGGGGTTTTTTTAAATTTTTTTTTTAAAAATTTTTTTTAAAAATTTTTAATTAAAACCCCCCAAAGGGGGGCCCCCTTCCCCGGGAAAAATTTAAAATAAAAATAAAAAATTTTTAAAATTTTTTGGTTTTTTTTGGGGGGGAAAAAAAAAACCCCCCAAACCCCCAAAAAAGGGGGTTTTTTTTTTGGGGGGGTTTTTTGGGGGGGCCCCCCCAGGAAACCCCAAGGGGGGAAAGGGGGGGGGCCCCTTTTCCCCGAAAAAAAACCCCAAGGGGGGGTTTTTAAAAGTTTTTTGGGGGAACCAAAAAAAAAAGGGGAACCCCCCCCCGGGGGGGGGGAAAAAAAACCTTTTTTTTTTTTCCCGGGCCCCCCAAAAAAGGGGGGGGAAAGGGGGGGGGGGAAAAAAAAAAAAGGGGGGGGAAAAAAAGGGGGGGGGGGGGGAAAAGGGGGGGGCCCCCCCGGGGGAAAACCCCGGGAAAAAAAAACCCCCCAAGGGGGCCCCCCCCCGGGGGGGGGGGGCCCCCCCCCAAAATCCCCCGGCCCGGGCCCCCTTAAGGGGGAAAAACCGGGGGGGGTTTGGGGGGGCCCCCCAACCCCAAAAACCCCGGGGGAAAAAAAGGGGCCCCCCCGGGGGCAAAAAAGGGGGGCCCCCCCCCCAAAAATTTTTAAAGGTTTGGGTTTAAGGGGGGGGGGCCCCCCCTTTTGGGGGGAAAAAAAATTTTTTCCCCCCGGGGGGGAAAAAAAAGGGGCCCCCCGGGGCCCGGGGGGGAAAAGGGGGGAAAAAAAAAGGGGGGAAAATTTTTGGGGAATGGGGGGGTTTTCCCCCCCCGGGGAAAAGGGGCGGGGGTTTTGGGGGCCCCCCCCCTTTTTTGGGGGGGGTTTTTTTGGGGGGGGGGGAAAAAAGGGGGCCCCCCCAAAAAACCCCAAAACCCCCCCGGGGGGGGAAAGGGGGGGGGGGTTTCCCCCCAAAAAAAGGGGGGAAAAGGGGGGGGGAAAAGGGGTTTGGGGGGGGGGGGGAAAAAACCCCTTTTTAAAAAAAAAAAAAACCCCCCCTGGGGTTTGGGGAAAACCCGGGGTTTTGGGGGGGCCCCCGGCCCCCTTTTTTTGGAAAAAAAAAAAAGGGGGGGAAATTTTGGGGGGGAGGGGAAAAAAGGTTTTTTAAAAAAAAACCCCCCAAAAAGGGGGGGTAAAAAAAAGGGGGGGGGGAAAAAAAAGGGGGGGGGAAAAAAAAAAAAAGGAAAAAGGGGGAAGGGAAGGGGGAAAAGGGCCCCCCCCCAAAAAAAAAAAAAGGAAAAAAAAGGGAAAAAAAAAATTTTTAAAAAAAAAGGGGGAAAAAAGGGGGCCCCAAAAGGGGGAAAAAATTTTTTAAAAAGGGAAAAACCCCCCGGGGGGGCCCCCCGGGGGGGAGGGGGGGGGGAAAAGGGGGGAAAACCCCAAAAAGGGGGAAAAAAAAAGGGGGTTGGAAAAAAAAATTTTTTTGGGGGGGGGGGGGGGAAAAAAAAGGGGGGCCCCTTTTTAAAATTTTGGGGGCCCCCTTTTGGGGGGGGAAAGGGGCCCCGGGGGGGAAAGGAAAAAAGGGGGGGGGGGAAAAAAAGGAAAAGTTTTGGGGGGGGGTTTTTTTTTTTCCCCCGGGGAAAACCCTTTTTGGGGGGGAAAAAAAGGGGGCCCCGGGGGGGGGGGCGGGGGGGGGGGGGGAAAAAAAAAAGGGGGGTTTTTTTTTTGGGGGGTTTTTTGGGGGGGGGACCCCCCAAAAGGGGGGGGGGGGGTTTTGGGGGGGGGGGGGGGTTCCCCAAAACAAAAAAAATTTTTTGGGGGGGAATTGGTTTTTTTTTAAAAAAAATTTTAAAAAAAAAAAAAAAAAAAAAATGGGGGGGGGGAAAAATTTTTGGGGGGAAAAATTTGGGAATTTTTTTGGGGGGAAAAATTTTTTGGGGGGGGGTTGGGGAAAAATTTTTTGGGGGGGGGCCCCTAACCCCAAACCCCCCCCCCCCAAAAAAAATTTTAAACCCCCCCCCCCAAAAAGGCCCCCAAAAAAAAAGGGGGGGGCCCCTTTGGTTGGGGGGGTTTTTAAAAAAAAATTTTTTTTTTGGGGTTTTTTTTTTGGGGGGGTTTTTTTTTTTTTTTTTTGGGGGGAAAAAAAAAAAAAGGGGGGGGGGGGGAAAATTTTTTTGGGGGGAAAAAAAAAAAAAAATTTTTTTTTTAAAAAAAAAGGGGAAAAAACAAATTGGCTCCCTAATTTAAAAAAAAAAACAAAAAGGAGGGAAATACCATGAAAAAGGGAAAAAATGGGGTTTTTTTTGGGGCAAAAAAAAAATATTGCATATTGTCAAAAAATTTCGAAAACCCATTTTATCCCTCAAAAAAAAATCCCCCATATGCAACGTTAATTTTTCCCCCCCCCCTCGCTAATGTCCAAAACCCCAAAACCCAAAAGTCACATGCATGCTTTGGCCAGATACCTTTATTTTTAACAAATTTTGTAAAAGGGCTAAAAGTCCAAAGTGACCAAAATTAATTCAAAATGTGAAAAGGGGTTTTTTGGGGGAATATGGGAAAATAAGGGAGTGGTACCCCTCACAAACCCCTTTGGGTGACTAAGGGGTTTTTGGAAAGTAAATTTCATGGGTTTTGGGAAAAAATGTTTCTATACCGTGCCTTGAAAAGTATTCAGACCCCTTGTCTTTTTCCCCATTTTTTTTATGTTCCAAACCTTATTCTAAAAAGGATTTAAAGGAAAAAAAAAAAATAAACCCCCAGCAACTAACACAATAAACCCATAATGGGCAAAGCGAAAACAAAGGTTTTTTGACCTTTTGGGAAGTGTATTTTAAATTAAAAAAAGAAAAAAAAAAGTATTTTTCAATATTCGACCCCTTTTTAAAGAACTTGAATTTATCAGGGGGCTCCTGTTTCCATTGATTTAAATTTTTCAGTGTTTTTTAAAAACTTGATTAAAAGGGCCCCCTGGGGTAAAAATTAAAAGATTGGACATGATTTTGGGAAAAACACCACCCGTCTTGTAAGGGGCCCACAGTTGAAAAGTGCAAAGTGAGCCAAAAAAACCAAAATTTTTAAAGGGGAAGCAATTGTCCGTAAAAGTTTTCCCAACAAGATTGGGGTCGAGGGGAAAGATCTGGGGAAAGGTACCCAAAAAATTTCTGCGTTGAAAAAACCCAAAAACACCGTGGCCTCCTCATTCTTAAAAAGAAAAGTGTGGAACCACCAAAACTCTTTTTAGAGTGGGCCCCCCAGCCAAAAATGACAACGGGGGAGAAGGGCCCTTTGGAAGGGAGGGGGGACCAAGAACCCGATGGTACCTTTACAGAGCTCTAGAGTTCCTCTGTGGAAGGGGGGAGAACCTTCCAGAAAGGGAAAAACCCTCTCTGCACACTCCACCCAAACAAAGGGTTTATGGGTTTGAGTGGCCAGACGGAAAAACCCTCCCGCAGTAAAAGGAAATAAGCCCCCCTTGGAGTTTGCCAAAAAAGGGACTTTTAAAAACTTTTCAGACCATTTAGAAACAAGATGCTGGTTGATGAAACCCTTTGGCCTGAATGCCAAAAAAGTCCCGTCTGGGGAAACCTGACCCATTTTCCCAAATGGGGTGGGTTTAAGGGACGCAAACTCAGTGCCAGGGGTCCCCTCAGACCCCCCGGGGTTTGATTCCCAAACTGTATCACAACCGGCCGTTTATTGGGATCCCATAGGGGGGCGCGCAATTGGCCACCCTCGGGGGGCCGGGTTTTTTTTTGGGGGTGGGCCCTCATTGGGAATAAGAATTTTTTTTTAACTGCTTTCCTAGTTAAATTTAAAAGGTTTTTTTTAAAAAAGGTGGTGACAATTTATTTGCTGTGGGGAGGTTTTTTTTAGGGACATTTGGGCTGGGAGACCCATCAGGATTGAGGCATCTTGAGGGAAAATGAAATGGACCTGGGAAGAGAGGGCCCTTGATTTAAAACCCCCCCGTTAGGTGGGTCGTTTGTTTCGGGGTGTGTCGTGGGCGTGTGTAGGTTGGTAGGAAATAAAGATGCAGGACGCAGACGGTAGGTTCCAAAAGCTGTATTCCGACCCAAACACAGGCAACAGGGCAACAAAGCCCAACAGCTAAACTACGCCAAAGGCGTGTAGGCAAAATGCGCACAAACAGGTGCGACAAAAATATGTAGTGCACGAAACAAGTGCAAACGAGCTCCAGCGCAGTGGAGAGAAATATGCTCAACCGAGCAAACACAACACTGACGAAAACAATCACACACAACACAAGACAAACACAACGAGAAACTTATAGGATACTAATCACGTAAAACAGAAACAGGTGTGACACAAACAGACAAAAGCAAACGAACATGAAAACATAAATCGGTGGCAGCTAGAATTCCGGAGACGACGAACGCCGAAGCCTGCCCGAACAAGGGAGAGAGGCAGCCTCGGCCGAAACCGTGACACAGTGTGAGCAGGACCAGCAGTGTCATTTGACTTAACAAACGAGGATTGGATGTCGTCAACCTTCTTTTCAAAATGGTTGACGAAGTCATCCACAGAGAGGGAGGAGGGAGGGGGAGGAGGATTCAGCAGGGAGGAGAAGGTGGCAAAGAGCTTCCTAGGGTTAGAGGCAGATGCTTGGAATTTAGAGTGGTAGAAAGTGGCCTTAGCAGCAGAAACAGATGAAGAAAATGTAGAGAGGAGGGAGTGAAAAGATGCCAGGTCCGCAGGGAGTCTAGTTTTCCTCCATTTCCGCTCGGCTGCCCGGAGCCCTGTTCTGTGAGCTCGCAATGAGTCATCAAGCCACGGAGCTGGAGGGGAGGACCGAGCCGGCCGGGAGGATAGGGGAGATTATTGCGATTGGAGACTGTGATTTTATTGTGATTTGATGTTCCAAACATATTGCTCAACATACAGTGCCTTCAGAAAGTATTCACACCCCTTTACTTTTTCCACATTTTGTTGTACAGCTTGAATGTGTGTTACTGGCCTTCACACAATACCCCATAATGTCAAAGTGGAATTATGTTTTTATAATTTTTTACAAATTAATAAAAAATTAAAAGATGAAATGTCTTGAGTAGATAAGTATTCAACCCCTTTGTTATGGCAAGCCTAAATAAGTTTAGGAGTAAACATTTTGCTTAACAAGTCACGTAATAAGTTGCATGGACTCTGTGTGCAATAATAGTGTTTACAATTTTTTTATGACTACCTCATCTCTGTACCCCACACATACAATTATCTGTAAGGTCCCTCAGTCGAGCAGTGAATTTCAAACACAGATTCAACCACAAAGACCAGGGAGGTTTTCCAATGCCTCGTAAAAGAAGGGCACCTATTGGTAGATGGGTTTAAAAAAATTCACTTTGTCATTATGGGGTATTGTCTTTTAGATGGGTGAGACATTTTTTAATTTAATCCATTTTCAGTTCAGGCTGTAACACAACAAAATCTAGAATAAGTCAAGGGGTATGAATACTTTCTGAAGGCACTGACAATCGAGAGCATGACAAAATTAGTTTTTGGAAATAAAAGTGATGAAAACAAATTGGCTCCCTAATTTAAAAACAAAACAAAATGGAGAACTAGCTATGAAGGAAACATACTGGAGTTTTGGTGCAAAAATAATATTGCGATATTGTCAAAACGATACGATACGATATATCGTCAAAAATAATATCCCGATATGCAACTGTATACATTTTTCCCCCCCCATCGCTAATGTCCAACCCAGAACCAAATGTCACATGCATGCTGTGGCCAGATACTCTTATTTATTTAACAGTCTGTCATGAGGGACTATGTCCAAAGTGACCAAGATTAATTCAAAATGTGAACGGTTTGGAGTGAATATGGAACATAAGCAGTGGTACTCTCACACCTCTGGATGACTAGCTGTGAAGTATGTCATGTTTAGGAACATGTTTCTATACAGTGCCTTCGAAAAGTATTCAGACCACTTGTCTTTTTCCACATTTTGTTATGTTACAGCCTTATTCTAAAATGGATTAAAGAAAAAATAAATAATCCTCAGCAATCTACACACAATACCCCATAATGACAAAGCGAAAACAGGTTTTTAGACTCTTTTGCAAGTGTATTATAAATTAAAACAGAAAAAAAACGTATTTACATAAGTATTCAGACCCTTTGCTATGAGACTTGAAATTCAGCTCAGGTGCATCCTGTTTCCATTGATTTATTCTTCAGATGTTTCTACAACTTGATTAGAGTCCACCTGTGGTAAATTCAATTGATTGGACATGATTTGGAAAGACACACACCTGTCTATGTAAGGTCCCACAGTTGACAGTGCATGTCAGAGCAAAAACCAAGCTATGAGGTCGAAGCAATTGTCCGTAGAGTTCCGAGACAAGATTGTGTCGAGGCACAGATCTGGGGAAGGGTACCAAAACATTTCTGCAGCATTGAAGATCCCCAAGAACACAGTGGCCTCCATCATTCTTAAATAGAAGAAGTGTGGAACCACCAAGACTCTTCCTAGAGCTGGCCGCCCAGCCAAACTGAGCAATCGGGGGAGAAGGGCCTTGGTAAGGGAGGTGACCAAGAACCCGATGGTCACTCTGACAGAGCTCTAGAGTTCCTCTGTGGAGATGGGAGAACCTTCCAGAAGGACAACCATCTCTGCAGCACTCCACCAATCAGGCCTTTATGTTAGAGTGGCCAGACGGAAGCCACTCAGCAGTAAAAGGCACATGACAGCCCACTTGGAGTTTGCCAAAAGGCACCTAAAGACTCTCAGACCATGAGAAACAAGATCTCTGGTCTGATGAAACTCTTCGGCCTGAATGCCAAGCGTCACGTCTGGAGGAAACCTGACACCATCCCGAGTGGCGTAGCGGTCTAAGGCACTGCATCTCAGTGCTCGAGGCGTCACTACAGACCCCCTGGTTCGATTCCAAGCTGTATCACAACCGGCCGTGATTGGGAGTCCCATAGGGCGGCGCGCAATTGGCCCAGCGTCGTCCGGGTTTGGCCGGTGTAGGCCGTCATTGTAAATAAGAATTTGTTCTTAACTGACTTGCCTAGTTAAATAAAGGTTTTTTTAAAAATGGTGGTGACAGCATCATGCTGTGGGGATGTTTTTCAGCAGCATGGACTGGGAGACTAGTCAGGATTGAGGCATCTTGAGGCAAAGATGAGTGGACCATGTACAGAGAGACCCTTGATGAAAACCTGCTCCAGAGTGCTCAGGACCTCAGACTGGGGGTGAAGGTTCACCTTCCAACAGGACAACAACCCTAAGCACACAGGCAAGACAATGCAGGAGTGGTTTCGGGACAAGTCTCTGAATGTCCTTGAGTGGCCCAGCCAGAGCATGGACTTGAACCCAATCCAACATCTCTGGAGAGACCTGAAAATAGCTGTGTAGCGACGCTCCCCATCCAACCTGACAGAGCTTGAGAGGATCTGCAGAGAAGAACGGGAGAAACTCCCCAAATACAGGTGTGCCAAGCTTGTAGTGTCATACCCAAGAAGACTCGATGCTGTAATCGCTGCCAAAGGTGCTTCAACAAAGTACTGAGTAAAGGGTCTGAATACTTATGTAAATGTGGTATTTCAGTTAAAACATTTAAAAAATTTAGCAAAAATGTCCAAAAAACTGTTTTTTTTATGGGGTATTGTGTGTAGATTGATGAGGGGGGGGGGGGGGGGGAAACAATTGAAACAATTTTAGAATAAGGCTGTAACGTAACAAAATGTGGAAAAAGTCAAGGGGTATGAATACTTTCCGACGGCATTGTATGTACTGTAGGTATGACAATGATCTAGGGCTCGGCTACCCAACCCTGTTCCTGGAGAGATACTGTCCTGTAGGTTTTAACGCCAACCCTGTTCCTGGAGAGATACTGTCCTGTAGGTTTTAACGCCAACCCTGTTCCTGGAGAGATACTGTCCTGTAGGTTTTAACGCCAACCCTGTTCCTGGAGAGATACTGTCCTGTAGGTTTTAACGCCAACCCTGTTCCTGGAGAGATACTGTCCTGTAGGTTTTAACGCCAACCCTGCTCCTGGAGAGATACTGTCCTGTAGGTTTTAACGCCAACCCTGTTCCTGGAGAGATACTGTCCTGTAGGTTTTAACTCCCAACTCTGTTCCTGGAGAGATACTGTCCTGTAGGTTTTAACGCCAACCCTGCTCCTGGAGAGATACTGTCCTGTAGGTTTTAACGCCAACCCTGTTCCTGGAGAGATACTGTCCTGTAGGTTTTAACGCCAACCCTGTTCCTGGAGAGATACTGTCCTGTAGGTTTTAACTCCCAACTCTGTTCCTGGAGAGATACTGTCCTGTAGGTTTTAACTCCAACCCTGTTCCCAGAGAGCTACCGTCCTGTAGGTTTTAACTCAAACCCTCATCTAGCGCACCTGATTCTAATAATTAGCTGATTGATCAGCTGAATCAGGTTAGTTACAACTGGGGTTGGATGGAAAACCTACAGTAGGGAAGCTCTCCAGGAACAGGGTTGGGAGAGTGCTGATCCAGGGTTCACAGTCCAGTTGAAATGTAAGGTTGACCTGTAACCATAGAACTCCATATATCTGATCCCCATTAAACACTGTATCAGGTCTACATAAAAATCCATAGTTGGGAATTCTATGTCACATACTGTATCTCTGACCCACCACAGGCTCACTGACTGTATCTCTGACCCACCACAGGCTCACTGACTATCTCTGACCCACCACAGGCTCACTGACTATCTCTGACCCACCACAGGCTCACTGACTATCTCTGACCCACCACAGGCTCACTGACTATCTCTGACCCACCACAGGCTCACTGACTATCTCTGACCCACCACAGGCTCACTGACTGTATCTCTGACCCACCACAGGCTCACTGACTATCTCTGACCCACCACAGGCTCACTGACTATCTCTGACCCACCACAGGCTCACTGACTATCTCTGACCCACCACAGGCTCACTGACTATCTCTGACCCACCACAGGCTCACTGACTATCTCTGACCCACCACAGGCTCACTGAAAAAAAGTTTCCACCATTAATGTCAACTGAAGAGTAACTCATGCCTCAAGCTTCTTTTTATTTCTTTCTTTCTTTCTTTCTTTCTTTCTTTCTTCAGATCCAGTTTGCTAACGCAGAGGATAAACAGGAGTTTCAGAAGTACCCCACTAAGGCCGGCCGGCGCTCCCTCTCTCGCTCCATCTCCCAGTCCTCCACAGATAGCTACAGCTCAGGTAGATACCTCACACACTAGGGTTGGGCGATATCCCGATTTTCATACCGTTTCTGTACCACACCGGGGTATACAGTATTACCGAATGTGCACTATTTAAAAATACGCACAGAAAACAATTTAGGCAAGAGGGGATGTTTCTGCTGTGTCTTGACATCTAGCCACCTAGCTAGCAAGTTAGCAAACCAAATGCATAGCTGGAGCACAGAGATGGATGTAATTTATTTGACACATCTTAGATTTCTTATAGTTTATACTTAACTTATAGTTTATGAGCAGTGGCGTAGCACGGTATTGAAAATCATACCGTCAGTATTTTCGAAATACATTACATGTACGTCATTTAGCAGACGCTCTTATCCAGAGCGACTTACAAATTGGTGCATTCACCTTATGATAGCCAGTGGGACAACCACTTTACAGTTATTTTTTTATTTATTTTTTTGAGTATATTTGTAATTTTCATTTGTTTTATATATTATATATTTTTTTGTGTGTGTGGGGGGGGGGGGGGGGGGTAGAAGGATTACTTTTATACTAATAAAAACGAAATACCCCCGGTATATGGTATAAACGGTATATCAGCCAAACCTAACACACACACGACTACAGCACTAGGTGCTGGTGATTACCAAGGTAGCAAAATTCCTCAATTATGGATCATCCATCTATTATTAACTGAGAATCCTTCTATTGTTCAACTGATATAAAAGACCATGTTAAGTTGCTAACTACACAGTCTTCTATTGACTGGTATACCAGAAATCAACACAGACACACTTTTGAGGAAGATCTACCGAACTCAGTTAATTTTTAATGATTGTCTCATTCTATCTCACGTCGTAGCTCTGACCATAGAGATACAATATAGGTGTGATTTTAACGAACAAAGACTTCATTATGTGTCTCTTGACTCTTTGTCCCCAACACAATGTCCAGCTGCGTCCTACTCCGACAGCTCAGACGATGACACCCCTCCTCGGGACAAAGCCCAGACCAACTCCAAGGGCAGCAGCGACTTCTGCGTTAAGAACGTCAAACAGGCGGAGTTCGGCAGACGGGAGATCGAGATAGCAGCGCAAGGTGCAGAATCGCCATTCTTGCATTCACTTTCCGGCATCGTTCTGATAGCAACTATCATAGATGTGCAACCAGGCCGGCCCAGTACAGCTTGCATTGACTGGGCTCAGTATTGTGAAAAGGGTGTAGTGTCAGTGCTGATGTAGGATCAGTAGAATACAACCCATATTTATGTTGATTTATTTTCCCATTTGTACTTTAACTATTTGCACATTGTTACAACACTGTATATAGACATAATATGACATTTGAAATGTCTTTATTCTTTTGGAACTTCTGAGTGTAATGTTTACTGTTAACATTTATTGTTTGTTTCACTTTTATTTATTATCGACTTCACTTGCTTTGGCAATGTTAACACACGTTTCCCATGCCAATAAAGCCCTGAAATTGAAATTGAATTGAAAATTGAATTGAGTGCTTGGTGCTCCTTGGACCTGCCGTGTGCCTCGTCAAGGACTGCCTGGATCAGTAATAATAAGGTAGCGGTCATAGAGAGAGCTCAGACTCATATCACATGGTATCCATTCTGCTGTGCTGAGTTAACGATTCATATTTAAGTCATAAAGCAGGTCATGACCTCACTGGAGCTGAGTCAGACAGACAGACAGACAGACAGACAGACAGACAGACAGACAGACTGGTATCCAGGGAAACAGGAGCAGGCCTGAAGCCTCTCTCTCTCTGTCTCTGTCTGTCTGTCTGTCTCTCTCTCTGTGTCTGTCTCTCTCTCTCTGTGTCTGTCTCTCTGTCTGTCTGTCTGTCTGTCTCTGTCTCTCTCTCTGTCTCTCTCTCTCTGTGTCTCTCTCTCTCTCTATCGCTCTCTCTCTCTGTCTCTCTGTCTCTGTCTCTCTCTGTCTCTCTTTGTGTCTCTCTGTGTCTCTCTCGCTCTCTCTCTCTGTATGTCTGTCTCCCTCTCTCTGTCTCTCTCTGTGTCTCTCTCGCTCTCTCTCTCTGTATGTCTGTCTCCCTCTCTCTCTCTCTCTCTCTCTCTCTCTCTCTCTCTCTCTCTCTGTCTGTCTGTCTGTCTGTCTGTCTCTCTGTCTCTGTCACTCTCTCTCTGTCTCTCTCTCTCTCGTCTATCTCTCTCTATGTCTCTCTCTCTTCTGTCTCTCTCACTCGTCTTCGTCCTCTCTCTGTCGGCTGTGCTGGCTGTCTGTCTCCTATCTCGGTCTCTCTCGCTCTCTCGTAGTCTCTGTCTCTTCTGTTCTGCGTCTCTCTGTTGTCTGTATGTTGTCTGTCCGTCTCTCTCTCTTTCTATCTCTCCTCTGTTGTCTGTCTCTCTGTCGTTCTGTCTGTCTGTCTCTCTCTTGTCTGTTGTCTTGTTTCTCGCTCTATCTCTCTATGTCTGTGTCTCTCTGTTGTCTCTCTCTCTGTCTCTTGTTTCTCTCTGTATCTCTCTCTGTATCTCTCTATCTCTGTCTCCTCTCGTCTGTCTGTCTGTCTGTCTCTCTCGGGTCTCTGTCTCTTCTCACTCTGTCTGTCTCTGTATGTCTGTCTGTTATGTCTGTCTCTGTCTTCTCGCATATGTCTCTATCGCTCTACTTGTCTGTCTCTCTCTCTCTCTCTCTCTCTCTCTCTCTCTCTCTCTCTCTCTCTCTCTCTCTCTTCTATCTCTCTCTCTCTTCTGTCTCTCTTCTATGATCTCTCTCTCTCTTGTCTCTGTCTCTGTCTCTCTCTATCGCATATCTCTGTCTCTCTCTCTGGGTCTCTCTCTCTCACTCTCTGTGTCTCACTCTCTCGCTCTCGGTGTCTCTCTCCTGTCTCTTATGTCTGTCTCTTCTCTGTCTCTATCTCCTCTGTCTCTCTATCTGTCTTTTTATTCTTCTCTCTCGGCTCAGTATCTGTCTATGTATCTCTCTCTGTCTCTCTCTTTTTTGTATGTCTGTCTCTTCTGTATCTCTCTCTCGTCTTTCTATGTATCTCTGTATCTCGCGCTTCTGCTCTCTGTCTCTCTCTCGTCTGTTTCTCTGTCTCATCTGTCTGTCGCTATCTATCTCTCTCTCGCTCTCTACTAGCCCTCTCTGACATGTCGCTCTCTAGCTGTCGCCTGTATCTCTCGTCTATGTGTCTGTCTATCTCTACTGTGTCTGTCTCTCTCTTTGTGTCTCTACTGTCTCCTCTCCTTGTCTCTATTGTCTCTCTCTCTATCTATGGTCTCTCCTTCTCGGTATCCTCTATCGCTCTCTCTTGTCTGGCTCTGTCTCTCTCATCTCTCTCGTCTCTCTGGCTGTCTCTGTCTATCGTCGTATCTCTCTCTATCGATTATCTCTATCTCCGTGTCTCTCTCTCTGCTCTACTCTCTCTGTGTATCTCTCTCTCTGTGTCTCTATATCTGTCTCTCTGTATCCCTCTCGGTCTGTCTGTGCTGCCTCTCGTCTGTCTCCTACTATGTACGTATCCCTATCTCCTGTATCGTGATCTCTGCTCTGTTTCTCTCACTCTATCTCTCTGTCTCTCTCTCTGTCCTCTCTCTGTGGTGTCTCTCTCTCGGTGTCTCTCTCTCTCTCTGTCTCCCTGTCTGTCTCTCTCTCACTCTCTCTGTCTCTGTGTGTCTTTCTCTCTCTCTGTTTCTGTCTCTGTCTCGTCTCTCTCTCTCTCTCTCTCTCTCTCTCTCTCTCTCTTCTCTGTTCTCTATCGCTCTCTCTGTCTCTCTCTCTTTGTCTCTCTCAGTCTCTCTATCGCTCTCTGTGTGTCTCTCTCTCTCTGTGTCTCTCTCTGTGTGTCTCTCTCTGTCTCCCTCTCTCTCTCTGTCTGTCTCTCTGTCTTTCTGTCTGTCTGTCTCTGGCTCCCTCTCTGTCTGTCTCCCTCCCTCTCTGTCTCTCTCTCTCTCTCTCGCTCTCTCTCTCTCTCTCTCTCTCTCTCTCTCTTCTCTCTCTGTGTCTCTCTGTCTGTCTCTCTCTCTCTCTCTGTTCTGTCTCTGTCTCTGTCTTTCTCTCTCTCTCTCTCTCTCTCTCTCTCTCTCTCTCTCTCTCTCTCTCTCTCTCTCTCTCTTTCTCTCTGCCTCGCCATTTCTTTCCCTGCCTCTCTCTCTCTCTCTACGGTTGTGCAGAGCTAGGTGAAGAGCCTAGATCTCAACAGCTGTTCCTGTCAGCTCTTCTCTAACTAACCCTAGAGCTGCAGCCTAGGTCTCAACAGCTGTTCCTGTCAGCTCTTCTCTAACTAACCTGCAGGCATATGGAGGTGATCTTGTGGGTTTTACTGTCCTCAATGGCCTCTCTTTTTCACTGTTATGCTACATCTATCTTCACATTCCTGCCTCTCTCGTTCACTGGTGTACTCCCCCAAATCCTTTCATTCTGACTCTCACTATCTCACCTCTCTCTCTCTCTCTCTCTCTCTCTCTCTCTCTTCTTTTCTCTCTCCTCTCCCTCCTCTTTCCCCCCACAGATATGTCAGCTTTGATCTCCCTGAGGAAGAGAGCCCAGGGGGAGAAGCCTCTAGCTGGGGCGAAGATAGTGGGCTGCACCCACATCACAGCTCAGACTGCAGTAGGTTATCTTGCTCTCTCCTCCACCATACACCATCTTAGATCCATAGACCTACAGTATATGAGAAGCCTCTAGCTGGGGCGAAGATAGTGGGCTGCACCCACATCACAGCTCAGACTGCAGTAGGTTATCTTGCTCTCTCCTCCACCATACACCATCTTAGATCCATAGACCTACAGTATATGAGAAGCTCTAGCTGGGGCGAAGATAGTGGGCTGCACCCACATCACAGCTCAGACTGCAGGTAGGTTATCTTGCTCTCTCCTCCACCATACACCATCTTAGATCCAAGCCCTCAGTAATGAGAACCCTTTAACGGGGCGAAGATAGTGGCTGCACCCACATCACAGCTCAGATGAGTGGGGTTATCTTGCCCTCCTCCCCCCAGTGTTGCCAATTAGTGCTTTAGGAGTTTCAGCCCCCTCCGCGACTTGTTTTGGGTTAAAAAAGGGGTTTGCGAAAAATCCAGTACTTTTCGGGCTCCCTTGGGGGAGGTTTGCCCCCAAGAGTTTCCATGGTTTAGATAGCTTTTTGCATTTTTCCCCTCAACCCCGCCAAATGAGAGGGGGAGAAAGGTCTGTTCAAAAAGTAAAGGGAACGGTGCACACACAGGCAGAAACTAAAGGGGAGGGGTGGCGGGGGGAGGGGGGGGGAAAAACCCTACGCGGGACTGCAATGTCCGCAGCGGAAAAAAGGGTGTGTGAATCGCACGGGGAAAAGGCCCCAAAAATTTTAGCGGGGAAAAACAAGGGGCCCTAGGGATCAAGGGGCCAATAGCGGGTCAAGGAGCCCAAAAGCGGTCTCATGAAAAAAAAACAACCATACAAAATTTAGATTTAGAGAATACCCTTCAACAAAAATTTAGATTTTAAAAATACCCCCTTTTAATACAACATTTAGATTTTGGGAAAAACCCCTCTACCAAAAAATCTTAGATTTAAGAAACCCCCCTTTCCATAAACATTTAATTTTGAGAAACCCCTCTACCATACAAAATCTTGATTTTGAGAAACCCCTCACCATACCCCACTTAGATTTTGAGAATACTTAATACATTTTAGATTTAGAAACCTTTAACCAGAGGACTTACAACAATTAGGGAATCCTTCAAAAAATTAGATTTAGAAACCTTACCAAAACTAAAATTGGTCTTTACCTAAACAGTGGGGTAAACCCTTTACAAAAATTTTTGAAAGGGAAACTTTTCCTAACATCTTTTTAAAAGGGGGTTTCAAAAATTTTGGAATTTTGAGGGCCCCGCTTCCCCTGATTTAACTTTTCCACCATTTGGGGGGGGAGAAACAAACATTTTGATGGGGCTTACGGGAGCTTTCTTCCCAGGGGGAAAGGGGGGGGCCACACCAGAGGGGGAACCAATGCTCTTGGGGGGTTTGGATGATCAACTGAAGGTACTCTTCCCCCACCTAAAGGAACCCCTTTTTACACACTTAATTTGGAAAAATCCCTCTACCATACAAATCTTAGATTTAGAGAAACCCCTCCATCAACATCTTAGATTTAGGAATACCCCCTCCAACAACATTTAGATTTGAGAATACCCTCTACCATACAACACTAGTTTAGAGAATACCCCCCACCATACAACATCTTAGATTTAGGAAAAACCCCTCTACCAACAACATCGATTTGAGAAAACCCCTTACCATACCCATCTTGATTTTGAGAATACCCCCCCTACCATACAACATCTTAGATTTAGAGAATACCCCTCTACCATACAACATCTTAGATTTAGAGAATACCCCTCTACCATACAACATATTAGATTTAGAGAATACCCCTCTACCATACAACATCTTAGATTTAGAGAATACCCCTCTACCATACAACATCTTAGATTTAGAGAATACCCCTCTACCATACAACATCTTAGATTTAGAGAATACCCCTCTACCATACAACATCTTAGATTTAGAGAATACCCCTCTACCATACAACATCTTAGATTTAGAGAATACCCCTCTACCATACAACACTTAGATTAGAGAATACCCCTCTACCATACAACATCTTAGATTTAGAGGAATACCCTCTACCATACAACATCTAGAGAGAATACCCTTACATAACATTAGATTAGAGAATACCCCCTCTACCATACAACATCTTAGATTTAGAGAATACCCCTCTACCATACAACATCTTAGATTTAGAGAATACCCCTCTACCATACAACATCTTAGATTTAGAGAATACCCTTACCAACAACATCTTGATTGGAATACCCCTCTACCATACAACATCTTAGATTTAGAGAATACCCCTCTACCATACAACATCTTAGATTTAGAGAATACCCCTCTACCATACAACATCTTAGCTCATACTGTCTTTTGCTTTCCTGGCAGTCTACTCTACTTGATCAGACATCCAGTTTTCATGAACAAAACATTTCAGAAACTCCAGAAATAGCAGCATGATTGTTGAGTCTTGTTTAGATTAATTTACACGACTGTATTTTATATGTGTGTTAGTGTATGTGCTTATTTTGTAATAATGTGTTGTATAATTTTATTTATGTTGTTTTGTTGGGATGTCATTGTTTTAATCCTTTTTGGACCCCAGGAAGAGTAGCTGCTGCCTTGGCAGGGAACTAATGGGGATCCATAATAAACCCCAGGAAGAGTAGCTGCTGCCTTGGCAGGAACTAATGGGGATCCATAATAAACCCCAGGAAGAGTAGCTGCTGCCTTGGCAGGAACTAATGGGGATCCATAATAAACCCCAGGAAGAGTAGCTGCTGCCTTGGCAGGAACTAATGGGGATCCATAATAAACCCCAGGAAGAGTAGCTGCTGCCTTGGCAGGAACTAATGGGGATCCATAATAAACCCCAGGAAGAGTAGCTGCTGCCTTGGCAGGGAGTAATGGGGATCCTAATGAATACTAACATGTTGTGTGTTTGTGTATTTTTCCCCCCTCAGGTTCTGATTGAAACCCTGGTAGCTCTTGGAGCTCAGTGTCGTTGGACAGCCTGTAACATCTACTCTACTCAGAACGAGGTGGCTGCTGCCCTGGCAGAGACTGGTGAGAACACATCATACTGTCCTCTGTCTTTTCTATGTCTGTCTTCCTATAGACTATCATAACCGAATCTATCACTCGTGCTCTCTCTGCAAGTCTCTCTCTGCTCTCTGCCAGGTCATGCGTTTCCTTTCCCTTATACTCAGCTCTCTATCTCTTTCTCTCTCTCTCACCTGCCTGTGCCCCATCTGTCTCCTTCTCTGCCCTGCGTCTCTTCTCTCTCTCCTTCTTCTCTCTTTTCTCTCTCCCCTTCCCTCTCCCTCTCTCACCTCTCTCTCTCTCTCGTTTTCTCACCTCTCTTGCTCTAGCACTCGCTCATCTCTCTATTCAATTCAATTCAATTTCAATTCATTAGGGCTTATTGGCATGGGAAACGTGTGTTAACATGCCAAAGCAAGTGAGTAGAAGTAAACAAAAGTGAAATAACAATAAATATTAACAGTAACATTAACTAGAGTTCAAAGATAAAGACATTTAAATGTAATTAGGGATATATACAGAGAGTCATAGAGAGGATGATCTCTGAACTCTCAAGCCTCTCTCGTATATCTCAGCTTCTACCCACCTACCTTCTTCTCTGCTAACTCGTGCTTTAGAATGCTCTCTATCTCTCTCTCTCCGCTCTCTCTCTTGGTTACTCTCTCCTCTCTTCTCTCTCTCTCTCCTCTCTCTCTCCCAACAGGTGTGCCTGTGTTTGCGTGGAAGGGCGAGTCAGAGGATGACTTCTGGTGGTGCATCGACCGCTGTGTCAACACGGAAGGCTGGCAGGCCAACATGGTACCTAATGACTAAACCATCCCATAATAATGTACTTTACATCTGTTGTGTAGTGACACGCTCACACATTGTGGAGGCTTATTTTTCCATCCATCACTTATCTTCCGTACATTAGCTATTTAGTATGCAGACTTAATGCTGCAGATTTCTCTATTTAGTATGCAGACTTAATGCTGCAGATGTCTCTATTTAGTATGCAGACTTAATGCTGCAGATTTCTCTATTTAGTAGGCAGACTTAATGCTGCAGATTTCTCTACTTAGTATGCAGACTTAATACTGCAGATGTCTCTATTTAGTATGCAGACTTAATGCTGCAGATGTCTCTATTTCTTGAGTCCACCATCTGCTCTGCTATCATTGCTCTTCCTGTGTTTGTGTTACTGTAGATCCTCGATGACGGAGGGGATCTGACCCACTGGGTTTATAAGAAGTACCCCAGCGTGTTCAAGAAGGCTCAGGGCATCGTGGAGGAGAGTGTCACTGGGGTCCACAGGTGAGAAAGAACCTTCCCAAAACATTGGTCCCATACATCCAACGCAAGGAGAGACATCTATGTGTAATTGGTCCAGTTTATCCTCAGTCCGTTCGTCTGTGGCTCACCTAAAGCACTGTCTTTATTTCTTTCCATCCTTTACCCTCAGGTTGTACCAGCTGTCCAAGGCAGGCAAGCTGTGTGTCCCGGCCATGAACGTGAACGACTCTGTTACCAAGCAGAAGTTTGACAACCTCTACTGCTGCAGAGAGTCCATCCTGGACGGGTGAGGACCTTTTTTTTAAAACACTAAATATCAAATGTTTTTCTCACAAAAAAGTGTGTGATCGTTTTGTTTTGTTTTTTGTTTGTAATTTATAAATGTATAATGTCTGATTTGTAATTGTTACCTTTCCCCGCTTGCTGTAGTTTGAAGAGGACCACTGATGTGATGTTTGGGGGGAAACAGGTGGTGGTGTGCGGTTATGGAGAGGTGAGTCCTTCAGATTCTGGATTCTTTTATTCTGATGACTGTTAGATGACACCTTAGTTTAAAAAGTTGACGTATGGCTTTTGAACATAGATTTGAGTGTACTGTCCTGGACTGTCCTCTGTCTGTAGGTGGGGAAGGGTTGCTGTTCTGCTCTGAAGGCCCTGGGTGCCATCGTCTGCATCACAGAGATAGACCCCATCTGTGCCCTGCAGGGCTGGTGAGTGACTGGAGCTTGTGCCCTACGTCTAATGTATCCAAATCTTTTAAAAGACGTGTGTTTTTTAGTTATTTTCTGCTACTTTTTCCTACAAATCTTCCTGTGTATACAGCATGGATGGGTTCAGGGTGGTGAAGCTGAATGAAGTCATTCGTCAGATGGACGTGGTGATAACCTGCGCAGGTAAACTAGATCAGTCCGAGCACGGCTCCTCCAGACTCAGTTACTTTATTCCACTCTGATAATTATACAAGCAGACCTCCCAGCCGCTGTCCTTGTTTATGACTCAGGTTTATCCAACAGATGTCAAGTTAGAGGTCACCCGTTTGAACGTGTATCTTTATCAAACAACTCGGTGGACTCACTACAGGACACCAATTAGGACGAATTAATGAACAGCCAGAGCTGAGAGAGAAGGAGAGAGAGAGAGAGAGAGGAAGAGAGAGAGGAGAGAGAGAGAGAGAGAGAGAGAGAGAGAGAGAGAGAGCAAGAGAGAGAGCGAGAGGGAGAGAGAGAGAAGAGAGAGAGTAGAAGAAGAGATGAGAGAGGAGAGAGAGGAAGAGGCAGGAGAGAGAGAGAAGAGAGAGGAGGGAGGAGAGCGAGAGAGAGGAGAGACAAGAGAGGAGGAAGGGGAGAGAAAGAGAGAGAGTGTGAAGAGGTAGAGACGAGGAGAGAGAGGGGATCGGTGAAGAGAGAGGAGATAGAGAGAGTGAGTGAGGAGCGCGAGAGGAGAGAGATGAGTGTAGAGGAAGAGATATGCGAGCGATTCGTACTCTAGATGCCGAAGTCGTTCTCTCTATTACTCTCTATCTTTTCTCGCTATCTCTCTCTCTCTCTCTCTCTTCTCCTCTCTCTCCTCTCTCTCCCTCATTATTATTCATTTTAATCAGATCTGAGCTTAGCTGACTGTATTGTTGTTGTTGTCACTCAGGCAATAAGAACGTGGTGACCAGAGAGCAACTGGACCGGATGAAGAACGGATGTATAGTCTGCAACATGGGACATTCCAATACTGAGATTGATGTGGCGAGTTACTTTTACGTGTGTGTGTGGTGTGTGTGTGTGTGTGTGTGTGTGTGTGTGTGTGTGCGTGCGCGTGTGCGTGTGTGTGTGTGTGCGTGCGCGCTGTGTGTTTCTGCTGTGTCACTAATCCTGCCCTGGTCTCTCTCGCCCCTAGGCCAGCCTGCGGAGCCCGGAGCTCACCTGGGAGAGGGTGCGTTCTCAGGTGGACCATGTGATCTGGCCTGACGGCAAGAGGGTCGTCCTGCTGGCTGAGGTACGGTTACTGTCCTCTACGACCCCTGTGTCCCTGGCCTGGAACCAAACTGAGCATCACTCCCATTCGCTGTTGTTTCACCCTAGTGCAGCGTTTCCCAAAACTCACCAAGGGGTGCACATTTTGGTTTTTGCCCTAGCGCTACGCAGCTGATTCAAATAATCAAAGCTTGGACCGAGTTTGGGGAACGCTGCTTTAGTGACATGGAGCAGTGAGTGAAGCAATAGTGAGACAGAATGACCTTTAGCTTGGATCTCAGGATACTTTATTCCCTCCCAAACCTTTGTCTGTGATTCAGAGAGCTACAAAAACATTCTAGAGTTACACAATAGGGAGAGTTTCCCACCATGAGATGTATCCTGGTGACCTTTCTGTCACCTTTGTCTGCTTCCAAACCTGTCTCTGTTATTGAAAACAAAACAAAATAGTGACTTGGCCTGAGAGGTTTCCCAACATGTAACTAAAGGCTTTGTCTTCCCATCGTTGATCCATGTTGTGTAGTGTGTACTCTACTGTGAGGTGATAGTGTGTACTCTACTGTGAGGTGATAGTGTGTAGTCTACTGTGAGGTGATAGTGTGTACTCTACTGTGAGGTGATAGTGTGTACTCTACTGTGAGGTGATAGTGTGTACTCTACTGTGAGGTGATAGTGTGTACTCTACTGTGAGGTGATAGTGTGTACTCTACTGTGAGGTGATAGTGTGTACTCTACTGTGAGGTGATAGTGTGTACTCTACTGTGAGGTGATAGTGTGTACTCTACTGTGAGGTGATAGTGTGTACTCTACTGTGAGGTGATAGTGTGTACTCTACTGTGAGGTGATAGTGTGTACTCTACTGTGAGGTGATAGTGTGTACTCTACTGTGAGGTGATAGTGTGTATTCTACTGTGAGGTGATAGTGTGTACTCTACTGTGAGGTGATAGTGTGTAGTCTACTATGAGGTGATGTGTGTACTCTACTGTGAGGTGATAGTGTGTAGTCTACGTGAGGTGAGGGTATAGGGTGTGGTACTCTACTGTGAGGTGATAGTGTGTACTCTACTGTGAGGTGATAGTGTGTACTCTACTGTGAGGTGATAGTGTGTACTCTACTGTGAGGTGATAGTGTGTACTCTACTGTGAGGTGATAGTGTGTACTCTACTGTGAGGTGATAGTGTGTAGTCTACTGTGAGGTGATAGTGTGTACTCTACTGTGAGGTGATAGTGTGTACTCTACTGTGAGGTGATAGTGTGTAGTCTACTGTGAGGTGATAGTGTGTACTCTACTGTGAGGTGATAGTGTGTACTCTACTGTGAGGTGATAGTGTGTACTCTACTGTGAGGTGATAGTTGATGACAGTTCATTATCACAACGTATCTCTTCTAATCTCTGTAATTGATTTCAAAGTTGTTTCCCTGAGAATGGCTACACAACTGACCAGTGTATTGATATAGTTACTTCGTGTGTGTGTGTGTGTGTGTTGTTTCCTATAGGGTCGTCTGTTGAATCTGAGCTGTTCTACAGTACCTACGTTTGTCCTGTCTATCACAGCCACTACTCAGGTGAGACATATTGTCCTGTCTTAACACAGCCACTACTCAGGTGAGACATATTGTCCTGTCTTAACACAGCCACTACTCAGGTGAGACATATTGTCCTGTCTATCACAGCCACTACTCAGGTGAGACATATTGTCCTGTCTTAACACAGCCACTACTCAGGTGAGATATATTGTCCTGTCTTAACACAGCCACTACTCAGGTGAGACATATTGTCCTGTCTTAACACAGCCACTACTCAGGTGAGACATATTGTCCTGTCTATCACAGCCACTACTCAGGTGAGACATAGTGTCCTGTCTTAACACAGCCACTACTCAGGTGAGACATATTGTCCTGTCTTAAACACAGCCACTAACTCAGGTGAGACATATTGTCTTGTCTTAACACAGCCACTACTCAGGTGAGACATATTGTCCTGTCTTAACACAGCCACTACTCAGGTGAGACATATTGTCCTGTCTTAACACAGCCACTACTCAGGTGAGACATATTGTCCTGTCTTAACACAGCCACTACTCAGGTGAGACATATTGACCTGTCTATCACAGCCACTACTCAGGTGAGACATATTGTCCTGTCTTAACACAGCCACTACTCAGGTGGACATATTGACCTGTCTTAACACAGCCCACTACTCAGGTGAGACATATTGTCCTGTCTTAACACAGCCACTACTCAGGTGAGACATATTGTCCTGTCTTAACACAGCCACTACTCAGGTGAGACATATTGACCTGTCTATCACACCCACTACTCAGGTGAGACATATTGTCCTGTCTTAACACAGCCACTACTCAGGTGAGACATATTGTCCTGTCTTAAACACAGCCACTACTCAGGTGAGACATATTGTCCTGTCTTAACACAGCCACTACTCAGTGTGAGACATATTGTCCTGTCATTAAACACAGCCACTACTCAGGTGAGACATATTGTCCTGTCTATCACAGCCACTACTCAGGTGAGACATATTGTCCTGTCTTAACACAGCCACTACTCAGGTGAGACATATTGTCCTGTCTTAACACAGCCACTACTCAGGTGAGACATATTGTCCTGTCTATCACAGCCACTACTCAGGTGAGACATATTGTCCTGTCTTAACACAGCCACTACTCAGGTGAGACATATTGTCCTGTCTTAACACAGCCACTACTCAGGTGAGACATATGTCCTGTCTTAACACAGCCACTACTCAGGTGAGACATATTGTCCTGTCTATCACAGCCACTACTCAGGTGAGACATATTGTCCTGTCTTAACACAGCCACTACTCAGGTGAGACATATTGTCCTGTCTTAACACAGCCACTACTCAGGTGAGACATATTGTCCTGTCTTAACACAGCCACTACTCAGGTGAGACATATTGTCCTGTCTTAACACAGCCACTACTCCGGTGAGACATATTGACATTGTTTATTTACATAGAGACAGATCCAATCAGAACATTGACACATGGAAATACAACAGTTAGATGCATTGTACCATCACAATTTAGCTAACACCAGTTTTCAGTGCTTGTCCCCAGATGTACACATACTAGTTTATTTTGAAATACTGGGCTGCATTCATTACAGACGTTGTATTAGTCCTACTTCTAGTTTTTGGCGGTTTGCTGAAGACAGACTGGAGTTACTCTGTGTCCTCTTGTTCCGCTGCTACCTGAGCTTTGTGAGAACGGGATGTTGGCAGCGTGGAGACTCTGTGGTGGTCTGTGTCTCTCTCTGTAGGCTCTGGCTCTGATTGAGCTGTTCAACGCTCCGGAGGGACGCTACAAACAGGACGTCTATCTGCTGCCTAAGAAGATGGGTAAGAACGTGGATTGAGTCCCAAATGGCACCCTATTCCCTATATAGTGCACTACTTTAGACCAGGGCCCATAGAGCTCTGATTAAAAGTAGGGCACTATTTAGGAAATAGGGTGCCGTTTGGAACGCACTTGGCGCTGCACATATACAAGTCGTCTCTGACTGAGCCTTATTGATAAAATCGTAATAAACACTGTAGATGTCAAATCTGAATAAATACCGTAGATATCAAATCTTGATGAATAGAAACCACACAGTTTTCAATGCTCAGTTTGTTGTGTGTGGGTTCAATGTCACAACCTAAAGCGTTTACCATAAAACTGCATTTTCCAAAGTGTTGTTTTGTCCCAAATGGCACCCTGTTCCTTATATAGGGCACTACTACCATATGGGCCATGGTCAGATGTAGTGAACTAGGTAGGGAGCCATCCGTACTGTTGTTGCGATCCGTGTACCGCTTCACAAGCCCACCCATGTATTTCAGATGAGTACGTGGCCAGCTTGCATCTGTCCAACTTTGACGCACACCTGACAGAGCTGTCTGATGAGCAGGCTAAGTACATGGGCCTGAACAAGAACGGACCCTTCAAACCCAACTACTACAGGTACTGAGAGATTCTGACACACACACACACACACACACACACACACACACACACACACACAACACACACACACACACACACACACACACACACACACACACACACCTTATTACATTTATCTTTTTCACCTAGTCAGCTCAGGGATTCGAACCAGCGAGCTTTCAGTTACTGGTCCAACGCTCTTAACCACTAGGCTACCTGCTGATGTTACAGCTCTGGGATAGGGTTGGAGTGAGGCTAACTAAACCATTAGGCTATGGCTACAAACAAAAGAATATAAACAAATATAAAGGGTAAAGTATTTGGTGAAAAGGAAAGGACAACTCCCATAATCATTGACACGTTCAGGGAAATAAGGAATTTGATATACAAACGGTTAAGAACCACTGACGTACAGAACCCTGTGATACACAGCCGGTTAAGCCATGCAAAAAGAACCAGGTCAGCTTTTCAAAACAAAACAAAAACATTCTCTCAAACATTTCAGATAATGGTTTCCCCTGTAATTACTCTGACAGGTGAGGCTATTTAAGTGGGTGTGGGTAGAAGTCCCGCCTTCCTTTCTAGTGTGGTGATTGGCTGTTGGGGAAAGCAGTCAAGTAGGAGTGATCTGGGTTTTTGTTTGTTTGTTTCTTTTGTTGGTTGAGTAGTTTAGAGGTAGTAGTCGTAGGACAGCACAAATCATTATTTTATTTATGGTTCTGTATGGCACAGATATTGGCTTCCTTTTGTGGGTGATTTTTTTTGTTTTTGAAGTTATAAATCCCACTGTAGTTTTACATGGTTGTTTTTAATGAAATCATATCTATTGTCTATTGCTCCAAGGTATTGACAGGACAATGCACTGACCTGCAACCAACATCCGGGGGGAAAAAAACAAGATCATTTCTCTTTTATTTTCTAAATTGTAACAAAAGGGAAGAAAGAATAATTATTTTTGCTTTTATGCTGAATATAAACTGTATTATTAACACTGTCAGTAATAATTATAATTATAATAACATAATAACATAACATTGAAATAATATCTAACTTGTCTGTCAGGTATCTGAATCAATTCATGCATTTCAAGCATATGAAACAAGACCGAGTGTATTCCAAATGGCACCCCACTCCCTATGTAAATGGGACCCTATTCCCTATGTAGTGCACTACTTTTGACCAGAGCCCTATAGGCCATGGTCAAAAGTAGTGCACTACATAGGTAATAGGGTGCCATTTGGGACACATCACAAGAGAAGAACCATTAAAAAAAAATGTCAGTCATATATTTTAAAATAGTCTGCTTTTATCTTTAAGATTATTCATTTTGTTGCTAATGCTAATTGTTGCTAAATCACAATGTTTATCACTGGCGGCTGGTGGCAGGAGCTATAGGAGGAGGGGCTCATTGTAATGGCGGGAACAGAATAAATGGTATGGTATCAACACATCAATCATATGGAAACCACGTTTGACACCGTTCCATTAATTCCATTCCAGTCATTACAATAAGCCCATCCTCCTATAGTTCCTCTCACCAGCCGCCACTGATGTTTATTCATGGTTAATTGTCAGTGTGCTGTAGTCTTATTTGCTCCTGAAAGTCATGTGATGGTGTTACTGTTCGAGAGGAGAATGACAGGGATATGTTTCCACACACCACACCACACCACACCACACCACACACACACCACACCACACCAACACAACCACACACACACAACACACACAACACACCACAACACACACACAACACACACACAACACACACAACAAACACAACAACACCACACCACAAAACCACAACACCAACACCAACAACAACAACACAACACACAAACACCAAACCAACACAACACACCAACAAAACACCAACACACACACACACACACAAAAACACACACCAACACACACACACCACACACACACACACAAAACCAACAACAACCACACACACACACAACACACAACACACACGACACACCACACAACAACCACACCAACAAGAACACAAACACACCACACACACACCACACCACACCAACACACACACACACCACACCACACCAACACACCACAAGAACACACCACCACACACAAGAACACACACACACCACACACACCACACCACACACACACACACACACACACACCACACGCACACCACACACGAACCACACACACAAGAACACACACCACACACAAGAACACACACACACAAGAACACTCACACACACCACACACACATTGTCAGCACACTGACATCTTAATTAAAGTCCATTCCATGAACCAGAATTGGTGTTGTGAACCCAATTGGGCTCCTTTTATGTGTAATACGGGAATCGACAAGTGTTTCATAACTGAAGCAAAGCGTTGATGAAACTCGCTGACTGGTCTCTGCATACATACTTGCCATTCATGTCAGAGTGTGGATGTGCCTTCTGAAGCACTTGCTTATCAGTTAACTTCAATATTCAGTTAAACTCATTGGTTGGGAGTTCATTATATTTGAGAAATTCCAAGATTTAGATTTGAGATTATTTTCGAGTTCTAGAAGAGTTATTAGTCTGTTGGCCTACAGTGACCTACTACATAGAATCCGGTTTTTTTCTGCTTCTGTTCATTGTTAAATAAGTTAAATGTCAACATATGTTTGCCTTACCTGTTTCTGCTTCCATGTCCTTCTTTTTTGATCACGTAAAGGATTTATACTTTGCTTGTGATTGTTGTATCGTTTATGTGAATGAATGTCTAATATATCAGCAATAAACTCATCCTATATAATAAATACAAGCATACAATTTGTTTGTAGACTATGATTTGCTGTGTGTGTGTGTGTGTGTGTGTGTGTGTGGTGTGTGTGTGTGTGTGTGTGTGTGTGTGTGTGTGTGTGTGCGCGTGTGTGTGTGACGTCCACCTGACAATAGTTGACATTGTCCTTTTTTACATCCGAGGGAGCTCAAAAAGTATTGGGAGGGTGACCATTGTTGTTGTTGTTTTTGGCTCTGTACTCCAGCACTTTAGGTTTGAAATGATACAATGACGGAGGTTAAAGTGCAGACTGTAAGCTTTAATTTGAGGGTATTTTCATCCATATCGGTGGTTAGAAATGACGGCAGTTTCTGTTCATAGTCCCCCCATTTTAGGGGAACAGAATGTATTGTGACAAATTCACTTATGTGTGTATTAAAGTAGTCAAAAGTTTAGTATTTGGTCCCTCTACAAACGTGTTGGATCCATTTGCTGTTTATTTTGGTTGTGTTTATTATTTTGTGCCTAATAGAAATTAATGGTAAATAATGTATTGTGTCATTTTGGAGTCACTTTTATTGTAAATAAGAATACAATATTAAACTACTTTATTACACATATAAGTGATTTTGTCCCAATACTTTTGGTCCTCTAAAATGGGGGGGACTATGTACAGAGAGTGATGTAATTTCTAAACGGTTCACCCAATATGAATGAAAAAAAACCTCACATTAAAGCTGACAGTCTGCACTTCAACCCATTGTTAAATTTCAAACCCAAAGTGCTGGAGTACAGAGACAAAACAACAACAAATGGTCACAGTCCCAATACTTTTGGAGCTCACTGTACCTTTTTCATGATGCCACCGAGGCCCTGAGGCCCATGTCTAAAACTAATTTCCATGTCTTGTTTATAATACTCTTTCGCGCGCTTTCCGGAACCTGCCTCGCTGCACCGCTTTTCCCTATTTAAACAGTACAGCGTGTTGACTATCCGCCCGGTGTTGAGCGCTACTGGTGCGGTGTCGGGTTTCGTCGATGGGGCCTAGAATATTCACCGGCTTTCCCAGAGCGCCCAACTAGCTGCAGTTACTAATATTACCGGCTGTGTCACAAAATGTCATAGCAGACGTGCGATCATTCTAGAAAGGTGCTTTTAGTATATAAGCCATGGATCTCTCTGTTGACGCATACCTTTTGGAGTAACCACACGACTCAGAAGCAAGACCCAAACAGGGAAAACTACTCAGGACTCATCCGAGATCCTTCAATATCTCAAGAGAAGAACAAGCTGTCAATCATTGTAAGTAAGGTTAATCTATAACGCTACAATGTTGATACTGACAGGCAGTTTTCAGATAATGCCTAAACAGTTGGCTTAGATGGACTAATTATTGATTCTGCCCATGAACAGGGAAAGAAAAATCATGATCTAACGAAAGAATTTCTAATAAAATTTAAAATAAGCAGTTTTGACTAATACATTTGCATTGGTATATTGAAGATATGTAGAATATTAATATCCGATATTAGATTATACACCTCTAGACCATCTCAGTTGAGTGTACATGAGTGAAATATAATTGTCATAATAATAACAGTAAGACATTAATAAAAGACAAAATATTAAATCATGATAATAAAATGTTGTTCTTAATCTTTACCCATGCAGAAACAAACAAAACAAAAATATATACCAAGATGTCTTCAGCAAAGGGAGCATCCATTGGCATTGACCTGGGCACCACATACTCCTGTGTGGGGGTGTTTCAGCATGGCAAGGTGGAGATCATCGCCAACGACCAGGGAAACAGGACCACCCCCAGCTACGTGGCCTTCACCGACACAGAGAGACTCATCGGGGACGCAGCAAAGAACCAGGTAGGTCCCACTTCTGTCTCTGTCTGTCTGTCTATAAGTGTTTTTAATAAATGCTATCAAAGTAATAGTCTCTGGGATCAAATGTTGATCATATCTTGTTGATTTTACATTTTAGTCATTTAGCAGAAGCTCTTATCCAGAGCGACTTACAGTTAATGAGTGCATACATATTATTTTTCTTCATACTGGCCCCCCGCGGGAATCGAACCCACAACCCTCTACCAACTGAGCTACACGGGACTTGTTGATGCATGTATTGTTTTGTTTACCCAAAATAACATTGAATTGTAATTAATTTCAATGCAGGTGGCCATGAACCCCACCAACACTGTGTTTGATGCAAAACGCCTGATCGGCAGGAAGTTCGACGACCAGATCGTTCAGTCAGACGTGAAGCTGTGGCCTTTCAAGGTACAGGGTTAGACGCATACAGGGTTAGATGCATACAGGGTTAGACGCATACAGGGTTAGATACATACAGGGTTACATACATACATGCAGGTTTACATACATACATACAGGTTTACATACATACATACAGGTTTACATACATACATACAGGGTTAGTAACATACAGGGTTAGATACATACATACATACATACATACATACATGCATACATGCATACAGGTTTACATACATGCAGGGTTACATACATACATACAGTACCAGTCAAAAGTTTGGACACACCAGGGTTTCTCTTTATTTTTACTATTTTCTACATTGTAGAATAATAGTGAAGACATCAAAACTATTAAATAACACATATGGAATCATGTAGTAACCAAAAAAGCCTTGAAGACAGCTTTGCACACTCTTGGCATTTTCTCAACCAGCTTCATGAGGTAGTCACCTGGAATGCATTTCAATTAACAGGTGTGCCTTCTTAAAAGTTAATTTGTGGAATTTCTTTCCTTAATGCGTTTGAGCCAATCAGTTGTGTTGTGACAAGGTAGGGGGGGTGGGTGGTAGTATACAGAAGATAGCCCTATTTGATAAAAGACCAAGTCCATATTATGGCAAGAACAGCTCAAATAAGCAAAGAGAAACGACAGTCCATCATTACTTTAAGACATAAAGGTCAGTCTATCCGTACATTTTTCATATTCATATGTGTTATTTCATAGTTTTGATGTCTTCACTATTATTCTACAATGCATAAAATAGTAAAAAATAAAGAAAAACCCTTGAATGACTAGGTGTGTCCAGACTTTTGACTGGTACTGTACATACATACATACATACATGGTTACATACTGTACATACAGGGTACATACATTAAAATACATTTGAAAAGCTTGAGTATATCAATAGATTACCTTGGTCTTCTCACCCTTCTAGGTGATCAGCGATGGTGGGAAGCCCAAAGTCCAGGTGGAGTACAAGGGAGAGACCAAGGCCTTCTACCCCGAAGAGATCTCCTCAATGGTCCTGGTCAAGATGAAGGAGATCGCTGAGGCCTACCTGGGCCAGAAGGTGTCCAATGCAGTCATCACAGTCCCAGCCTACTTCAACGACTCCCAGAGGCAGGCTACTAAAGACGCTGGGGTGATCTCTGGTCTAAACGTCCTGAGGATCATCAATGAGCCCACGGCGGCGGCTATCGCTTACGGCTTGGATAAGGGAAAGAGGGAGGAGCGCAATGTACTCATCTTTGATCTCGGCGGAGGCACCTTTGACGTCTCAATCTTGACCATCGAGGATGGGATATTCGAGGTGAAGGCCACAGCTGGGGACACTCACCTGGGAGGGGAGGACTTTGACAACCGCCTGGTCAATCACTTTGTGGAGGAGTTCAAGAGGAAGTACAAGAAGGACATCAGCCAGAACAAGAGGGCAGTGAGGAGGCTGAGAACAGCCTGTGAGAGGGCCAAGAGAACCCTCTCTTCCAGTTCCCAGGCCAGCATTGAGATTGACTCCCTCTTTGAAGGCGTCGACTTCTACACCTCCATCACTAGGGCTCGGTTTGAAGAACTCAACTCCGAGCTCTTCAGGGGAACCCTGGACCCTGTGGAAAAAGCCCTGAAAGACGCCAAGATGGACAAGGCTCAGATCCACGAGATCGTCCTGGTTGGTGGCTCCACACGAATCCCTAAGATCCAGAAGCTCCTGCAGGACTTCTTCAACGGAAGGGAACTCAACAAGAGCATCAACCCAGATGAAGCGGTGGCATACGGTGCTGCCGTCCAGGCGGCCATCTTGATGGGCGACTCCTCTAAGAATGTCCAGGACCTTCTCCTCCTGGACGTGGCTCCTCTGTCCCTGGGCATCGAGACGGCTGGAGGGGTCATGACCGCCCTGATCAAACGTAACACCACCATCCCCACCAAGCAGACCCAGATCTTCTCCACCTACGCTGACAACCAGCCAGGTGTGCTCATCCAGGTGTACGAGGGAGAGAGAGCCATGACCAAGGACAATAATCTGCTGGGAAAGTTTGAGCTCACGGGTATCCCTCCCGCTCCGAGAGGAGTTCCCCAAGTCGAGGTGACCTTCGACATCGACGCTAACGGCATCCTGAATGTGTCGGCAGTGGATAAAAGTACCGGCAAAGAGAACAAGATCACCATCACCAACGACAAGGGGCGGCTCAGCAAAGAGGACATCGAGAAGATGGTGCAGGATGCCGACAAATACAAAGCTGAGGACGATGCCCAGAGGGAGAAGATAGCAGCCAAGAATGGGTTGGAGTCCTACACGTTCAACATAAAGAGTAGTGTAGAAGACCCAAACCTGGCAGGGAAAATCAGCGAGGATGACAAGAAGAAGGTCGTTGAGAAATGCAACCAAACTATCTCCTGGTTGGAGAACAATCAGATGGCTGAGAAGGAGGAGTTTGAGTACCAGCAGAAGGAGCTGGAGAGAGTGTGTAACCCAATCGTATCCAAGCTCTACCAGGGGGCGGGAGGGGCTCCTCCAATGGGGAGCTGTGGAAGCCAGGCCGGGGGCGGGGCTAGCTCTCAGGGCCCTACCATTGAGGAGGTGGACTAGTCAATCAATAAATCACTAAAAAGAGACCTGTTCATGATAGAACTACTGTTTGTCAACTAGCTTTGCATTCTTAGAACTTTGCATGTACATAGATTTGCAGTCACTACAAGATCACTTTAGGTTGTTGTGTCAAAACTTCAACCCTAAACGGTATGATCACGTTAGACCAATATTATGAGTGCGCTATTTTTTTGTTATTCATTTGACTTGTTACAATAAAAAAATATGAAAAATAAACTTTTTTTAAGTCACTCTTTTCATTAACACTGTCTCATATTCACAGTTAAGGGTATTCTCTGTAACAATGTTACCTTTCAAATTGGTAATACAAAATAACAAATACTATACTCACATTTATAATCAAGTAATAATCAAGTTTATAAACAATGTACAGGACAACAGTACATAATAGTGGTTATCATCATTTTTAATTGCTCACAAGATAATTACATTTCTGGTATTATATTGACATTGATATTCAAATCAAACTTAAATGTACATGTTTGGTTAGATGACTCACTCTATGCCCACAGAACAACTATTGACTAAATTCAATTAAAATATATGCAGCCCAAATGGTAGGTGGCTATATAGGGAGTAGGGTTTCATTAATCTATTGTGAACCAATATGGCCACTAGATGGCAATCTTAGGTAACCAAAAACACATTTTTCAAAATGCCACAAATGCTGTCGTTTTGAACCTGTTCACCTGTTGGACTAGACTGTCTTATGAAATATGAATATGCTAATATTTTCCTAGAAAAGCTCTGAACAAATGTTTAACCACTAAGCACGCTTTGTGAGCTGAATTGAATTGAACTGAATTTGATTTGGGGTTTGTTAAGAAAACATATTCACAAGATGCACATTCGAAGAGGATGGATGACACATGAACGCATTCATATTTAAAAGATGTCTTTCCGTAGTGGTCCTAGCATTCGGACGCAACAGGTAGTGTTAACCGTTATTCTAACCTTAGCCAATTGTTGGTTACAAATTGATAAAGATTACTTGGTGCTGATTAGTTTTGTAAAATCTGTCTCTTAAAATGAAGGAGAAAGCATCGGTAAGAGGAAGAGAGCAATGAAGAACTGTACAAGCATCGCTTCTGATGACAAGGGGATCCACGTGTTATTGAGAGACGTCTTTATACAAGTGGCCACAGCTCAAAGGACGGATAAGTGCTCCGGTTAACTAAATCATTCTGGTAGATACAATGATGTGGGCTAAACGTGCTTGGCATGGTCTATAGAACACGAGTGAGTCAGCGGTGAAGAAGTGCTATAGTCTGAATGGTACCTGTTGCCTTACAAAGAGCAGTGGCAAAATAAACGATGTTTCATGGGATCTCCCAATAATGTGACTTTGAATTCATATAAATGTGTGTGTGTGTGTGTGTGTGTGTGTGAATTCATTGTTTTAGTTATCCTAATTGAGGATCAATATATTTAATGATGGATACCCTGTCTGTCCACAGCCTACATTGTGGCACAAAGATACAGTATTATAATAGACCTGCATGAATCTACAGTCCTAATAGTCCTATTAACGTTTTCAAATGATATCAACGGAAATCATGAGTAGAATTAAAGGTGTGGTATAGAAAATAATAACCTCTCATATAGGCTAAATTAATCAGATTATAATTAATTGATCGAGGCTGTTGCGTGCCCCGGTCAGCCTACAGGGTGGGTCGTGTGTTATCTGTCTGACTTGACTATGGTGTGGCTAAGATGAGGGAGGATACTTCTGGGGCACAGATACTAAACCTTCCCTGAAAAACAACCTCACATCACATCTCATTCGCCTCGAGGAAGACATCATCGCAAATTGATGGAATATTCCAATGCACGCGTCGTGCTCGTTTATTAATTTGGATCATTATGGCGGTCAATTTCCATGTTCAGGAAACTTGTTAGATTTTTGGGGGGTCAGACGGATTTTGTGAATTTTGTGAATGTTCGTATAAGGAATAATACAAGAATAGGTGAGGACCTTGCGTTATTGCTCCAATATTTAAAAAAAAATCGTCTAGAAATAGTGGTTCTTTAAATTGGCGTATTTTGTAGATTCGATGTAGAATACAACACTCCCAATATTCCATAGCCTAACCTGAAACTATCGCTGAAGGTCGCCAAGTATCCGTGACTGAACTGTTGAATCTTTGAAGCCTATTATCGGCTACAACTTCTGCTTATTTATAGACATTTAGCTATAAATAATTTATATTATTCCAACAAATATTTTGACCACAAAAGTCTGCCTAGTCCAGATTTATAGAGATGTTTGAGATTCCAACCATAGATAGAGTCGTTAAGGGAGTTGTATTGTAGCCTATAACAGGTGGTTTTAGTCAAGGGCACTCTGCCTGCCTGCCTGCCGAGCGCATTGGACTTGTTGAAGCAACAACCCGTACAGTTGGATAAATCAGTAGTGTTACAACAAGGACTGACATGAGGACAAACTCAACTGTCACCGTGTGATTTTTGGTTTAGCTTCAGCGGGATATAATAACGGAATAACAAACCAACGGAATAACCAACCATCTCCATCTAAATCTATGATCAGCTCGGTGTGTGTTTCGTCTTACCGAGGACGGAAGTCAGGCAACAAACCCCAGTCCAAGACATGTCTGAAGGAAGAGATGGGCCAGGGGGGAAGAATCGGAAAAAATAATAATCAATGTTGGTGGCACAAGACACGAAACCTACAAGAGCACACTTAGGACCCTACCGGGGACGCGCCTGGCATTGTTAGCCGACCCGCCAGAGCCGGTGAACGACCCAGACACGGACTCCCTCCCACGAACGCCCTCCCAATCCAGACCCATATCTCCATATCCAACTACAAACGAGTTATTTTTCGACCGGCACCCTGGCATATTCGCTTATGTGTTGAACTATTATAGGACTGGCAAGCTTCATTGCCCCGCGGATGTCTGCGGGCCTCTTTTTGAAGAGGAGTTGGCGTTTTGGATGATAGATGAGACCGACGTGGAGCCGTGTTGCTGGATGACATACCGGCAGCACCGGGACGCAGAGGAGGCACTGGACATATTCGAACCACCGGACCCAAATGACACGGACGATGAACTACCCAGACGGTTCGGGATCGATGACTGCCCGGGCAGATCGAGGGGATGCTGCGAAGTTTGGCAACCAAAGATATGGGCTCTCTTTGAGGACCCATACTCATCCAGGGCTGCTAGAGTAAGTTTACATTTCTTTGCATATGAATACTATTGTAATATATAGGATTAGGCTTTCTGTTCATAAACTCCCACAGTTAGTCATTAACAATCATGCAATGCAAACAACAGGTGTTCTAGAGCCTGTCATTTTCGCGCGCAATGAGGCGCGGATGCGCCACTGACAACCAACAGGTGTCTGTTCTCTCACTAATACTGCGTGACAACAAACACGACAAGACAGTAGCAGGACAGCATGTGCAAATAGCATCATGGGATGATGATGTTGTGTCGTTAAGTTCAAAGCTATATTATTTTACTGTGGTAGTTATTAGAAGTCTGTGACCCGAATTCAATCTACATTTTTACATTTTAGTCATTTAGCAGACGCTCTTATCCAGAGCGACTTACAGGTAGTGAGTGCATTCATTTTCATACTGCCCCCCCCCCGTGGGAAACGAACCCACAACCCTGGCATTGCAAGCGCCATGCTCTACCAACTGAGCTACAGGGGACTATTGTATTATGTTCTATATTAAGGGACACTAAAGTAAATCATTCAAGTACAATTCTGACCTTGAAGTCTTAGGCCTGGCTATGTTCAAATATGACTGTCTGGCACCCAATTGGTTTACAGCCAATGACTGGTGGTTATCTCTGTCATGAGTGTGTACCATAGGCCTATGTGTGATATGTAATGGTTGTGTCTCATGCCCCTTGTATATGTCTCCTATAAGTGATTTGATGATAAGAGCCTTTCAAATGAGAACATCACTTCAGGACAATATACCATTTGGTAGCCTATAATATAATAATAATATGCCATTTAGCAGACGCTTTTATCCAAAGCGACTTACAGTCATGTGCGCATAAATGTTTACGTGTGGGTGGTCCCGGGGATCGAACCCACTACCTTGGCGTTACAAGCGCCGTGCTCTACCAGCTGAGCTACAGAGGACCACACTGTCACGATCGTCGTACGGAATAGACCAAGGCGCACCGTGATGAACGAACATGTTTATTTACCTTTAGTGATAAATACTGACAATGAACAAAACAACAAACGACTCGTAACGTCCTAGGTAACATAGACCAACACGGAACAAGAACCCACAAACACAAAGGGAAAAACAGACAGTTTAAATATGGCTCCCAATCAGAGACAACCAGCCACAGCTGACACTCGTTGCCTCTGATTGGGAGTCACTCAGGCCAACATAGAAATAAACAAACTAGAACTCCCAACATAGAAACAGAACACATAGAATGAACACACCCTGGCTCAACATATAGAGTCCCAGAGCCAGGGTGTGACACACACACACTACTAATTGGGAAAATTGACCTTTGAACAGTTAAATCTCTTTTAATTAATGACAACATGCTATATCACGTATAGCCTATAATACACTGCTCAAAAAAATTAAGGGAACACTAAAATAACACATCCTAGATCTGAATGAATGAAATAATCTTATTAAATACTTTTTTCTTTACATAGTTGAATGTGCTGACAACAAAATCACACAAAAATTATCAATGGAAATCAAATTTATCAACCCATGGAGGTCTGGATTTGGAGTCACACTCAAAATTAAAGTGGAAAACCACACTACAGGCTGATCCAACTTTGATGTAATGTCCTTAAAACAAGTCAAAATGAGGCTCAGTAGTGTGTGTGGCCTCCACGTGCCTGTATGACCTCCCTACAATGCCTGGGCATGCTCCTGATGAGGTGGCGGATGGTCTCCTGAGGCATCTCCTCCCAGACCTGGACTAAAGCATCCGCCAACTCCTGGACAGTCTGTGGTG